AAAAAAAGTATTCTATTTATAAAGTGATTGTTCCCATAGTCTCATATTCTAAGCGAAGCCTTTTATAGAAAAAGGATTCCTCTTTCGATAAAACGATTAAGGTGAAGCATTCATCTAAAATTTATTAGATATCATTCCAACTGTTCTCCTCCTTATTTCAAGAAGATTTCCTCTTGTATCAATTAATTTTTCTCTTATATCAAGAGAAATATGTTGATTTGAATGTCGGCTTCTGTTCAGTCATGCTCTACCTCCAGATATGAACGAAAAAATAACCATACGCTCATGGGTCGGAATATTTGGAAAGTTTAAAAAAAAAAATATATGTCTGATATATAACGAGGACAATTTACCCATATTTGGTCAAATACAGTTTATAATCTAATGCAAGAAGTTGAATAATATATTCTTTTTTTAACTATGTTTCATACAATTGGTTATGATGATCTTATTTCATTCGTGCCTATTTATCGTAGAACTGGAGCCAGAAATACACACACATATATATATATATATCACTTTTCGCTATATATTAATAATAATAATTTTTTCAAATTAACTAGCATAACCAGTAGAGATGTGCGAACTATTTGAATTCGAATCCCTATGATTCGAATAGGAATCAAATGCATTATCGTTTGCGTGCATCAGCTATAAAACGGGCCATCTGAATCTGTATGTTTAAACCCTTAATTTGTAATTAACTTAACTTATAATTAATAACTTGATTATAAATTACTTTAATTATTTAAATATATATTTTACTTTAAAATGATATTACAATATCAATATTCCCTTTCATATTAAAATCTTCCATCATTATTTCATGTTTAATAGTCATATTAAATTTTTTAATGATTCGATTCGATTCGAATTCGAATAAGAGTAAATAATAATTCTCTTAAAAAAAGATCAAATAATCTGTACATAAGAGGAAATTTGTATTAAAATCAATAAGATTTGCATTATACACATAACATATAATCTCTCTATCTTTAAGAATATTGTGTTTATAATATTTTCCTCCTAATCTTAGAGGAATCCTCTTGAATGATTCCGCTTGTTCTGAAATTACTGTTTTTTAGGTGCACGCTTCCCCGTGCCCCGGCAACGAGCACGGAACTTTGGAATGCAAATGAATATATTGGCCGCGAATAAATAAAATTCGCGCGCCGCCCTCGACGCCCATGTTTGACGCCGCGGCGCCGAAAGTTGGTCGGCCGGGAGCTGAAAGCCGGCCAGGACGACCCGCGAACTCGCTGGGATCCTCGTCGACTCGCGCTACCGTCTGCTAAGAAGGAGCCGCAACCGGGATGAGTTCCTAGGATCACCCTAATGCACCTCCGAGGATGAGAGAGGATCTCCTCCGCGCGGAAGATACGCCCGGCCGCGCGTTCTGCGTCGTTGTTTTCCGCGACGGACAAAGGAACAAAGGTCGAATTTTCACGCCGACGCGCGAAGGAGAGAGAAAAACGCGAGAGCCTCGCGTTCCTCGGCGCCGTGCATAATTTATCGCCGAGTGCCTCCGCGTCTCCCGTCCGAGTGCGGGCGAAGGTCGGGATCGCCCGGTCACGTTTCGACGTTAAATACACACGGTACGGCGAGAAAATACGTCCGTGCGCGACGCGAATTCGTTCATTCAGGCCGGGGACTGGTCGTGTATGCAGAACGACGACGAGAGAGAGAGAGAGAGAGAGACCGATTCCGTGCGCGTTTCGCGAGCGGCGGTAACGAGAATGGAGATTTCCACGGAGAATCTCGCCCACGTCACGATCGCCGCCGCAGTCTTCCTTTCTTCACGGCGCGGAGAAATTCCATCACAAGCAAGATTCACAAGTTTCGAGAGGAGAAGTCGCGATCCCGGCGGTCACGGCCGATAATTAATCTTCCAATCGATGCGCTTCATTCGCCGCGGCGCGTCGTGCGCGTCCGCCGAGCGGTTTGCACAAGCGTGTGCCGAGGATAAACAGATGGGTAAACAAATTAATCGAGCGGCTAAGACGATGAAAGCTATCAAGGCGCGAAATACCCGAGCAAAAATCTTATTCTCTCGCTGTCTTTCTCTCTCTTTCTCCCCGTTTCTCGCGTGCGCGTCCTTTCCGACGGATCCGACGGATTCTTCTTTGCGGAACAAACACTCCAAGAATCGCGTTTAATTATCCCACCACCACCTCGGTATCGCTGTATTTGTCCTCGTCGGCGGCCAAACAAAGGAGCAAGAAGAACGAGAGCGAGAAGAAGAAGCGCGAGTGAGCGGCCGCTTGATCGCTTGAACGCGCGCGGCGCGCTTTTTAACCCTTTGAAGACCCCCTCGAGGAATCGGAGTTTCGGGAAGAGCGGCCTGTTTATCGACCACCAGATGTTCCCTTCGCCGCGGATGCCACGAGACGAGATCGAGACCTTTGCCCGAGAGTCGAGGATGCCGGAACGTCTCTCCCCGCGTAATCAAGGATTGGAAATACGAAGGACTAAGCGCAGGTTGTTCCAATTTCTTGGTAAGTTAACTAATAGTTAAATCATATGTCTGTCTTTGTCTGACAAGGAACATCCACGAAGTGTGTGTCTTCGATTTCGACGAAACTTGGCATATTCGTAGAGTAGCCAAAAATAAAAGACCCATATCTTTTTTATCGGCAATGGCTCAGGTTTAAGGGGTGAAACTGCCCCTCAAAGTTTCATTCTCTTTATGCTATTTCGACAACTATTGTAGATAGGAAAAAAATTTTTTAAACAAAAATTGTACACCACGAAAAACTGTACAATTTTTGTTTAAAAGGTTTTCTCCCTGTCTATAATGATTATCGAGATAGCATAAAAGGGATGAAACTTTGAGGGGCAGTTTCACCCCTTAATCCTGAGCTATTGCTGATAAAAAAAATATGGATCTCTTACTTTGCAAATATGCCAAGTTTCGTCGAAATCGAAGACACACACTTCGCGGTTGAAGTTGAAGGAAAAACAAAGACAAACATACTACTGAACTATCAGTTATGAACTTACCAAGAAGTTGGAACAACCGGCCCTAAGTAGATGCTGTTCGCGCGGCGGAAACGACGAAATGACGAGAAAATGATGTCCTTCGGCCGAGCTGAGCCTCGACGAGGCTTCGACGCACGCGGCGCGTTGATTCACGCTGATTGCACAAAGGATTAACCGACGATCGAATTACCGGAAACGCGCTAAGAAAATGTAATTCGAGACGCACCTTTCACCTCGTCCCGCAATCAAGGATTCGATAATCAAGGAGTTGGAGCGGAGGAGCGAGTCGCGAATGTTTCTTGATTTCTTGATATTTCAATTGCTTCTTCTTACATTACCGTATACAGACTTCCTTTTTCGAAGAGCGCCAACGTTCGACTTCTGATTCCGGCAATTAGCCGAAAATATCCGCCAAAATAACATCTCGCTCGCGTCGGCTCTTGTTGACAACTCGCGTTGTATTATTGCGTCGCAATTAATTATACTTGATACGCAACTTAATGAGACGCGATAGTAGCGTCGACGGTGAACGTCACGAGGCGTCCGCAACGCGACGATATCGGCGCGAGTTCGCCGCAAAGTCGCGCGACGGATGACGGCGACGCGTTTGAAACTCGGAAACGCGATGAAATGTTCGACGTTTCCGGCTTCGGCGGAATCGCCGCGTTCTCGCCGATGAGAGAGAGAGAGAGAGAGAGAGAGAGAAAGAGAGATCCTCCCGACTGGCTTCGAGCGAGTTACGCTCGAAGGGACAACATTCTCGAGTTCTGGGACACGCGGCGCGCGCGCGCGCGATTCCCCGGAGGGTGAGCGCCGTCGTGTACGAGTGCGGACGAGCAGACATCGATTTCCTCTTCCTCGTTCACGGATATCCGCCGTCCCTTTTCAGCCATCGAGCCACCGCGAACGCGCGCTTTCTATCTCCCCCTCCTCCCTCCCGGGCATCGATTTCATCGATGAAGTCCTTTCACCGGCGCGACCGCCACTCGCACCGGCCTCAACGGAGCGTCGTCACGTCGTTAACCCTTGAGCGCCGGTCGCTCCGTAAATTCGCTCTCCCGCAGCTTTCGCGGCAGTCTCCCCGCGGGTGGGGGGGGGGAGATGCTCTTTCGCGACGAATGCACATGTGACCCGCGACATTTCGCGTAATGATCGAGGTGCAACCTGACCGGCGCCAGCATCAGCATTTCAGCGACCGCACGCGCCGCTGCTCAAGGATTTTAACGCGCGACTCGCCTCTCTCGCGTACCGCCGCCTCTTTCAGCGACGAGCACCTGCTCTGTCTCTTTTCTCTCCCTCCCTCCCTCTCCCCCGGCCCCCTCGCGCTCTCTCTCTCTCTCTCTCTCTCTCTCTCTCTCTCTCTCTCTCTCTCTCTCTCTCTCTCGCTCTCTCTCTGCCCACCGACAACCGTGAACTTGGCTGGACATGCCTGCTCGCCGTGCTCCGTTCGTGGAAAACGCGGGAGCGCTCGTACTCGTAAGAGACCCGCGCTCGTGATCGAAACGTGCGCCTCTCACGGTTCCCCCCCTTTTTCCCCTTTCCCCCCTGGCCATCGGTTCGGGAGATCTGTCACGCCGGCCTGCGTCTCGCGAGACGCGACCCAGCCCGGGGGTCGCGTATCATCCGTGGCGGCGGCGGCGAGAGAAAGAGGAGACGAAGACACGGGCAGCGGGGGTGGTTGGAGAAGAAAGAGAGGTGAAGGACGAAGAGGAGGAGGAGGAGGAGGAGGAGGAGGAGGAGGAGGAGGAGGAGGAGGAGGAGGAGGAGGAGGAGGAGGAGGAGGAGGAGGAGGAGGTGATGGTGGACAAGAGGGAGAGGGACGTCGTTACCGACCGAGCTTGGCGGACCGCGAGCATGTCACGCGAGAGTGAGAAACGATGAGGAGAGGACGGGCGTGAACGAATGTGACCGTCGCTCGCTCTCTCTCTCTCTCTCTCTCTCTCTCCCCCTCTTTCTCCTCTCTACCTCTTACTCCTTCTCCATCTCTCCAGACGCTATCTCCGTCTCTCTTACGTACTCACCCCGTGATGCTGGCCCACGATGAGAGGAAGCTGCGGCCGACGTCGGTGGCGGGGTCGTGCGACGGCCGATCGGAGAGCTCCGGCGATAGTAGCCGGCAACGACTGACGCGTGCGTACGCACGTACGCACGCACGCACGCACGCACACACGCTCCTCACGTACGAGTCCACCGGTTATGTACAGTCCAGCACAGAGAGCACACCGACAGCCGAGGGTGTATATGCCGACGAGGACGACGACGGCAACGGCAACACGGCGCGGTCCCGTCGGCGATACGAAGAAAGCACAATGGCCGACCACCGCTGCGCGCTGCTCCGCTCTCGCTCGCTCTCGTGATTCCGCACGGGGCCCCACGAGGCGCGCTTCTTCCTGCCCCTCCGACGAGACGAGACGACGCACCTAGCTCGCACCTTCCGCTCGGGGCGCGCGTGCGACGCGAGACCGCCGACGGTGACGATGACGATGACGGCGGCGATGACGACGGCGATGACGATAACGATGACGATGACGATGACGACGACGATGACGACGACAGTACGAAGGTCGCGGTGATACGCAAGTCGCAGCGTACGAACGGCCGCCTGGCGATCCTCGGGCTTACGACGGCGGATCGCGCTGAAGCCGCTGGTTCTGTCGCTCCTGACGCGTCAAATCGCCGCGCGCCACTCCGCGCGAAACATAAAAACCGACTGACTGGCGTGCCGCTGCGCGGCGAGGCGCGATGCGTCCACGGCGGCCGAGAGGAGGTTAAGCGGTGGGGAGATGACGCGCGCTTCTCTCGCGGAGCGCGCTGTGCAGAGAGGACGACGCACTGGCAGGAGGCGCGCGGGCGCAAGCGAGAGGCACGCGCGAGACACGAGACGTGAGACGCGAGATGCGCGCGCGCGCGGACGGACGGACGAACGTCGCTCGGCCGCGATTGGGCGTGGTGGAGTCCCTAGACCCGAGTCCGAGCCGTGTGTATCGACCGCGCCGTGGCGGCCGCCATTGCGGCGGCGCGCGCAGCCGCGCGACATTTCAAACGATCGAGACTCGAATCGAGGAGACACGGCTCGGCCGGCCCGCGAGATATCTCGATTCTTGCCAACGCGGGCTTTTCGAGCGGGCGCACGCGCGTGCGCGCAAACACGAAATCGAGATCGACCCCGCGCGACGCGTCGACTATTAATAACTATTAATATTCAGAAATGGAAGGGAGGAATTGTTAATTTAATACGGGCGGGGTTTTGCTATTTAGCGTTGCGTAAGAGTAATTACATCTCTCGCCTCTTGACTAATAATAATATTTCAGCGGTACGTACGAGCGCCAGGGGAGGAGGGAGGGAGGCTGATGAAACGAACGGACTGTTACAACGATTTGCAGCGGTATGCAAGAAACGCGCAGCGGGTGTCGCTCGCGAGATAAATAACGCGCGGGCTGGCACGCCCGCGAGGAATCCAAGATCTCTCTGGTTTCCTCGCGCTCTCGGAGATTCCACGAATGCGTGGCCACGAGGCGGGCGAACTTTTTTGGAAGATTGCCCGTGTATCGGAGTGTATCAATAGGGCGATTACGGCCGATCCGACGTAATAAATATCTCGTCCGACGTCTAGACTGGTTTTTGCGCGTAAACACTTGACGACAGATCGAGACGACACGCGCGGCCAATGAAAAATGATGCGCTCGCGCCGCGGCTTCTCTCGGAGAAATATCGCACATCACGTTGCATCCGTGTGCAGAAGCGCAAAGAGAGAGGAGGGAGGGATTTATGCAACGAGACAAGTTACGAGTTTCTGCTAAAGCGCGCAAAGTTGAGAGCGTAATTACTCCGAGAGGCGATTTTCGACGGCCCCTTCGCCGGCGTTTTCGGTGCCGAGTTTAACACACGTCGACTCGGGCGTCGCGATCGCTTCCGCAAATTGCTGCGGAGTGAACGCGAGTGAAGTTTGAGTAAGCAAAGTTCCGGAGAATACCGGCATAACAGCTCCGGCTCGCGTTGGTACAATCGAGCGTAAGCGACGAAAGCGTAATTATCGAGGAATCGAGGAGCGTCGGCAGTCAAGCGTCAGGTGGACAAATTGAACGACGAGCCGTGCTCGACGACACCGCCTGTTTAATCGAGTGCATCGGCGAGATGTGAGGCTATACGCTTGCGGTTGCGAGGAGCGAACGAAACCGATCGACGGTCTTCGTCGTCGTCTTCTCTGGCGATTCGACTCTGGCGTTACTGTCGAGACGAGAGACACGAAAAATCGCTCCACTTTCGCTTCTCCATATTCAACTCTTTGTTACATAAAGTTGACAAGAAAATTACGCGCACATGTACGGCGGCGTATATACAGCCGCCGAATAGGTTCGCGCTGTATCGATTCGACATTAATAATTCAGCTGGGGAGCGCCGAGTAGTAAACTTTTACTTATTCACCGGCGTAACACTTTTTCGATTCGCCGCATTGCGAATCGCGACTTGAGCACGGTATTAGCAAGTATATTACCAGAGGGAGATGGAGAGTACGAGATGACGAGGGAAACTCGCTCTTCTCTTCCTCTCTGTCTCTCTAAAACGTATGTATCTCTCTCTCTCTCTCTCTCTCTCTCTCTCTCTCTCTCTCTCTCTCTCTCTCTCTCTCTCTCTCTCTCTCTCTCTCTCTCTCTCTCTCTCTATTATGAACAGTGAAACAAATGTAAAATTTAAGATACTCGATCCGTAAATCCTTTCAACATTTTTCACAGCATATTAACTGATAACATGATCTACAAAAAATATAAAAAGATAAACATCCTCAGCACAATGCATTGTTATAAAAATAAAAGAGACAAAGCCGATAGTGTATGTGTGAGTGTGTGTGTGTGGCATCGCCCTGTGTCGTTTCCTTTTTTATTTCTGCACGGCCTTTACGCCGGCGTTCCCCTTTGACGACAAGTAACGAAAGTCGAAGCGGCTCTTCCCGTGCGCCGTTAACTTAATTTATTATTGAGGTCAAAGTGAGCTCATCGCACAGTTGCCCAAATTTAACCGTGGCGCTTGAGGGTTAAACTCATTCGTTTCTCTCATCTGGCACAATACGAGACAATGCACCGCACATTTCCGCGGCTTCGCAGCGAGCGCGTGCGAGAGCGGTCGCGGTCGATTCGCGCGCAACGCGCTCGCCAATATCAATCATCGCGCCTGGACATCGTTCATCCCGCGGAATCAGGAAGCTCGGCTGAAAGATTGGCCCGGCCGCGCGGTGCGGCGTAAATTTTTCGGCCGCGAAACCGCGGCTTCCGCCCACGCGCGGACGCACGCCGAGCGGCGGACCTTCTAAAAACGTCTCCAAGTCCATAAATCCGCCGGAAAACCTTGACCTTTCCCTGCGATGAAGTTTCCATGGATTTGAGTTGAGCCGGAAAAAATCACTTTTGCGTGTCTCTCAGCCTCTCCCTCCTTCTCTCTCACTCCCTCTCTCTCTCTCTCTCTCTCTCTCTCTCTCTCTCTCTCTCTCTCTCTCTCTTTCCACCTCCCTCGGTTTTATTTTCACTGGCATTCAAATTTAGAACGGATAATCATTCCGCGAAGTTGTACTTCTTCCAAGCACGATGAAGACTGATCTCTATCGATGGAAGAAATCGTCGCACTCTCGGTAAACCGCCGCTCTCCCGCGGCAACGTCACTCGCCCGACTTTGCGATTCGTCAAAGCGGAAAATCGGATTACCCGGCCAAGAATTCCGAGACGCTTTTCGGCGGGGCGGTGCCCACCCGCGTGCGGATCCCTTCCCCTGCTCCCTCATGCCTGCACGAGTCGGGTGTCAAAGACGCTCCCGAGGAAAGGAAGAAGATCGTAGCCAACGGCGGAGGCGGAAGGGAACGAGGGAAGAGAGGGCTGTCGGGTGTCCTCCTCGCGCTTCGAACTTCCATCTGCTGTCAGAAGTGAGATACATCATCGCGGCGGCGGCGGCGGCGGCTATTCTAATCTCGTCGACGACGCGGCCTAAATGGGTCGTCGGGGCCACGGGCGAGCCATTCAGGAAGAGATCGCCGAGGCGGAAAAAGAAGCGATCCGCCATCTGGAGCGTCGATGATCTCGCAAGCCGGCGGGCGGTGCGTTGCGTTGCGTCAAGCAAGGAGCAAGCGAACGCACGTCGTGCACGTCATTGCGTGGCCTCGCGCGTTCAGTAGCCCGCGGAGTCGTGCCGCGAAATGCACGTGCACAATTTCGAGATGATGCGCCTTCGCCGAGGCAGCGCGGAACTCGGCTCAACGCGCGTGTGAGCGATTCTCCCGATCGCGAAATTTCTTCACGAGTTTCACGGCTCGCTCGGCGAATTTCGAATATCGCACTTTGACTTATTCGCGTGACATTCACGTAGGCGCGCGAGCGCGAGCGCGAGCGCGCGCGCGCGCGCGGATCCCCTCGCGCGGGTTTCATCGGCTCTTCCTCCCTGCGGTGGTAACAAGCGGAAAAGTGCGGTGAATCGTAGCGATCGACGACGTCAGGGCGTCGTCCCGCGTACGTGAGACGATAAGTCGAAGCAAGGCGGAAGAATGAGGCCGCAACCGCGAGAAGCGCGGCTCGCGCTCGCTCTGCTGCTGCTGCTGCTGCTGCTGCTGACGTGCGCCTTCGAATTCTGCGCGAGCGACAACGACACCTGGCCCGTGACACGCGACACGAAGGCGCGGATGATGAAGAAACTGCGCACGGACTACCGGAAGCTGAAGAAGCAAGAGGGAGCGTTGAAGCTCGTCGGAGGCGAGAGCGGCGATCACGAAGGTGCCGCGCGTGTCCGTCTCTTGCCAGATAACGCTTAACGTCCTGAGACCATCTTGGATGCGCCTGGAACGTCCTCGGGACTGATTCTGAAGCCTGGGACGTCCTCAGGACACGTTCTGAATGGTCTCGGGTCACACCTGCCTGTGCTACCTGACTCGTCCTGTGGCAAAAAATCCCATCGCTCCGCGCATGCTTAACTCGCGGACATAACTTGCCGAAACTAAGCCGAAGAGCAAACAGACGAATAAGTAGAAGAGAAAAGCTAACAACGCGGATTCCGTCGCAGCGGCGAGCAACGCGCGTCGAGGAAACGGCCGGCGGTGCGCCTCGTGACGTACGCGGAACGGAGGAACTTTATCAGCCGGATCAATTGATGCGCCGATCAATTACGGTGCGCGCCACAAAGCTCTTCTCTCTCTCTCTCTCTCTCTCTCTCGCGCGCGCGCGCGCGATCTTACCGCGGACGGCACGCGGATGCGGATGCATCAATAATTCGCGTACCGACGCGACGACGACAAACACCGACCGGTACGGCCCGCGAAAGCAGGCGCGCACCGTCCGTCGCGTCGCGTCGCGCCGCGGCGCGTTCTCCTATAAATCCGACTTTCCGGCCGATAAAAGCGCGAAGTTTCACTCTCCGGTTTCTCTCCCCGGGAGCGTAGGGGTTGATATTTCCCCCGTGATAAAGAGCGACGGGGCAATACAGGCGACGACTATAAATCTCTCTTCGTCTCTATCTCTATATATCTCCACTCTCCCCCCTCTCTCTCTCGCTCTCTCTGTTCATCTCTCTCTCTCTCTCTCTCTCTCTCTCTCGCACGCGTGCGAACGGAGATAAAAAGCAAAAAGCGACGCGCGGCCTTTTATTATCGCATGCGGCCGCGCGCTCGCGCACGATTTGCACAGCGCCGCGTGCTCGCGAGGACGCAACAACGATTAAAAAGGGGTCAACTCGAGGAAGATTTATGTCAACGACCATGTGTCAGCACGACCGCACGCTGTACGTCACGTACGCCGCACGTATGCGCAATACCGGGAATCGCCGGATAGCGTGGTCATCCGTAAAGCCCGGCTGCGAAATAAGGTCGCGATCCGCCGCCGCCGCCGCCGCCGGTCGTTAAGACAGAAGGCCGCGCGATTTTTCCCTTTTGCCTGCCGCGAGATCCCTTTGTCTTGCTCCGCCCGACGCTGCGATCCGTGAGAGATTTCTCAGGGGGGGACGACTAATTAACGAACGCGCCTCGAGGAGCAAGGCGCATAGTCCGGAAGTAGTCCGAGTAGTTTTCTCAGTCAATAGCTCGCCGAAGGATAACGCGCTCTCTTATCTCCGCGAGGATTCCGCGCCACGGGGACTCGCCGCTGTCGGTCGTGATCGGCGATTATCCGCCGCTGATTACCAGCCGCGACGACCTCGTCGATGAGTTTTTCTTTTCCTCGCTCTCGAGCTCGCTCTCTCGTCCCATTTGTCGCGGAATTTGTCGCGATATCCTGCCGCGTGTGTCGTGCAAATCGATTGCCCGCATGCATACACACGCACACGCGCGCGCGCACACACATACACACACACTATCGCTTCCTGCTTTTTGTGCCGCGAGCGGGAAAAGCGTGAAAAGCGCGAGATTTTATTGCTCTCCCTCCCTCCTCTCTCTTTCTGTTCTCGCTCGCAGGAAACGTGGAGATACTTCACGACGGGAAGTGGGGCAGCGTGTGCGACGACGAATGGGACGACTTGGAGGCCGATGTGGTTTGCAGACAATTAGGTTTCAACGGGGCAATTAGCGCGACAGCGAATGGGCACTTCGGTCAGGCCAGAAGTGAGACGATATTATTATTATCCTCTCATCGTATTAATCCCCGCGATCCCTTGCACGGTCGCCGCGGTGCGGCGGAAGCTCGGCGGACGCGCGACGGGCCGTTCGCTCGCATCGATTAGTATCGACAGACGCGGCGCGGCGCGACGCGTCGCGCGTCGGTCTTCGTCCGAAAAAATTCACGACAAAAATCCTTAACGACACGTTGGACTTTTTGTCATTTCGCTCGATCTGCCTGCCGCGGCCGTTCGCGAGCTTTTCAATTCGCTTTTTCACGAGGGAGCATCGGTTGGATCGAGAGAATCCTAAATGTTGCTAGCGCATCGCGTGAAGCTTCGTCTCTCCGCGACGACATATCAGACTTTTTGTCATTTCGCTCCACAGACTTCTATATATAAGCTAGACTTAGAACTTCCATTGGTTTTCATGTATAAAAGCGTCCCTTTTGTAAAAGAATCGTGCGCACTGCAAGGTCCCGAGAGGAATGTAACTGCACCACGTACAGGCATTTGTATTCCGGAAAATGTTAATATTTATCCAATATTTAATATTTATGTGAACATTGAATGTGACATTGCAGGAGGGAATATTAAATTTTGGATAAATATTAACATTTTCTGGAGTAAAAATGCCAGTACGGTGCAGTTACATTCCTTTCGGGACCTTGCAATGCGCATGCGCGAAATTTTAATACATACCTTTAGGGGACGTGTTAAAGAGACCACACGGTTATCGGTCTGGTATATAATATAGAAGTCTGTGTTTCGCTTTCTCGATGCCGAGCTGACGCCGCGTTCCTCGTGGATTTCCTTCCGACACGTGACGTTTCGCGGGCGTTTCAATTCCCTCCTCCTTGGCTCGAAGGCTTCAGGCTGTCCTCCGGCGGAGGAGGTGTGTCGAAATGCTCACGAAACGACCCGACGGGACCAGATCGAGCACTTCTCCACGCTGCGAAAACTTGAAATAACAGATTCTTACTGTGTTCTCTTTTATTCGCTCGCATTCGTGTCGTTTCTCGATTCTTCGACTTTGAACGCACGTAAGTAATTAGCTCGCCAGTCAGGCCGGCGAGATTTTATAGTCGAGTTCAGATGAAACAACGCGACGCAACGAGCGTGCAAATTCTCACGTTGCGAACAATCCCGAAGGAAGATACTGGATGGACAACGTTTACTGCGACGGCACCGAGGACGAGCTCGCGAGATGCCGCTTCGATGGCTGGGGCGTCTCCGACTGCGGCGGCAACGAGGCGGCCGGGGTGATTTGCTCGCACGACGAGGAGCCGACGGCGACATCGGTCCCGCGACAGAAACCGCCCAAGTCCAGGATAAAGGACACGCATCAGCGGGGAACGGCGCTGCGGTTGTCCGGCGGCCGCGTGCGCTCCGAAGGTCGCATAGAGATCAAACTGGGCGTCGCGGGTAAGGTGGAAACGCGAAAGCGAAAAAGGAGGGAAGGAGACAATCGTACCGATGTGTCCTGACACTTGGTCCTCTTCAGGGTAGCGAGCAATTGATTATCCAGTTACTCAATTAATTAATTTCAATTCTCAATTTTAAATTAAATCCTAAATCAAATTTTAAATACAATTTTCAATTAATTTCAAAGTTCAATAATTTCACATTTCAATTTTGTAAAGTAATTGCTCGACTGAGCAATTAGGTAATTAGTTGTTTACCGCACCGGGACCGAGTGTCGGGAAATCGCGGGAAGTTCACCGCGGAAACCTGCAACCTTCGGAGATCGAGGCGAAAGTCAAGCCGGAGCGACGATCTGACGCGGCGATTTGAATTGCGAGGCGTAGTCAACGGCGAAAGGTTAACGGACGCCGGAACACGGCGGCGTGCAGTCGTGTCGGAAGGTTGCTCTAAAATTGTGAAAGAATTCCGCGAGGAAATGTCGCAACAGAGAATTGCGCTGGAACGCGATACTTCCCGTTCAGCGTCCAACGTACGACCTTCGAACTCCGACGGCGAGGATCCGGCGGGAGCTTTCGCGAGCCGATACAGGAAGGGTTTTCGCGCGATCTCGACTCGGCTGGATTTCACAGATTGGGGCGTCGTCTGCGCCGACAGCTGGTCCATGCTCGAAGCCGCCGTGGTCTGCCGGCAGCTGGGCCTCGGCTACGCTTCCGTCGCGACGCAGAGCGACTTCTTCGGCGGCGGGGCGACGCCGATGTCGATCAGCGGAGTAGAGTGCCGCGGGAGCGAGGGGAATCTGGCGGATTGCCTGCACGACATGGTTGTAGACTGTCCAGGTACCTGGAGCGGGAAAACTAGTTCAAATATTTGCGGGAGAAGATGCGAGACGACGCCGGGGCTCTGCCATTGTCACAGAAATTACTCCCTCTCCCCCTCCCTCCTCCCGCCTTCCCGCCGAGCATGCACGCACGCCAAACAGGACGTGTTTTTTTTGTTTTTCCTTGCGCTCGCAGAATGAACGGCGAGATGTTTACAAATCGCCAGCGGGAACGTCGGAGCGACGCGACGGACCGAGCGGTCAAGCAATCGCGAACATCTGTTGGCAGAGAGCACTTTTTTCCCTCACATCGACGCTTTCGTGCGCGAGGAGTCGATTCTCGCGCGACGACGCGGAAGCGCCGTGATCCACTTCGCGTGCGAATCCGATAGCGAAGAGTGCGCTTTGCAATCTCGCATTCCCTTTCCCTCCCCCTTCGCCTCTCTCGTACCGGTGTATCTTATGTATACATGATGTACCTTAAGTGCACACTGTGTACACTCAGCTCATGTGTCTAACGATAAAACGAGGACCGCTATCGACTCGTGAACGCGAGCGACTTTGACGTTTACGTGTACACTCGGGCGAAAAAAAGCGAGTCCCGGGTAGAGATGCAACGATTTCTCAAAATATCGATAACGATCGATAACATCGATAATTTTGAAAAATATCAATATTTATATCGATATTTTTATAAAAAAATGTATAGGGGTATGCGTATAAAGGGTATGCGCGAAACATTTGAAAAGATCTTTTAAAAATTTTTATCTTCATATAATTTATTGTCGTGTTCTTATTAGAAAATATATAATGAACCGCAGTCGTTTGTCGGGGATCACCGCATACATGGAGCAGGAGAGCTATTACGGTTCAACGATTGAGGTGGAAATTATGATTAAAAGTGAGCGAATTTTGCTAGTAGACATCGAGCAATTACATAATATATATTCTAGTGAATTCACTCACTTTTGTAATTTTCATCTCGGTCGTAGAACCGTAATAGGCCTCCAGAGCTGTAACTGAAAAATACGAAAATCAGTAAAATTCATCATATCGATATGTCGATTTTATCGAAGACAAAAAATATCGATAAATATTCGATATTTGTCTCTCGGTATATCGATATATTTCGATATTATCGATTTATCGTTGCATCCCTAGTCCCGGGGCTGCGCAAAAAAATTTAATCGCGCGAACTCATCGTCAGAAAAAGGTCGCACGTGGAAATTTTTGAGAATCGCGCGGAATTTGCAGATGTCCCTTCAACTGCCAGCAGGCTTAACCCATTCGCATGATTTGTGAAAAATTCTTAATAAAAATAAATCAGACGGTAACTATACGATCGATACGAACGAATTGCTAAATTTCTCTCACACCCACAACGAGGCGAGAGGGAACTCAAAAGTCACCTGAAAGAATCAACCGGTTAACGACGTATACAACCCCGAAATTCACTTTTGAATTCGACTCGATTCGACAGCCGTTTAGGCTATGGCTATAAATCATACTTCCGTAAAATTCCGATTCTTCGAAACTTCGAATTTCCGAAAACGCCGAGCCCAGGCGGAACAGAAAATCACGATGACATTAAAGTAACATTAAAATAATCAAAATGATGAGGAAAACTCATTTTTCCATCTTGATTCGATCTCTGATTTTCTCGTTATTTTCATGTCGTTTTGATGTCATTATGATTTTCTGTTCTGCCTCGTTAGATTCCAATAAATTCCTAGGCTTGAATATTCAAACATTCGAACGATACTAACTGCACCGCATCTCATTGCACTGCACGCAATTAACTGTCAATGAAGACCTTCGATGTTCCGAACGCTCGAAAAGACTTCGACTGCTCGAGCGTTGAATTCTACCAAACAAAGTCCCAGGTAGAACCAGAAAATCACGATGACATCAAAATGACGAAAAAATGATTGAATCATAATGAAAAAAATGAGTTTTCCTCATCATTTTGAGACGTCATTCTGATGCCATCGTGATTTTCTGTTCTGCCTGGGCTTTCAAAGCTTTCCGGATGCCTCGAACGGCACGGCACCTCGCAAGACCCCGACAGGTCGTCTTCCTTCACAATCGCACCGAAAAATCGAAATCGGTCTCGCGCGCGCGAGTCACCGCGACCCGACGGCGGTTTCAGGGACGGCGGGGAACATAGCGGGGGTGGTGTGCCAACGCGAGATGGCCGACCTCGTGTTCGATCACATCGAGCTGATGCGCACCGCGCATCTGGAGGATCGTCAGCTGTATTGGCTGCAATGCGCGATGGAGGAGAACTGCGTGGCCTCGCAGGCCTACAAGATGCAGAAGGAGTCCGCGAACTGGTACCTGGAGACCAGGCGGCTGCTGCGCTTCACAGCGAGGATCCTGAACGCGGGCACCGCGGACTTCCGACCGTCTGTACCCAAACATCTCTGGGAATGGCACATGTGTCACATGTGAGTAGCGCGACCGGACTCGGCCTCCTGGTGCAACGTACGACCGCGAAGTCTTCACGCGCCGAGCCGAGTATTCGCTTTCTCTCGTGTTGTTAACTCTCAAACACTGGGCCGGGTGAAGATTCACCCGATGGTATTTTTTAACCGCTGCCGCTAGGTAGCAGCACATTACACAGCGGCGTCTTGCTAGGATTTATAATGTTCGTGAATACTTATAGACTCCAAAAGATTTTGAATGAGAGCTCACCCGTCCGGGTAATAGGAGGTAAGAAAAATATTCAAATCTTCAAGAGTTAAATCTACTCTCTCTCGAAGTCGGGAGAATCGTTTTTCAAACGGCTACAATTTATCTAAAAAGAAGTGATTTCAGATTCGGAGTCATCTAAATTTGAGGGGATTTTCTTCTTATATATAAACCTCAAGAGGATTCTTCTGAGATTAAGAGGAAAATATTATAAACACATTGTTCTTAAAGTTAGAGGGATTATATGTTATATGCATAATGCAAATCTTATTGATTTTCATAGAAATTTACTCTTATACACAGATTATTTGATCTTTCTTTAAGAAGATTATTGTTTATTCTGGAGGATTATTATTTCTTACTGTACTTTATTCTCACTGATTACACCAGTTAATTTGAAAAAATTGTTATAATGTATAGCGAAAAGTAATATATATCTTAGATGTACTTCTGACTCCAGTTCTACAATAAGTAGGCACGAATGAAATAAGATCATCATAACCAATTGTATGAAACATAGTTAAAAAAGAAATATATCATTCAACTTCTTGCAATAGATTATAAACTATATTTGACCAAAGATGGGTAAATTATCTTCGTTATATGTTTCCGTTTGCCGGCGTGACGGACATCCGGACGAATATCCGAAATTTCACCTGTCGCAGGCACTACCACTCGATGGAGGTGTTCGCGACTTTCGACGTGATCGATTCGAGCGGCAATAAAGTCGCCGAAGGCCACAAAGCGTCCTTCTGCCTCGAGGATAATCAGTGTATGCCCGGTGTGGAGCCCAGGTAAAAATGTCCACAACGACGCAATGTCATCATGTCGGGCGATTCGCAACGTACAATTCAGTCGTCGTCGTCGTCGTCGTCGTCGTCATCATCATCGTATAACCAATCTCGCATCCGCGCCTATATTTCATGTCCGCGGTCGCATTTCGCATCGACCGGTTTATTAATCGTGACTCCCCTGATTCTAAACTGTTATCGTCCGTTTCAGATACAAATGCGCCAATTACGGGGATCAGGGCATCTCCGTTAATTGCAGTGACATTTATAAACACAACATCGACTGCCAGTGGGTGGACATTTCCGAGCTCGAGCCGGGGCATTACACGCTGAAGGTATGAGAGACGCGCGCAATAAAGTTATTTTCATAAATATACGGAGAGTAATCTCGCTTTCTCTCTCTCTCTCTCTCTCTCTCCTCTCTCTCTCTCTCTCTCTCTCTCTCTGTCCCTATCTCTTTCCGCCTCTCTTTCTCCTCCCCTCGTTCTCGCCCTCGCTCTCGCTCTTTTCTCTCAGTGCTCAGACGAAGTTGTGAATAATAATAACGCGAGAGCTCTCCGACGCGAGTTCCGTGAAAAGGACTTTTCTTGTTTCCAGGTCGCGGTGAATCCCGAATTCAAAGTTGGCGAGATGTCGTTCGATAACAACGCGGCGATCTGCCGCCTGCTTTATACCGAAACTTTCGCGACTGTCCACAGTTGCATAATGGGACGTCCTTGACACGCGACCCGCGCAATCGCCGGGATTTTTCCAGCTTCCCGGGCGATTGTCACGGGGGTGAAATTAACGTCGGCCCGCTGACGTCGATCAAACGTGAAGGCTGAGGAGAGTGACGACGACGACGACGACGACGACGACAACGATGACCGACTACCTCTGCCACCAGCCTGTGAACTTAACGAAGCAACATGCAGACGCGAATAAATCTGTAACGAGATTTGTAACAATTTGCAACGCCTCAGCGTAACTCTCCATTGTAACCTTAACAGCTGTGCGATTCCCTTTTAATGTAATAACTTCCGATCTGAGAAAAGTATATTTCACCTTATCTTACCTCGAACAAAATAAAAATTATATTACCGCTCCCTCCCCCCCCGGAACTCGAACAAAAAGCGCGAGAGCGTGCAATTATGCCATGATCGTGCTTCACTTAGCCTGAAGTCGAACGGCCTTAATAACATAAAACAATCGACAGCGCTAATCGCCTAAGTCCTGAAAGGGCCCCTCAGTCGTCGCCGTCTCATTGAACTCGCGGCTTCAGTCCCCGACCTCCTGCGAGAGTCTGATCGACTCCGCGACTTTTTCGGATAATTGCGAGGAGCGACGTGGCGAGGGCGTGGCGCGCAGGGAGCATAGCCCAGCCGATAGTAATTAAACTAGAGCGCAGCTCTCTCGACCGAGAAAGAGAGAGAGAGAGAGAGAGAGAGAGAGAGAGAGAGAGAGAGAGAGAGAGAGAGAGAGAGAGAGAGAGGAGAGAGAGAGAGAGGAGAGAGAGAGAGAGAGAGAGACGGACAGGCCGCCTACCTAGCCTAGACCTGCGCCTGGCGAGGAGCAACCGTACCGTGCGGGTAGAAAGCAGCCGCAGCACGACGGCCACCTCCTCGGCCGACATGCTGGCCGCGCACGAAATCTCAAGTTTTGGAGTCTAGGACCGAATTTATAGACGTCGGCGGAGCGGAACTGCTGGCTCGCTCTAGATTTCCACCATCTGCGCCTCTAAGGACTCGCGCACTAGGAGACGAATTTTCGGGGGCGCGTCCGAGCGATAAAAGAAGAGAGAGAGACAGAGACGGGGAGAGGGAGAGAGAGAGAGAGAGAGAGAGAGAGAGAGAGAGAGAGAGAGAGAGAGAGAGAGAGAGAGAGAGAGAGAGGAGAGAGAGAGAGAGGAGAGAGAGAGAGAGAGAGAGAGAGAGAGAGAGAGAGAGAGAGAGAGAGAGAGAGAGAGAGAGGACACTCTCGAGGCGACGCTCTTCCGCTCCTGATAGCGCTTGCGACGTTAATTACGTGTCCTAGGAAAATTAGCGTCGCGCAGGTACGTGCACGTAGCGAGGATCGAGCTGAGCTCTAGGCTAGAATAGAGCCGCGCTACGTCACGCTCGGCTGCTACCTTGGCTAGTGGCGACTACCTGCTGCCTGGCCCGCAGGTGCTCGCCGACAGAGGACGTGTGTTTGTGAATCGCGCGCGACTCTCGCTCGTGTGTACGCACATGGCGCCCCGATACCGCCGCGTCTGGCTCGTTCGATCCGCTCGAGACGACCCGGCGGCTTGGCGGTGAAATTTTGGGAATTCAGAGCCGTGAATTGAAAAATCGATACACACACGTGTCGACGACTGTCGGACGACCGCGATCCTGCGTCTCGCTTACGCGCGTGTAGCGCGTTCGCAGGTGATAATCCCCTCTGTCTCTTTCTCTCTTTCTCTCTCCCTCTCTCTCTCTCTCTCTCTCTCCTCCCCTTTCTCCCGAATATCGCGTAGTTTGTTACACGCTGCTTTTTTCCTGAGGATCCGATTAAAAGTAATTTATCGTTGTTATCGCGAGTGTGTAAAATAGCGAATTCATAGCGAGGCCGGTTATGCAATCATCCTTCGGGGACTAACGAAGCATATCCGATTAAACGCAATTTGTTAGACTCGTGATCTAAATAAATCTGGCGTTTGTCCGCGGCGGAGGAAATGAGAACTTTCGAGCGTCCAATGAAGCCGCGTTTATGAAGCGCAATCGTTAATCGGGAGAATAAGAAAGGAAAACGAAACGCGTTTAATGCGCTCGCAAATGGGGGAGGCGTTGAATTGGTCGGAGGATCTTCTCGAAAACGTTTTGTCCCGGCTTGTCAGGAGAACGCGTGAGGAAAAGAGAGTGAGTGACGGAGGGACAGAAGAAGAGAGAGAGAGAGAGAGAGAAAGAAAGAGAGAGAGAGAGTGAGAGAGAGAGAGAGAGAGTGAGAGAGAGAGAGAGAGAGAGAGAGAGAGAGAGAGAGAGAGAGAAAGAGAGAGAGAGAGAGAGAGAGAGAGTAAAACGGCAAACCGCGCTACGCTGGGCATGAAATATTTATAAAGCCGCCGTAAAATTCGCCTCGCGTTTCAGGCGAATTAAACCCATAGCCTGGAAGACGCGTCGCCGTCGTCGTCGTAAAGCGAACTCGCGAAAGTTAAGTTAACGTCGTCCCTCCGTGGGGTCCTCGCATTTTCCCTGGAGTCTCGAACTCGCTCTAAAGATACTTTGGTAGGGCCTTTAGGCACGACCGATCCATCGTTTCGACCAAAGGCGGATTAACGTGAAACACCACCTTCGAAATGCTAATCATTAATTACTGTTGGGACGATAACAAGACTGCGCGTCGACGACTTCAAGGAACAAATCGCAAGAGATTCTGCACTAGGTGGCACTTTATCGGAACAAAACAAGTATGTAACACCTAAAAAAAGGTATTCTGTAAAGTGATTTTTCCCATAGTCTCATATTCTAAACGAGGCCTTTTATAGAAAAAGGATTCCTCTTGCAATAAAGCGATTAAAGTGTGAACCCTTCATTTAAAATTTACTAGGTATTATTCCAACCGCTTTTCTCTTATTTCAAGAGGATATTAATTTTTCTCTTATATTAAGGAGAAATATGTTGATTTGAATGTCGGCTTCTTTTGTTCAGTCATGTTCTACCTCCAGACATGAACAAAAACATAATAATATACTTATGGGTCAGAATATTTGGAACGCTTTATAAAAGAAATATGTTTGTTGTGGTAACATATATATAACGAAGATAATTTATTCATATTTGGTCAAATACATTTTATAATCTATTGCAAGAGGTTCAATAATATATTCTTACTTTTAACTATGTTTCATCATAATTGGTTATGATGAACATCTTTGTAGCTATAAAGTCCATAACAAAACTGATTGGAAATTTATTTGTTATAATGATCTCATTTCATTTATGCCTACTTATTGTAGAACTGGAGCCAGAAGTACATCTATAAGTATATATATAAATATATATTACTTTTCGCTATATCCGTTATAATAAATGTTTCAAATTAACTAGCATAATCAATAAGAATGAATAATAATCCTCTTAAAGAAAGATTAAATAATCTGTGTATGAGAGGAAATTTCTATGAAAATCTATAAGATTTGCATTATACATATCATCCCTCTAACTTTAAGAATAATGTGTTTATAGCATTTTCCTCTTAATCTTAAAGGAATCTCCTCCTGAAGCCATATATAAGAATAAAACCCTCTAAAATTTAGATGATTCCGCTTGTTCTGAAATTACTTTTTTTCGGTGAGTCCAGCATTGAAGGGAAGGAAGGGGGGAAAGGAAAAATTTCCGTGCAGCAACTCTTTGTGGTCTCTCGAGTAAAACCAACAGGCTCGCGGCACCGGTCGACCGGCCCGGCCAGACGTCGACTGACTGTTTCTACTTGGCGCGCGTCGTCGATCTCGCGCGAAGTGCCTCTCGGCGCGTCGCGGAAAATCGGCTGTCACTCGCACGCATCGCGCGTGTCCGACGGCAACGTGACTGCGAGGCTAATTCGTTTAAAAAAGAAACAAGGTGGTTCCCGGCCATGAATACGGCTTCCACGTCGTGTATCATCACATATCGCGCAGTGTCGCGGGGCGACTTTCAGCTCGCGCATTATGGCCGAAGGAGACGCGCTCAATCTCGCGCGCGTGGAAAAACGATCAGCGATCCATCTTCGTGCGCTGCCGGGAGTAGATTATTCAGGATAGATCTGGAGCAGGGAGTATTCGCGAGAGAGACATTCCGCGAGGCGTTTAGGACCGTCGCGTGGAAGGGATGGAAATGTTGAGAGTGTGACGAAGCTACTACATCGGCGCCGAACCCCGCGGGGTGGTGATGACATTTTTGCGCGAGCGGCGTAATTGTCCGAGGATCAATACCGAAGCCGGGGCTCCTGGGGTTCAATGTTCATCACCGAGGTCGATCCGGTAATTGTAAAAATTGGAACGAAGAGAGAAGGACGCGCGCAAAAGAGGGACGTAGAGGGAAGGGAGAAAAGAAGAGCGCGTGTCCCGTACCAATTGTTAAACATCGAAGTGGCCCTTGTCACGCGACTTAACGAGACCAACGCGATCGAAATTAATGTCTGGGAGAGCGGCGGATGAGACCTTTGCGAAGGGTGGCCTGCGTGATAAACGACGTTTCGCGTAAATAAATGATAAACGTATTTCGCGTCCTGCGTGACGTCACCCGGCAGACTCGGCCGGCATCTAAGTCTGCCGAAAGTTGATCACCAAAGGAGCGAACTGAAATTAATGTTTGGAGAAAACGGACCAAGTCACGCGGTATATAATTACAACAATACCTCGGACAATGGCGAGCGACGCGATAATCAAGGTGTCGTTCTTGCTGAGCGTCTTCCCGCTAATTCTCTCGACCGACCGGATCCCCTGCTCCAACGACACGTTATTGCAAACCGCGGGCGACGCTGTTTTAAACGGTAAGACATTAATTAAATAGCATTCTAATTTACCCGATGCGGAGCTCGAAACGATCGCGACACGCGATTAGAACAGTTTTTTCCGACCACTTCGATCGATCGCGATTGTTAATTGTTATTTTCGAGCTTGCGCCTACGGTGACATCTGAAGGACCCCAACAGGCGAGTCATATATTCGCTGATTGATAATAATTGATTAATCACCGATTGATAATTAGTAGTTATATCGTACGAATAATTTAGACATGAAACGCCGAGAATTTCAAACGTCATCGTGCTACAAAATGAGACTGCTCCGAGCAAAAAATCGTTGGGGCCATCCTCATGAAGCATAAGGCCCCGATAAGGCTGAAAGTAGGGTGCCCTAAAAAGGGACCACCTCATTATTGCCACGTCAGGCCGCGAGATGGATCTTTTAGGAATACTTTAGATTTTACGAAATAAGACTTTAATAGGAAAAGCTGATAAGGGCTTTAGAAGAATCTTTTAGGGATGCCTTAAATTTTAGGAAATAACGTTTTAATATTGAAAACTGATGTGGGCCTTAGAAGGATCTTTTAAGGATATTTTACATATACATCAAGTTTTGTTATAGAAACTTAATAAGATCTGAAGCGTGTAATAGAAATGTCATAGTTTACTATTGTTTTAGTATTGTTTAGGTGCGCTCTGGTTCTTTTAAAGATTTTTTAATTATACCGCAATTAAAAACAAATTTTGTTAGTTTTATTAGCTGCCATATTCATTAGTCTCTTCCAAGGATTTTTCTAGTATCGCCTTCGTTTTGAAATGCAGCAAACTTTAATAAAACCAGTAGTAGGATTTTTATGTATAAAAAATGCTATATTTTATTGCAAAGTATGCTATATTTTTAAAATAAAAAAATCTTGTTGTATACTAACAAGATTATAAAGGAATAAAGAAATTACAGTCTAAATTTCTTGGAATGAACAGAACGAATATTTTTACTCAAGCGATAATAGAAATATTTTCTTATAAGGCCCTATTAATATTACTTCATAAAGCTCTTATAATAATGCCTTATAAGGCCCTCATAATATTGCCTTATAAAGACCCGTTAAGGATCGTTAATTTATTGGGCCTGAGAGATGTGCAAATCAAGAATTTTTATGTCGAATCGAATCGAATCTATGAAATTTCACTCGAATTCGAATCAAATCAAATGAAATCGAATCGAATCATTAAAATATTTCACATGACTATTAAACATGCAAGTAATGATGAACGATTTTAATATCAAAGGGAATATTGATATTGTAATATCATCTTAAAGTAAAATATATATTTAAATATTTAAAGTAATTTATAATTAAGTTATTAATGATATAAGTTAAGTTAATTACAAGTTAAGGGTTCAAACACACAGGCCCAGATGGCCCGTTTTATAGCTGATACGCGCAAACGATAATGAATTTGATTCCAATTCGTATTCGTATTCGGATTCGAATCATAGGGATTCGGATTTGAATCGAATCCGAATTTCGATTCGATTCGATTCGAATTCGAATAGTTCGCACATCTCTAGTTGGGCCCTTACATCTTGCAGAGCCCTCGTCTTTCTACCCTTTCTACCAGGACCTGATTAATGTTAGGGAAAAATAATCAGGCCCTTACCGGTGGGGGAGCCCTATTAATTTTTCTACTCGGGTTGCTGTGTGCAATTCACGTATGCAATTCTCGCTGCAATCGTTATTTACGTTCAATCAGTTTTCGCGGACGCCAATCACGGACAATATTGCAACGTGTCGTCAGCCAAGGGTCTCCAGCAAATCTCGGCGGCGCTGTACGTGGTGCGAACTTTGAACGAGCATAACTACGTGCCGGGCCGACGACTGGGTGAGCGAATTGCATTAATCTTCACCTTTCGCGTCTGTCTATCTATCTACGAACTCGCTAGCGATCACAAGCGAGCGAAACCGTGCGAGGCGAGGCGGTGAAACCGTAGGACTCGCTGCAGCAGGTGCAGATAATTGCGTTTCGACTTACCGATCGCACAGGATTGAGGGTGTTCGACACGTGTCACGATGGAGTCCAGGTGTTCAAGCGAGTCCTGCGAGCCACGGTCGAGGGAGGTTGCGCGTCGCACTACGAGATGGGTTTCTTGGTGCCTTCCTCGTACAATTCCACGTTGGATCCTCTGCGTTATTACGGCGGCCGCCCGCCGATTGTCACCTACACGGAACAGAATCTCACGTTAGCCACGATCGACATCCTGACGCATTACCTGAGCACCAGGTATGAAAACGTCGATCTCGCGCTCGCCAGCACGGACCGTGTCCTCGAGCGTTTCCTGAGGATCAGCAGGGACGCCGGTGTGTGCGTAAGGCGCGTCGGACACGACGGCGACGGCGGCGGCGGCGGCGACGACGACGACGACGACGACGACGACGATGACGCGAACACGAACGTCACGGAAGCGGCGATAGTCGCGATCGGCGAGGCGAGTGACATACGACGGTGGCTGCGACGACGTCGAGAGGAACCGAAGGATCCCGGGACGAAGACGTGGTTCCTGCTGCCGCTCGATAACTCGGCCATTGACGGTAAATAATTCCGGACGTTGACGGATGACGGGGAAATTACGAGCGCGCCGGAAGAATTTCATTCTCGCGCGGCTAGTTTTTACACGCGAAGCGAGAAATAGCTTCCCGCCCTCCCCCGCCACTGCAACCGCTTACCCTCCACTCTGCCCTTCCGCCGTGGGAAGAACAAATTATTCCTTTTTAAGGGAAATTATTCCCGCGGCGCGACTGTTTCTCTCCGTTCTTCCTGTTTGCAAATGCGAAAACGAACGTTGCCGCCATTAACCCAAATTATAGCGCCATTTCAATGTTGAGGTTGAATCGCGACCCATAACGGCGATTACGGTGCGCAAGTTTAGCCGCGGTAGTTGAGAAGCAGTCTCACCGACGTCGGTTAACTTTAACGTTAGTTTAACTAAACCTCCCCTCTCTCTCTCTCTCTCTCTCTCTCTTTTGCTTTCCCTCTAGAATTAAAGTTGGGAGCAGACAAAGGGAGCAGACAGTTAAACTATAATTAAAGTTAACCGATGTTGCTAAAGCCATTAGACAAATTGGCTTACGCGAATTTCAGTTTGCACGGCGAGCAGCCCAGGACTGGCCGTCGATCCTCGCGAAAAGACTCGCGAGATGCAAATCGCGAGAACTTTTGATCAGCAAAGTCGCTCCTCTGCCGCTCTTGATCGTCATGAATACATCCCCGAGAGCCGAGAGAGATCTCGACGCACGAGCGGCAGCGGGCTAAATTCGCCTGAAATTTTTTAGATGTTACACCAGCCGGCTCATACATCATCAAACCGGAAGCTCTGGACTTTGACCGCGAGTTCGCAAGCGTGGACGAGGACCCGCGACATTCCGAGGACTCCGCGAAACGCTCCCCGTACCTTCTCGGCATCGCCAAGGCCGTCGTCGGGCTGGCGGAAGTCCTCCGGGACATCCGAGGGAAAAGTTGCTCCGGTAACGACGAGGACGACAACGACAACGACAACGACAACGACGACGACGACGACGACGATGACGACGACGATGACGACGACGACGGTGCCGGAAACTGCACCGAGTCGCCATTTCGATCGGTATCGCCGCCGGAAATTCGCGATTCCGACGTGTACGAGGCGCTGCACATGCAGCCGCGGTCGCACTCGCTGGGATACGCGGTCGCCATGAAGACGCAGCACGATCTCGTCGATGTCGCGCTTTACAGGGTCGAGGTGTCAGAGTCGCGAGCCCTCCCGAAAAGAGCGATGTCCGGGATGCCGGCGCTCTGTCTGCGGGATCTCGTCGGGAAGTGTGGGAATTGCACGAATTTTCGCGAGCATCTCCGCGCGCGCCAGGTCGTCACGCCAGGTAAGCCGGGGAAAGCCGGGGGAAGCGCGGCTGCCGATGCGTGATATCGCGCGATAAAATCTTTGTTAGAATCTTATAAATGCGACTTGATGCTTATGGATTCGCCTATCAAAGGCTTCGGATCGAAGGCTTAGCCTATTAGCGCCTAGTGCTCCGCTTATAGAACGCTTCTCTCTTGTATTGCATTTTCCATTCTTTTTGAGTCACCTGGTTAACGTAACTGTTCCGTATTTTTATATCTTCAATATCTAATTCCCAGCCGTACGCCTCCGATAAAAACAGTTCCAGTCATTTGAGAGCTTTAGAAAATAAGCGGAGGCTCTTTGACAAACACGATGATTTTAACTAATTTGGGACCTAGGAGGTGAAAAGAGACTGATGCTTCGGAGGAAGATCTGCGTCGTGTAACTATACGTATTAACGAGGGAATCACATGCGGAGCAGGCCGTTTTACGATTTTTTTTAACCGAACCGCTAGGATCAATGGACTTGAAAATTTCACAGGGTATCCATTAATGTTCAAAGTATAAAATAAATTTGTTACTATCTATAGGTATGGAAAGTACACATAGAACTTTAAACGCGTTTATCTGGAAACACCATTTTCTTAAACTGTCGACACGATTATGCAAAAACTACTGAACCGAATAACTTGAAATTTTTACGCAATGTACAGTAGACATGCAGTTTTCGCCTCTGTCTCAAATATAGTTATATTTTATTTTATTCATTTTTTCTAAACATGATTGACAAGCTGAAAAAAGTTTCATTTTCGATATACTTCTTTTTTGTACAGTCGTTATTTTTCCAAACATGGCTTCACTACCTTCATTTTGGCCTCCACTCAACCGTATATTTTTAAAATCTTTCTCACTTTTTGGTTTCAGAGTAGTGAGAGGCCCGGGATTATATAATCGATAGCAAACATAGAGATAACTACAAACTGGATCGGTTCTTGCGATTCAATAAAATTTATTTTATACCTTGAAGATTAATGAATACCCTGTGAAAATTTCAGGTCCACTGATTTCATCGTTCCTGTCGCAAAAAATTCGTAAATATCGTCCTGAAAATAGTCTTCCCCCCTTAACTCGAGAATGTTTGAAAGTCTCAAATGTTCCAAAACTACCTAAAACTCACCAGGTTATTGCGTCGAGTCGCAGGCTTTTCCCGAAAAAGATCCGCCTCTTTTCTCCTCTACGTAGCGCACGGCTCATTCGGAGACGCGATTTCATCGACCAATCGGCGAGATTAATCGGAACTTTCCAGCGGACCCCGTCGGGAAGAACATCTTGAAGAACAACGTCTACGTTCCCATTTGCCTGGTCGCCGTGGTGTGCGGCACCCTTATGTGCTGCGTCACCGTCGTATTCATCGTCTATCGTTTCACGACCGAGCGAGCCGAGCTCGACGGCGACCCGAGCCTCACGATCGCCCTCATCCTGGCCATCGTGTTTACCCTGCTAACAGCGCTGCCCTTCTGCATGGCGGACGATTATTTCGGCGCGGAGAGCCTGAACGCCCGGAGGATCCTCCTGGCCACTCTCGCGTTCGGCCTCACGTTCTCGATTATGCTCTCGAGGGCTCTCTTCCTGGCTTTATCCACCGGCGGTGTTCTCGTCAGCCACGTCAACGGATACCTGCAGAGCGTCATGGTGTTCTTCATGTTCGCCGTGCAGCTCGCCATGTCAATCATGTACTTCGTCCTAAACACCGCGGACTCGGCCGTGATCACCAGGAGCCTCGTCTTCATCGCGTTATTAGGTACTTTTAGTCCCAACACCGCGAAATTATCAGCGGCCAAGCGGAAAATTCGGATCTCATACTTGCCGAGAGTGCTCGCGCGTGTGAATGTAGAATTTTCTCTCCTGCGCCGCGGCTCGCCTTTCATCGTCGCCGCTCGCTCGAGAATCCTCGCTTTGATCTCGCAATTTTAATTCTTCTGCCTTCAGGATACGATATATTTCTGCTGATCGCGCTTTTCGTCGCTTGCTGCTTCATCACCGGGATAAGACGCAACTACCACGAGGGGAAGTGCTTCTTCGGCACTGCCGTCGGCCTGCTGGCGGTTTGGACGGGCTGGCTGATTTGCTTCGTACTGATGCAGCCGGAAAGTCGCGACATGATCATCTCCTTCGGCGTTATCGGCACTGCTTATTCGATTATCCTCGGTACTCTCGTACCGCGAATGTATTACATGCTGATGCACCTGCCCGGACGGAAAAGCCTCGGACGTAGATTGGACCTCGTGAACTTGCCGACCGACTCGGCTGTAAGCACGATCGTCAGGCCGGTGAGAGAATTCGACACTGTTGTCTTCTTGAAAAATGATGAAAGTAACGGCGAGCTGACGCATCTAATCATCGTCGACTCTTTCCGATCTAATATCTAGGTGTACAAATGAATGATCCAAATGTTTCAGCTAAATTCCAGGTTTGTTTTAAAAAGGGTTTTAAAACAAATTTGTCGTTCAAAGTATTCGACGTTGTTTTCTATAACTTTAAGCCACATCTTTCAGGCAGCTGATGAATTCCATGTCAGAAAAATGTTGCGTCTTTGGACACGATAAAGTCGTCAAGTCATTTTCGGATCTCATCTCATCTGATTTGAAGTGCACATCGGACGAGGCATGTTGCATCGACCGGGACAAGTGGTAATCGATAGGAGCGATGTTTGGTGAATATGCCGGATGCTGCAAAACGTTCCAGCCAAGACTCATTATGATGTCTTTTGTCGTAGAAGCAACGTGTGGCCTAGCGTTATCGTGCAACAATTTCACAGTTCCTCTTCGCCGCTACGAGATTTGATCAAAAAGTAACAAGAGTTTATTTAATCTTCAATGTTTATCCCATCTCCTTCAAAGTAGTCCCCCTGTGATATTGTACACTTATGCCGACGTAGTTTCCAACAGTTTGAGAAACATTGGTGGAACGCCTCTTCAGGTATCGTCTTGAGCTGAATCTGCGACTTCACCTTTATCTCATCTATTATTGAAAAACGTTGTCCTTTGAGTGTCCTTTCGAGTTTGGGAAGTAGGAAAAAGTCACAGGGGGCCATGTCTGGAGAATAAAATGGTTGCGGCATTACAACGGTGTTGTGTTGTGTTTGCCAAGAACTGTTGGATAAACAAAGCGGTATGTTGCGCCGGTGCGTTGTCGTGGTGCAAAATCCATCCAGAGATGTCTTCAAAACATTAGTAAAAATCGCATGAGCTGTATGAAATTCCTATTTCTTCAGCAACCTCTCTGGTTGCTGATGATCCTTCTAATAGCAAGCACAATCTCTTTAACTTTTTCCGCGTTTTCATCACTGGTGGACGTGCTAGGACACCCAGACCTCGCGTCATCTTCGATGTCTTCTCGGTCTTCCTGAAGGCGTTTGTACCACTCATAAACTCGTGGTTGTGACACAGTATCGTCGCCAAAGGCCTTCTTTAACATTTTGAACGTTTCGCTGTACTTAATTCTGTTTTTAACACAAAATTCCAGACGAACTCTCTGATCCGACTGATTTCGCCACACGAAAAATCGCCAAACACACTGAAGTACGTCTTGCTCATTCGCTCGCCAAACACAAGCGTCGCAGCTGCCTGAAAGTTGACACGTACGTCATTGCTAGTGCTACCAACACACAAAAAAAGAATCGACCGAATAGACAAGATAGAGCGCGAGCAATGTCAAAATTCTCGTCACTTTTCGCTCAAACCTCGTATACGGCTATTTTCATTCTAATTCTTGACTCAAACGGATTAATTGGTGTTGGTAGCAGCCCGCGGTAATTGTTTCATTCGGTCTTAATATCTCATAATAAATCACACCCTTCATATCCCAACAAATGCAGAACAGAATCTTCTTTCCGAAATATTTCGACTTTGCGTCCGATGTTGATGGTTCGCCGGGATTTACCCATGACTTTCCGCGTTTCGAATTGTCATAGAGAGTATCTGCTTCTCGTCCGCCCGTAACAATTTTCCACAAGAAAGACTTTCTACGCTGCTTATTGAGAAGAGAAAGACACGCTGCCACTCGTTCATTCTTGTTGACTTCAGTGAGTTTGTGCGGAACCAATTTTCCTTCTTTTCCTGAATCTCCTCCATCTCGTGTTTGGCATTTGGAAATAGTTTGTTGCGTTACTCCTAACGGCCTTGCAAGCTCCTTTTGCGTTTGTACTGAATTCTCAGCGAACAGTCGCTCCAAATCATTGCTGCCGCACTTCCGAGGGCTTCCAGGACGTTCTTTGTCGCTCAGACTGAAATCGCCGCTTTAAAACCGTCTAAACCAAAATATACACACATCGTACGATGCAATAGCCTCGCCGAGAAAAGAACAAATCGATTCGCGTGCTCCTGCAGCATTTTTTCCTTCGTTGGAATTCGTAAAGAATGCAGCGTCGGATACGCACCTTATCTGTTGCCATTTTTGACTCTACTGAACTGAATAATTTTTGAGATTATTGAGTCTCATTCCGCCTAATATACCAAATGTAATTAATTTAATAGCTATATGTCAACACTACATAAAAGAGCGGGAAAACTTGATTGCTTGAAACTTAATTTCTTAGCCGCTTGAAAAAAGTTTGGATTATTCGTTTGTACCTGCTCAATAATTGCTTCAGCCGATGAGATTACGCCGTTGATAACTTCATTTTCTTTTTTAATTGACACAATAACGAAACTCTGTCTTTGCAGTCGCGATTCGCCCACGATTACGCTCATCCCGTTCCGGGAAGCCAAGTTGTACATACGCCACCCACATATCCGAATTATTACGGCAGTTCCAGCCCGAGCTCCAAATGGCCCGATCGATCGCGCAGTCCGATTCAGCGTGAAATGCCTGGATACAGTAATTATGGATTTCACGCGGAAATGACGGAGATCGAGATTGCTCGCGCCGTGCCGCAAACGCGCCGTGTCGAGAACGCGGAGGCGAGTAATCGTCGAATATCTCGAGCGCGGCTGGTCTCCTCCCCGAGCACGTGTCTCTCTCCGCGAAGGATATTAAAAAGTATTGTGTGTCTGCAGGCTCGGAGGAGTCCTCACGTAGCGCCGAACGACGTCATTTACGCGCAGCCGAAGATCTGCAGAGCGCGGAGGGTGGTTCTGGGGCAGGAGAGAGAAGCGGAGATCAGCAGGGACGACTTCCCGCCCGGGCTGAGACTGCGAGACAGGCTGTATCCTATAAGATACTCGAGTCCGACTGCTGTAGGACGACCGCGGCAGGACAGGATCGATGAAGAGAACGAGGACGAGGACGAGGACGAGGACGAAGAAGAGAACGAGGACGACGACGACGACGACGACGACGACGACGATGACGACGAGGGTGATGAAGGAGACGAGAGTGTCTGCAGGGTTACCCGCTTTTGACAGAGATACTTGATTGCAGGCCGCACGGCACAATCATTCGTGTCACGTATATGAGCCCGCGAATCCTCCGTAAAACGAATTCTTCCGCTTACTTGAAACCTCGGGCGAGGCACTCCGAGGAACTTGCCAAATTGGAAGATTGACGAAGAACTCGGAAGTAACGATCGGCGCGCGAGCGTGCCCTATTCGCGTCTCCCCCGAACTTCTCGTCTCGGCTGACTTCTTTTCTCGCTCTCATGTCAGGCGAATCGCCCGGAATGACTTATCGGCTGTTTCCGCTCAAATTTCACCCCGACAAATTTAGAGAAATTTAGAGAGCGAGAACGCGCTCGCCGACGCTTCCTCCCTCGACGTTCGATGTTGTCTAATGAGCTGGAATTTTGCCGGACTACGAACCTCACCGAGCTCTCCCCCCCCTCTCTCTCTCTCTCTCTCTCTCTCTCTCTCATCTCGACCGGCTCAAGCGGCGACAGAAGTTCCTCGTTGCATCAGATACGCGGACAAGGACGCGGAAACGCAGCAAAGCCTGTGCGCCGTGCGCGGCGCAGAATCAATTTGGCATGTACCTCGTCGAAATTGCATTATGGTCGATCGTAATTTCGCAAGCAGGGCAGCAGGTGTGCGCGCTACGCGGGAATATCGATGACGAGATAGCGAGGCCCGGGCTGCTCGCAACAAAGGGACTCGCGAAAATGCAGTTTACCGCTCGCCACGTTTGCGACGTGTGGGAACGATTCCGCCGCCCGGTCGCCCGCGAGAATCTTCTTCTCGTCCCACGGCATTTTTATCACTCCGATTTCCCCGCTCTCGTTACAACGCGCCGAGTTATAACGCGCGCGCGTGCTAATGCGAATTTTGCATTCGCACTCGCCCGAGCACACGGCGGTTTCGTCAGCCCGGCAGAGCGCGATTTCGCGAACCTGCACACATCGATCCGGCCTTAATAAAAGCGTCGAGACGTTAACAGCCTTGGGGAGCCGGGCGAATAAAAGAGCGTCTACCTCTCGAATTAAGTTCAGCGCGGTTCAGCGCAGCCCGGCCCGGAAGCTCGAGCCCGGGTGGATCCCTGAATCTTTCGCGGAATTTTTACCTCGGCATCCTTGCAAAACTTGCAGCAACGCCCGAAGGGAAAGGAAGGAAGGAAGGAAGGAAGGAAGGAAGGAGGAGGGGAAAAAGGAAACACGTAACCCTCCGAAAATTCTATCAAGCCGGTGCAGCCCCCTCGTCGATCTTCTCGCCGACGTGTTCTCACAGTTTACGATCACGCGCGCGATGGTTCACTTCCAGATCACGAGGCCACCGTGAAAACCGCGAAAATCAGGCTGGCTGGCGGCGGCCGATAAGCCGTCATAATGGGGATAAATCGAAAAGTGCATCGGCTCGTGAAAGGGTGCGCCGCGTTCGGACCTTCTCGTAGCCCCCCATGAAAAAGCTTCTGCGCAAGAACGAGCTTCACAGGCTATAAAAGCTCGCACGAGACTCGTCCGCTTTCCAGTCACGTTTAGGGCTGCCTTTCAAGTGACGAAAAAAAGAAGAGGAATTCGCGAGAAGGGGCCTGCTTGAAATACGTGCGCTTATCAGAGCAAGGTGAAAAGAGGAGAGGAGGGAGGGAGAGGGGCGAGTGGGTCGTGGAATTTATCGACGTTCGGACAAGATCTTCGTCCGGTTCTCGAGCTAATAGAGCGACTACGCTCACGGACATGGAGAGATTGTCCTGAAAAGAGTATTCTCTCTTTCTCTCTCCCTCTCTCTTTCTCATCCTCAGTGCAACGCGTTTCATTCGTTCAATTTACACTCGCGTTTTCTTCTCGTTTGTGCGCGAAAGAGTGCTGCAACTAGTCGCAAAATCTCGGTGTGCGTTTCACTTTCGCACTTGCGCGCTCGACGGTATCGCGTCGCGTCTCGGATGTAACCGCAAAATTATTCGCTGTCGCGGAAATTACGACGCGTGAATCTTCGCTAGAGACTCACACAAGTCTCGAAAATTCTCCAGAGTCTCCTTGCAAAATTCATTCGAGTAGCACACCGGCACGGTGTGAGCGCTCTGTCGTTCGCTACTCTCCACGTTTCTTGGAGGACGTCCAATAAGGACGTACTTTAAAGACAAGCGCGGTCTCAAGAGACAATTGCCTCGGAGTGCATCACGTGTGAACGTGTGTGTGTGTGTGTGTGTGTGTACGCCCGCGGAGTATATCACGTGTGAGTGTGTGTGTGTGTGTGTATACGTGTGCCATATCTCTTCGGAGAGGATCGATGATCAAGGATGAGACTGGGCGATGTGAAGAACAGCCGCACGATCACCGTCGCGGTGGTCTATCTGAGTCTCTTCCTGGATAATGTCCTGTTGACGGTAGTCGGTAATTAAAGCAAGCCGACAAAGAAGCCGGGCCACGTGCTCGGCCGCCGCAGTTTGCTGATCCAGAAATGTTTCAGTGCCGATTATTCCCGATTACCTGTGCACGCTCGACGCGAATACGACCGCGAGCGCCGGCAAGGAGGAGGACGAAAACGGCAGGGTGGGATTACTGTTGAGCTCGAAGGCTCTGGTCCAATTAATTTTGAATCCGGCCGTGGGGACTCTCACCGGCAACCTGGGCTATGTGAGACCCCTGTTCCTGGGAAATCTCAGCCTGCTGCTGGCCGCTTTGCGTGAGTCGCAGATAATATTTTTCATGGCGATCGCATCCATCACGCGGATGTGCTTAATGATGCGCGAGAAAGGGAACGTGTTTGCGTTCGCTCAACCGTATGGGCAGAGCGTTGATGTAATAAGAAAATTGCAGGACAAGAAAGAGACACGCCCGACTGTGTCACGCAGAAGGAAAACCGAATATCAGCGACAATTATAATTTAAGCCCAAATTGCAGTAACATTCGAGCTCGAAGAAGCTCTCTGGTTTCAGCTTTCAATTTCATCCAAAATTATGTTCGTTGAATTAATCATGTCTGCGTACGTATCTTTTATTTTTTGCCAACCAAAGAAATTGTTCGTCACTCAAAAAAAGTAATTTCAGAACAAGCAGAATCATCTAAATTTTAGAGGATTTTATTCTTATACATATATGGCCTCAAAAGAATTCCTCTAAGATTAAGAAGAAAATATTATAAACACATTATTCTTAAAGTTAGAGGGATTATATGTTACATGTATAATGCAAATCTGATTGATTTTAATAGAAATTTCCTCTTATACACAAATTATTTCATCTTTTTTTAAGAGGATTATTATTTATTCTTACTATACTTTATTCTTACTGGTTATGCTAGTTAATCTGAAAAAATTATTATAACGTATAGCAAAAAGTAATATATTCGTATATGTAGATGTACTTTTGGCTCCAGTTCTACAATAAGTAGGCACGAACGAAATAAGATCATTATAATAAACAAATTTCCAATCAGTTTTGTTATGGACTTCATAGCTACAAATATGTTCATCATAATAAATTGTATGAAACACAGTTAAAAGAAAGAATATATTCTTATCCAACTTCTTGCAATATAGATTATAAACTATTTTTGACCAAATATAGGTAAATTATCTTCGTTATGTATTACAGCAACACACATACCTTTTCTAAAAAGCGTTCCAAATATTCTGACCAATGAGCGTACGATTATTTTTTCGTTCATGTCTAGAGGTAGAGTATGACTGAACAAACAAAGAAGCCGACATTCAAATCAACATATTCCTTTTCATACAAGAGGAAAATTAATTGATATAAGAGAAAATAGGAAATCCTCTTGAAATAAGAGGAGAACAGTTGGAATAATATCTAATAAATTTTAGACGAATGCACTTCACTTTGATCGCTTTATCGAAAGAGGAATCCTCTTCCTATAAAAGGTTTCGCTTAGAATATGAGACTATGGGAAAAATCACTTTGCAAATAGAATACTTTTTTTTGGATGATTGAAATTATTCAGGAAAATGCATTCTCCTTTTCCTCTGCCGTTTCTCACTTTGGCGCACATGAAACGGCCAAAGACGCTTAATTATCCAGCGGGGTCTCCGCGAGTATTAATTAGTCGACTACTCATTATGGCCGCAGTTTTCGCCTTCGGCCAGACGTACGAAGTGCTGTTCTTAGCCCGGAGTATTCAAGGTATAGCGTCGGCGTGCATAGCAGTCTCCGGCATGTCCCTCGTCGCCTCCCAGTACCCCGAGGAGGACGAAAGATCCAAGATCATGGGTTTCGTCCTGGGCAGCATCGCGCTGGGCGTACTCCTGGGCTACCCTGTTGGATCCGTGCTGTACGACCTCGAGGGTAAAATGGCGCCTTTCCTCTTGGTGTCCGGCCTCGTCGTCATCTTAATTTGTGAGTCATTCTTCTCCGTCATCAAATCCTACAAAATTATTTCGCGTCGTACTACACTTCCTCGATATCGAGACGCTGAGACGCAGGCTTGTCTGCCGGCAGGTCTGCAAATCCTCGCACTGAACATTCAGAGTGAAGCCAAGGTGAGTGCATATCGCGTCCGACGAGAGTACCTCTCGGATGTGTCTGTCAAATTTTTACGAGCTACTGCCGATGACCGTCCCGTCTGTTTCTTTCGTTTGATCGCAAAACGCATTCGAGGATCAGCGACACATTCGTCCAAGTTCAATTCTCATTTAATTCTGATCGCGATTCTCCCGGCGCAGACGCATCAGCCGAGCGACCAGCAGCAAAGCACTTGGACGCACTTGCTGTCTAACTCGCACATCCTCATCATCTCCGGCGCGATTTGGTGCTCGACGTCGCCGATGGCGATCCTGGAGCCATGCTTGCCGATTTGGCTTCGGACTCATATCAAGCCCAAGGTACGTCACGGGAAGGACAGAGACGGAGTATCCGTGCGAAGGAGAAGGCGAGAAAGAAAAAAAGCGAAAAGCGACAACAAGTAACGAGAGCGGGCTTGAGCGGCCTTAGATTATCGGCTCGTACAAGCGCGAAGCAAGATGAAGCGTCAATTAACATTCTTTGCAGAAATGGCAGCTGGGCACGGTCTTCATACCGGACAGCGTGGGCTACCTGATCGGAACCAACTTCTTCGGCGTGATAGCGTACCGTTACGGTCGCAGCAAGGTGGCGATCTTGGCGATGTTCTTGCTCGGCGTGAGCGCCATTCTGATACCGTCGGCGAGCACGATGTCGCAGCTGATATTCCCGCACCTCGGAATGGGTCTGGGCATCGGCGTCGCCGACGCAGCCCTGGTGCCGTTGCTGGCCAGTCTGGTGGACCGGAACGGTAACTACGGGCCCGTTTACTCGATCCAACAAGTGGCCGTCAGCCTGGCTTATTCCTTGGGTAAAGTATCTCGCGACGAGATGATTCATAAGACGCGACGAATGAGCACGAGGTACCTTCGGAAGGTGGAACCATTACGTATTTATTTTCGTCGACTCCGGCTTTTTCCTCGATTTCTCTCTCGAGTTCTCTCTCGTCGCGCTCGCATCGTCCTCATGGTCGTCCTCAAAGTCCTCTAATATTGTAACAGTTGCACCAAAGCTTGATCAAATTTTGACGTCGTGTATATTCATGAAGAGCTAGTCTTTCTCACATCAAGCACATCACCGATCAAAAATGAATAATTCGGAAGGTCCTTGGAAGGTTCACGCGATTAATCGCGAAATATCTCCCAAGGGAGCAGAATAGATGCTACAATCCCCTCTTTTTTCATTTAAAGGACCCATCATGGGCGGCGAAATGGTCAGAGCCATCGGCTTTCCATGGGTCATGCGAATTGTGGGCATCGTGAACATAGCTTACTGCCCGTTGTTGATATATCTCACGTTGGAACGGAAGAAACTGTTGACCGAGACGGAGGAGAAGAAGAAGGACTACGACACGTTCCAGAAAGCCAGCGCGCCGTATGAGAGATTTCACGATTCCGACGACGATCTCTGACGGTAAACAACAATCGCGACCCGACGACCTCGGCAAACTCGAGGGGACTAATTGCGAACTCCAAGTCAGGCGTTTTTCCGTGCGTGTTAACATTCTTCTCCTTCAAACTTGAAAGTAGGCCACTGAGACGAAGTATAATGCGATATCTCCTGATGAAATCATGTACAAATTCAAAAGAGAGAAAGAGAGAGAGAGAGGGGGGGAGAGAGAGAGAGAAAGAGAAACGAGCCTCCGCAGACACAAATGGTGATGAAATCTGTCAAATCGTCAGCTCCCACATAGTAAAAGACTCCCGAAGATTTCTCATCAAAGGTCACAGATGTGAAATATATACGTCAACAATATCCACGATTAATATCCGTGAGAGCTTGTCTCTGTTGCGCAAAGTACACGATGCAAGCACGGATTCGACGAGCACTCGTCGAAAATTGCGATCCACGCTGATGAGAAAACACGAGCGACTATCGCAGCATTGACGTCGCGGACTCTCTCATCCCTCCGTGACGGCGCGGTCTGATGAATATCGTTAAGTCCGCTTTTGCACACCTCGAAATAGCATCCAGTAGTGTTATTGTGTCCCCGATTAAGCGGGCGGCAGCAGATCCTCGTCTCGTAGCTGGTAACCAAGTGAATTATTGGCTGAACAGCATCCCCGAGGCTGTCATCCGTGGCACCACGACGACGTTCGTCGGATCGGGGAGCGCAGGCATTCGCTGAATTCGAGAGCGGTGCTGGACAAGGAAACACGCGACGCTACGCTCTCGACAGCGGGGAACGCGGCGATCGATCGGCCGGTCGCGCGATCGATCGGCCGGTCGCTCGGCCGACCGCTCGGCCGCCCGACGCGGCTCCCTGAAAGCTCATTAATGCACTCAATCTACGAGGTGAAATTCGTTTACGTTGCATTAACGCTCCTGGTGCATGCCGCAAGTTGCATTGACTCGTCATTAGTTTACGTACGATCGTCGCGCCGTACTCGAGCAGCGAGTGTCCTGCGAGCAAGCGACTGCTCGCTGGGCTGCAGCTTGAGGAGCCAGACGAGCGGGATCTCGCAAGCGCGAGGAAGGAACGTTCGTTCGCACGCCAAAGGTGTGAACGGAAGAGAACTGTTGCTCCAGCAAGTCGCGAGTCGCGAGCTGAATAAATTCCGAAGAGATCTGTCTTGTCAAAATTTTGAAAAAAATTCTTTTCTCGAATTACTAACCCCAGAGGAGAAATTATCGTTAAACGCGAGAAACTTGTGAAGTACTCATTGTTCGACACTTATTTCTATCTAATTCTATCTAATTCTATCTAAAGCCTATTCAGCGGATTGAAACTATGAAACCAATCAACAGACGCCTCGATATTTATCGATCTTGAAGCAGAAACCCATTAACCCAAAACTCATATGCCCAAAATACAAAAACATCAAATATAGACCGGTTGGTTAAGCACAAAACCGAATACGCTCAGCAAACAGCAAAACTGTATGTCGATGCATATTATTGGTACTATATTGCCTTCATCTGTTCATACTATTCTCTTTCATGGTGCAAAAATAATCGATCATTTTCTTCTTATACCTATAGGAACATTGTCAGAAGAAGCACAAGAATCGCGCAACAAAGACGTGAAAAACATTCGACAATTTCATACGCGTAAATGTGGAAGAGTAGAGGCAAATACGGATTTGATACACAAACTCCTCATTGAAATTCTGAGTTTTCTAAAAGGTGATTATAAGTTCTGGGGTCTCGCATTTAGTATCCATAGGCTCGAACCCAAGATACTGTACTTTAAACGATAAACTTTTAAGACAAACCCTAAACCCATGAACCCTGGACCGATAATTTTTTTCAAAATTTCGGCTGGACAGATCTCTTTGGAATTTATTCAGGATCAACCTCATCCATTGGTGTCGATGATCGGTTGGAAATTCAGGTCTCTAGAGAATTTTCAACCAAAAAATGTCATCTGTGCGCCGACGCTCGCTTACGCTCGGTCATTTTTCAGCGCATAAAGTACAGCGCGACAGCAGCTTGGCTCGCTTATAACCGCCTGGAATCTCGTATATCATGGGAAAGGAGCGATATAAAATATAAGTGCACGTAAAGACGCTCTTAAATACGTGGATTACGTTTAAGGAGAGAATCACGGGAGGAAAATATCATTTCGTCGATACCCGCGGATATAACGGGCGCTCGACGAGCGTCGCGTCGCTTCGCGCTCCTTCGATGATGATTATTCATCATTCACTCGGTATCGATCGCCGGTCCACTCACCGAGATTCCGCGTAACCGCCGACTGTTGCTATTCCCGAACGGCGGAATAATGATCCGGCCGTTATTGCCCGGGCAAGCAAATAATTTCGATTCGCCGGATAAAGCGACGCAAATATTGGTCCTGAGGAAATTCAGCTGCGCTAATAAATCCCAGCTATTTTCCCCGAGAAAGTCGCAGGCGCAGCGTAAACAAAAGCCGGCCGTTTCGTGGGATTTGTAAAACCGTGAGCGAGGAGCGCGAGCGGCGCCGCGAGAGCAGAAGCGAAATGGAGCGTGATTTTGCGCCCCGGGGTTCATTCGGCGAACAACGCGATCGTCATTAGCAAGGGTGTCGAACTAATCGCGTCGTCGCAAGCGTCGCCAGAGCGAGAAAGCTGCGAGCGCAACCCCCGTTGAGGGGGTGCGACGTGCGTGCGTATGTGCGTGAGGCACGCAGCTTTTTCTAAAAATAGGGCGCCACTCCTCGAGGAGGGTGGTACGTGGTACGCCGATTTCTTGCGTGGCGCCTAATTGTATCGATATTTCGTGAAGTCGATGTTACTAATTAATCGACAGTCACGGGGCTATCCCGTTGCAGCATGTATCGTCTCAAATCTGTAAGCGTCTGTAAACGATCAATATGAGATCTTATTTTATCGTGCAAGAATGCACATTCTAAGATTCTTCATCGCGACACCCCAACGTCCTGCGATTCTCCGTGAGCGAAGAAGAGTATGAACGTCAAAAACGCAGATTCGTCGCGATGAACATCGAGGACTGAAGAGGACTCGAGCCTTTGACTTTCGCTTCCCAAAGCGCGGCCACTTCTTCGTCATCGATCCTCGCCCGCGACGATGTTAAAGTCTGCACAACTTATCCCCTTGTCGTCGCCGGTGCGCGCGCGCGCTGTTAATTCTCGAAAAAGGCGAGCGTTCGGATTTTCAAACTCGACGGACGTATCTCCGTGAAGTCAGTCGGTACAATCGAAGACGCGAAATCTGCCCGATGCGCCGGACGTCGCGGCGAGTCAATAATTACGCTGCTTAAATTACACCCTAAAAATAGAAAATCAATGTGCGTGTCCGCGTGCGGCTGGGAACCCGCGCGAAATAAAGCCGGACGGATGAGCGTCGCACCGAGTCGAGTCGGGTCGAGCATAACACTCTCTCTCTCTCTCTCTCTCTCTCTCTCTCTCTCTCTCTCTCTCCCTCTCTCTCCCTCTCTCCCCCTTTCCCTCTCGGACCATGTCGTTAGTAGGATGGCTCTGAGACTGAAGAGGCCTGAAAACACGGCGACGACGATGACGAGAAGTCAACGTCGAATGAAAGGACGAACAAGAGCGGCGCGTACTTAATGGCGGAGTATGATGGTTCCGTAATTCAACCTCCCCCCTCCTTCTCTCCTTCTCGCGCATACAGCGAAACGCTGGCCTCGTCTGATGACGCAAAGCACCCCCTAGCAAGGTAAATACACCGGGACACCGAATAATAATGATCGTGGTATGTGGACGACGAGGCCAGCGCGGAAGGGACGAAAGCTCCTTCCGCGAACTCATCACATCGTCGACTATGCAAATTATGTAACGATTATGAAACAATTTGCGCTCCGAGTCTGCCTTGTTTTCGCCCTCGGGAGATGCGCGTCGAATTTTAATAACTTCCAATCCGCTGCAATAATCCGTAGAATACGCAGAGAGTTTGCCGCGAGCCTTACTTGGACGATCCGCGATTCAGTCGGGATTTAAAAGTTCTCTATAATTTTGTAAAAAAAGAAGAAATTTAAAGAGAAGAAATGAGAAAGAGAGAGAGAGAGAGAGAGAGAGAGAGAAATTTTATTAAAAAAATCTTTCGCGGCCGCGTATATATTTTTCCTCGGTTCGCGCGAACACACGGAATTTCCTACCGCGCCTCGCACCCGGTTGACCTTTACGCCAACGATATCTCCTCCCTTATCTCTACGTCTCCGTAGAAGCTGCCTTTTCAGCTTTAAACGTCCATTCGATTCTCGACGCTGCCCCAATTCTGGCGGGCGGTCTCCGTCTTTTGTAATCCGAAATGTGGCAGAGATTAGTGGCGCGCGGTGTTGCATGAAAGATCGCAGAGTAAACGCCGCGATAAAGCGCGCGGCTCCTCGTCGACCCTGAGCGGAATTTACTGTCAGTCCTCCTTCCCGCGCCCCCTGACCCTTTGCCGCCTCCTCCTCCTGCTCCTGCTCCTCCTCTTCCTCGTCATCATCATCGCTAACGAGTCATTCAGCTTCCATCAAATCTCGATGGCTGGCTCTCTCGCGCTTTTTTTCTCGCTGTCTTCTCTTTTCGTTCTCTCTCTGATTCTCTCTCTCTCTCTCTCTCTCTCTCTCTCTCTCTCTCTCTCTCTCTCTCTCTCGCTCGCTTAGCATCGTTTTCGAAGCCATAACCCTGGCTGGAATCCAACGGAATGAAATCCCGTGCGGTATCCCTGACAATCTGTCCACCTACGATTGGCTGGGCCGTGCGTATTTTATGATGAAATGCGAGCCTTTTCGAGACTCGATTCGGCCAGCTCGAGGTTGACCGACACGCGCAAGTCCTGGCGAGATCCCGAGGGACCCGAAATCTTCCCTACCTCATCGCCGCAGAGGAAGATAAATACAACGAGGGAGGGGGGGGAGGGAATACGGTCCTACCGGCCATCAGCGTCCCTCGTAATATTTGCGCTTGTGCAAAAAATATCTCGACATTATTTCAGTATTTAAATCCCCGTGCGTGATTTATTTACGTAGGAAGCGAGGAAGCGAGTCGATCACGTTGCGCCGATATCGCGCGGATCGTCGGCGAAATTGAAAAATCTCGGTGAGAGGCGCACGGATTACGGCAAAAGGAAAAAGGGAAGGGACGAGTAAGAAAACAGGGTCGTGGCGATTCGTCAGTCGAGCGGACGTCACTATTTCGTCCGCCCGCGAGGACGAACGCTTGAAAAAGCGGGGCAGCGCCAATCGCCGGCGCTGTCCTAAAAGGAATCTGGCGAAACGAACAGCCAGAAACGCGTAATTTGATTTCGCGCTCGTGCCGCGGACGTATGTAAACACGCGGGGTGATTGCGTCACGGGCTTCGTCGTCGTCGTCGTCGTCATCTACGTCGTCTACGTCGCCGTAAAAGCTCGTAAAATGTCGCATCGGACCCTCTTCGTCCGACCGATCTATTTTCGTCGCACGCAAAGTAGACAAGCAGAAGGAGCAGAGAAAGGAGAACAGAGAGGAAGAGGCGCACGACTATTCGCCAAGGACGCGCAATTAATCACCGCCGATGCTTCGTTTACCCCGGGGCTAAGTTGCAAAATTATTTAATATCGGAGAGCAGTCGCGCGGACGAATTCAGCGTTTCGTGTAGGGGGAGAAATGAATTCGAAGCTCGATTATATTAACATCGGGGGGCTGTTCGACGCCGAGCGTCAAAGATTCGAGCACTTCGAGGAATTTCGGAAAATTACGGCCCGCCTACACCGCATCTTGTACCCAGCGTCGACATAATCCGATTTCACGTGTGCATGGCGAATTATGCACACGCACGTGTGCATATACACGCACGTCTGTGTGTGTGTGTGCGTGCGCGACTGCATAATGAGCCGTAGAACGTTAATGCGAAGCGATTGCCAATTAGCATCGACGCGGCCAATACCGGCGGCTCATAACGGTGCAGAGACAAGGAAGAAAAAACAGGTATCCGACGTGAGCCTTGTTTATCGTAGGTTACAAGGTGTACACGCCAACTTGCTTGCTTGCCCGCTCCGTGAGACAACGCTCAGAAATGATCGAAGCGGAGATTTGGAGGGGAAGAAGGTAAGGACGAGACCGGGGCTCCGTAATCCGCAAAAGACTCGCTGCGAACGTCAAGTCATCTGCTCTGGCTGGACCCGGATCTCAGGGGCGACGCTGAGGAGAGAAATGACGCTGAGATCCAGCGAGCGATACCCAAACTCTTCCGCAAGATAGCAGGAGCCTCCGTTGTGCTCTCGAGTACTTTCAGCGCGATCGTGTCGAAGTTCAACAACCAGCGAGATTACGCGCGTTACGTTGCGTCGGAGAAGAACGTTTTCTTAAAGCGCTGGCGGGAAGGAGGGAAGGGGGAGGGGACAAAGGGACGCGACACCTAGCACACCCCCGAGATCATCAACATCGAGTATCGAGCGCCAACGTGCCCCGGCGCAGAGTATCCCGCGAAAACAACTCGCCGGTGACGGTGTATCCTCCCTCCCGAGAAACCTCGCCCCGCCCCCCCGTCGAACTTGCTCCGAAATTTTCGCGAAAGTTTCTCAGAATTTCGCGGCGGAGCGAGTTCGCGCCCGAGGCTAGAAGGAATGACATTTGAGGGCGCGTCGCGCCGCGTCACGTCGACGTACCGCACGTCACGCTGCGAATAACAATCACGTCGCGCGCGCGCGCGCGCGCGCCTGATAGTTAAATTTCGCGACGTACACATACACTTGCACACGTCCACGCACATACGTATACGTGTGCACATGTATGCACATCATGCCTGAAAACGCACCGCGCATATGTGTGTTCGATTAGGGGGTGCCATACTCGTCGTCGGCTCCCGATGAGCAAGGACGCGCGCGGGTTCGCGCACGCAAGAAGCGATCGATCGAGCGCGCGTGCTATCATCGGATATCGACGCCGGTGCTCGCGAAATGCCGAAGCCGAAAATCTTTCACAAGGGTAGGTAGGCAGACACGCGGGGGATGCTGCCTGCTTGTCTGCCTGCCAGCCTGCCTGCCTGCGTCCGGGACCGTGTTACACACTCTCTCTCTCTCTCTCTCTCTCTCTCTCTCTCTCTCTCTCTCTCTCTCTCTCTCTCTCTCTCTCTCTCTCCCTCTATCTCTCCTCCTCCCTCCCTCCCTCTCTCTCTCTCTCTCTCTCTCTCTCTCCCCCTCCGGCGGCTGTTATCGATCTTCCCGGAGCAGCGCGCGCGTGAGGCAGAGAAATAGAGTGTGTGAGAGAGAGAGAGAGAGAGAGAAGGCGGGGAAGAGAGAGAAAGACAGAGCGGGAGAGCGAAAGAGGGAGAGAATGAGAGTAAGCCCGCGCACACGAGAAGACGTCTCTCCTCGGTCTCTCCCTGCCGCACGTGCGCGCACATACACACACACACACACACACAGGTGCTGAGGATTACATACACACGCACACACACCCACAGAGAACCCTCACAAGCTAGCAAGTGTCTGCACACCTCATCCACATGCGCGAGCAAGTTGCTATCTAACTCGAGCGATAGCCACAGCAAGCAGGGGGACGATAAGCGTCCGGAAACATCACGCACACCGGGATTGGTACCTGCTGAAGCAACACACACATACACACACCCACACCGAGAAGGTAGCACCAGCACTATCAGGTGCGGTCCCACCACCCAGACGACGAGCGCGTCTATGAGGCTCACGTGCGCGCGCACACACACACACGTACGAGCGAGCTCACCGAGCCGACACACACGCACGCACGCGCCATACACACAGGCAGCCGGATACATCCACGGCCATCATCCACGTTCGATGCGGAGATAGTATCCCAAGACGGACGAGCGGACGGCGCGCGTACGAGACGCGCGCGGCGCGGCGACGAGGAGGAACCCGTGGGAGGCTCGGGCGCGTAACCAGCCGAGCTCCGCTCCGCTCTCCTCCTCGCGAACACCCGCGCCTGACCCGAGAGGCTTCAGTAAGCTCGGAGCTTTCAAGCGGTCCATAGCCGCTTCTCCACATCGAGCTTCGCGCTCCGACATCCGCGGCGCGGAACGTATATGCGAGAGCGTCGCCGATCATCGCGCGTCTCAGCGATTCCGTCGATCGTCCACCAAGGGGTGCCGTCCTACCCCGGTACCCTCGACGTACTCGGAAATTGGAGCGAATCCGAAGCGGAAACCGTTCCGCAGGGAAGAGTGAGGTGGATAGAGAGAGAAAGAGAGAGGGAGTTGAGAGAGAGAGAGAGAGAGAGAGAGAGAGAGAGAGAGAGAGAGAGAGAGAGGGGGAGAGAGGGAGAGACTGTGTGTGCCGAGCGAGTGGAAACTGCGGAGCCAGCGAGTTGATCCTGAAATATGACACTGAAAGGACGAGGTGGTCCTTGGAGGGATGGTGATTCGGGGGTGAGTCGCGGGAAAGAGGATCGGCTCGAGGATCTTTGCGGGATCGACGAGATTCCGCGATAATTGCTGGACGCTCCCCAGCTGCCGGCTAGTCGGTCCACCCGGGAGCTTCTTCGGCGTTTCCTACCCTCCCCGTTGATCAGCCTCACAGGACGATCTCGCCGGCCGCGGAGGAGGAAGGATGAGGACGAGGAAGAGGAGCGTCTCGCGAGGACTCGCCGGCCGACGCGGCTTCGAGTTGGCGATCGAACGTCGGGCTGCGCGTTGATCCTGCCGCGAGATCGCTGGGATCCTCGTCGCCCGGAGGTTGCGAGGGTAGGCCGTGGGGGATTTTCTATTTGGGGCCGACGGCGTCCTCCTGTGGGGACGATCGAAGTCCTCCGCAGGCGATGGTCCTGCTGGCGGAAGCTGCCGCGGCTCCTGCAGCCGTGTCCTCGCGGCTCCTCCTTCGGGGCCCGATCACGCATGGTCTCGCATGGTGAACCAGTCGCGACCTCGGCGGAGGTCGCGGGGCAAGGAGCGCGGGAGGGTGGGGGGAACTCTCTAATCAGCCGGTGCGCTGCGGTAATTAATCTCCGCGCTAATTAAATAACGATACGCGCCGCGGTAGGAGCTCATTAAGTGGCGGGTGACCGCGAGACGCTGGCTGGGAGACGAGGTGGCAAAATCGGCTCAGGCCCGAATCCGCTCGAGGCCCCGGCGCGGCGAGATGATGAGGAAGCCGACGAGGACGCGAAGGTTCGCGTGCCGTCGGACACACCGCAGGCATATCGAGCGCTGCCGCCGAACCTGACCAAGTGAGGAGGAAAAAAAAGTACGCGGCTTACGTTCGCGAGTACGCGTCTGCGTGATCGCAGCCGACGGTGCTCCCGAATCCCTGCGAGTCCTCGCCGACGGTGATTCGCGCGAAACAGCGTCTCCCTCACGTTCGTCCTTTCCGTCCGGTCGCGCGCGATTCGCGACGTGCGGCCGCGGGGGAGCACGTTGCATCCGAGAGGCGTGAGAGATCGGCGAGATCGGTCCGACGAAGGAGGTGGGACGTGACCGGTCGACCACCGTCGACGTGTGTGCGAGTCGCAGGTGGCCCGCAGGATCGGCGTCGAGCAGATCGACGTCGTCCTTACGACAAAGGCACGCGCGAAGGAGGTATGTTTATCGGAGGCGACGTGAAGTGTGCTCGTGTTGAAGAAGAATAGTGGCCGGGAGACGCGACGTAAGGGGGGGGGGAATGTTACGGCACGCTGAGACGATGATGATGTCTGCTCGACGCGATGACCGTCGATCAAGGACTCGATTGTCCATAAAGACGGGCTTTCATGCGCGGTGTCGAGAAATCGCGAATGACATTTTACAGGAGTGATGGCTATTTCGGGCCGGACGTGCGGCTGTGCTGCGCTCACAAGACGCTCTTTGCCAATGTTTCATCGCTGCTGCTGCAGGTGAGCTGTATTTATGCGGCTTATTGTGCAAGAGAGAGAGAGAGAGAGAGAGAGAGAGAGAGAGAGAGAGAGAGAGAGAGAGAGAGAGAGCGAGAGGTGGGGGGGGAGAGATCGCGTCGCGATCGAATTTGCGTATCGGAGAATGGATTTTTCCGCCCGCGAATCGAATATTCACGCTGCTGGCATAAATACTTGACGAGAGCGCCGCTCTCTCTCTCCCTCTCTCTTTCTCTCTCTCTCTCTCTCTCTCTCTCTCTCTCTCTCTCTCTCTCTCTCTCTCTCTCTCTCTCGACAGCTCTCGGCAAATTCGAAGAGAATCGCTTCTTTTTCCTCGTTACAATTTAAAAGGCCACGACGAGCTAGCTAGCTCGAAGTCGAGAGCCTCGATGCCGGAGTCTCCATGCGCAGCGTAAGCACGTGCTCGTCACTCTTTCTGTTTTTCCGCTTTCTTTGACGGTCTGACGTGGTGCGTCAGTCGGAGACGAATTTGAAAATAGTTCGCGATACACACGCGCTTTGAACAACAACGCAATGACATCCCGCGTCAGCTCGCACACACAGAGAAAGAGAGAGAGAGAGAGAGAGAAGCGCATATCGTAGCGAAAATAACTGCAGCGTGATACGCGCGACGCGCTTAAATATAATATAATGAGCAACCTCTGACGATGAGCGAGAATGTCTTATTGAACGTGCCGCCGTGCCGTCCGACGTCATGACATTCCAATTATCCTCGCAGTCTCGATTCCGACTTGACGGGTAAAATGTCGCGCGAGAGCGCGAGGCGCGCAGGCGGGCAGGAGGATAATCATCGACAGGAAACGTATTAACAAGGGACTTAATACGAAGCGGTTATTCTCGTGGAGAATTGCAGACGGCGACGGGGCGGCTCTCGTGAATATTGAATTGCGTAATTTCATAATTCAGTGATTAGACGTGGATTTCCCCGATGGGTCGTTGCCTTCGATCTCCGGGGACGAAAGAGGACGAAAACGCGCAAAGAGGGTGGTTTATTTAGCGGGGGTGGTGGCGGCGGCGAAGGTGGTGGGTGCGGGGTGGTGGCGTCCGTGCGCGAGTAACACAAGTCATAGCAATGAAATAGGAAATTCATGGGATCGCCGTCGATCCACGACATTTGTAGATGACGTTCCGGGCATTCAGACGGGGCTCATAAAATCTTAAAGTGTTCCCCGGCATTTGTACGAAGCCTCGTCCGGCGATATAAGCGATGATCGAAATGACGATCGAGTTACGGCGCGATGCCGAGTGCGAATTACGTTAATCGACGTTACTGATTGTTACAACGAAGTTGGAATACGCGCGAACTCATTGGCGGGTTTTTTTGCAATGCTGTCTCTTAGATACGGTAAACGTTGATTGTGAATGCTGTTGGTCGCGTACATTGCGACGTTATTTCCCAGCGAGTAATGTTCGACGATTTACGTTTACCGTATCTGAGAGATACGGTATTGCGAAAATTTTCTGGTTTCACGTATTTTATTTTACGGTATTTTACTTTACGGTGTGTTTACACCGTAAAGTAAAATACCGTAACCGAAGAATACCGTCACTCTATTACTGCCATTATTCGACAAGTTGTAATTGTCTCTACGAGTAGCGACAAATTGCAAATAAGGAGAGAGAGAGAGAGAGAGAGAGAGAGAGAGAGAAAGATGGATGGATGAATAGATAAAAAGAGAGAAAAAGCGGCAGAGGGTGAATTGGCGCCACGAACAAATTCGCGAAAACTTCTTTCAGATTCGAGTTTGCGCAACTCGCAAAGGCGCGTGCAAACGCCGGAAAGCGAAGGGGCAGCGGGACGTGAAGCTTCCTCATTCGCACGGCTCTCGTCGCGAGCATAACTGAACGTTCCTATTGCGCCCGATGCACGTTACATTAAGCTCAAGGTGATATGGAAGCAGAAGTCGAAGTGGATGATGAGTTGTCGGAGGCCGCCGACATGGAAGTAATTAAACAATTTGCATTAATGCTTTCGCCGCGTTGTAACCGTGCGGCTGCGTTTCGACAACGCCTGTGAACACACCGAGTCGACGATCGGGGCTCGAGCGTGTTTGCCTGACGACGTGGAAATTGCTTGCAAAAAGAAAAGAACCGGAAATAATGCTCGTAAAAGCGAGATTCGTAAGAAATCACGACAATCACGGACAATCTGACAGCCGACAGTCGGCAGAGAATCGCAATCCGCATGAGAATCCGGATGTCGCCGCTCTTGGCGAGACGCAGCCGGAAGTCGCACAGACTATCACGCGCGATTTCCCGAGCTAACCCGAGCTAACTCGCGAACGCGGTGCAAAGTCTCAGGTAAAAAAATTCGCGCACGCGAACCGCGAATGATACCCGCGATACCTATCGTAGGCGAATCACAACAACAACATCGAGAGCTTCGAGACCATGAAGATCTCGACGAAGCCGATGTCCTCGCGGGCCCCGGAGAAGGACGAGTGTCCCCTGGTGCGCTCGTCCAATCCCCAGGAATCGCAACACGCGGCCGATCCCGCCGGTAACAGTCCGGGAACACTGAAAACGTCCGCGCTACCAGAATCAAAAGTAGTTCCCCTAAGTACAAGCACAAAGACTGACGTGAAGGAGGGCGAGATCGCCAGGCTATGCAGGAGCAAGAGGGTCAGCTGCCAGGACACCATACATGAGTACGACGAGGACGACAGCCTTACCATGGACAGGGTCGGCAGGTAACTCTAATCGAGGAAACGACCTCGAAGAACCGCGATCGCGCAAACATGTCCTTTTTACTAGTTTTTAGACTTTTGCGGCCATTGATACAATCAGGGTGCGTTTCTTCCGGATGGAACTACGAGCTCCGAGCCCTGATGATGCAAGCTGCAATGTTTGCAAAACGTCGGCACGAAGCTGAATAAAAACGCGGTATCCATCCGGAAGAAACACACCCTGAATGTCCTTTTTCTATACACTTTTCGTCTTTCGTCACCGTTCTGTTGCTTTCCACGACGACCCCTCGCGGCGCAAAGGTACCTGGAGACCCACCCTGCTCTGGTAGAGATGTGGCTGCGGAAGAACGCGAGTTCCCAGCTGCGACAACGATTGCAGAGCATATGTAGTAGTATGCAGCAGCAGACGCAGACGAGGACGCCGAGCACGTCGAGCGTGCGTCAGGAGGAGAGCCTCCTCGGACGCGGCAAACGCAACAGCGTCACGTCCGATCTCTTCCAAACCTGGCTGGCCTCGAGTTCACCTGCCAAGCGTAGCAAGAGTCCCAACAGGTAACAATAACATAGCGATGTCGTCTCGCTATTTTACGCTTTTATGAAGAAGAGGGGAAGGGGGTAGGACTTTTGCCGATCTGACCTAAATGAGCCAACGAGAAGCGACCTCGAGCGATCCTTGCTATGCCACCATCTTCTAGGACTCACAGCTCGCTGATGGGTCGTCGTGAAGAGCTCGGCAGACTGGATGAGAGCGACCTGTTCATGGAGCTGATCAGGGACGTGGCGAACGAGCTTGACATCAACGTGCTCTGCCACAAGATCCTGGTGAACGTCGGCCTACTCACGCACGCCGATCGCGGCAGCCTGTTCCTGGCGAAAGGTCCCTTGGAGGACCGGTACCTAGTGGCGAAGCTGTTCGACGTCACGCAGGACACCGAACTCGAGGAGGCCGTACAACGGGCTAAGAACGAGGAGATTAAGATACCGTTCGGGGTCGGTATCGCCGGTTATGTGGCGCAAACTAAGGAAATTATCAACATCAAGGACGCTTACAAGGTTTCACCAACTTATACTTTCTCTCGGGGCGGGGGGGGGGAAGAGGGAGAGGAGGAGAAGAGGGTGCGATCGATACGCACCGTGCTGCGCGTTTACGCACGTTGAACCCTCCGTCGAAACGATCTTCCACGACGCTGTAATTAATACGACGAACGTCGCGCGGTAGAGAGAGAGAGAGAGAGAGAGAGAGAGAGAGAGAGAGAGAGAGAGAGAGAGAGAGAGAGAGAGAGAGAGAGTGATTGAGTGAGTGAGTGAGTGAGGGGGAGAGAGAGAGAGAGAGAAAGATCGCGTGATTAACTCTCTAAATAGTCGGCCTACCCGACGACGGCCATTAATTAATCGACGTTACAAGTTTACACCTTTAGCGCTGTTGTTGTCGTCGTCGTCGCCGTTCTTGTCGTTGACATTAACACGGATATTTTCGTCGCGTTCCATCAGGATCCGAGGTTCAACAGCGCGATCGACATGCGGACCGGCTACAAGACGACGTTGATCCTGTCGATGCCCATCTGCAACTACGAGGGCGACGTCATCGGGGTCGCTCAGATCATCAACAAGACGAACGGTAGCAACGAATTCACCGAGAGGGACGTCGAGGTGTTTCAAAGGTGCGTATGCATGCGTGTTTGTGTGTGTGTGTGTGTGTGTGTGTGTGTGTGTGTGTGCACGCACGCGTTCGTATCGTGCGCGCATTTGATGTCGAGAGCGAATATCGAAGGGGTATTTTGAGAAAGAAGTGATCGCACGGCATCGTACGATCGCGCGTAGCAACGATCGGGACGGGAGAGAGACTGGGAGAGAGAAAAAGAGAAAGAGGGACGAGAGGAGAGAGAGAGAGAGAGAGAGAGAGAGAGAGAGAGAGAGCATAGTTACATTAAACTGATATTGCATAACACAAGGCCGCCGCGCCATGTTACAAGACTCCGCGCGATCGCCGTAACGCAATTATAATCGGCGCCGCGCGCGATCGATACGTTTATTAATACGAACCCCCGTCTAATTTTACGGCGCATCGATTATACCTCAGATACCTCACCTTTTGCGGCATCGGGATACAGAACGCACAATTGTTCGAGCTGTCGGTGCAGGAGTACAGGCGCAATCAGATACTCCTCAACCTGGCGCGGAACATATTCGAGGAGCAGAACAATCTCGAGTGCCTCGTCACGAAGATCATGACCGAGGCGAAGGAGTTGCTCAAGTGCGAGAGATGCGCCGTTTATCTGCTGGATTTGGACTGCGGCGAGGCAGTAAGCGCACTTTTGCCCGTGTGTGCACGAGAACCTACGTGTGATGCTAGCTTGCAACGATCTTATCACCGAACCGTGACGAGGTCGTGGTAGGAAATGCAAAAAACGTAGAGCCTAGAGTGGAAGCGAGAGAGAGAGAGAGAGAGAGAGAGAGAGAGAGAGAGAGAGAGAGAGAGAGAGGGAGGGAGGGAAGGAGGGAGGGAGAGAGAGAGATCTCGCTCTTTTTTCGCGACACAAAAATTTCGACTTTCGACCTCGCTCTGACATTTCAATCTCGATTCTTTCGCGCGACGGCGTGATGTCTCATTGTTGCCACTCGACCGACACGCCGCGCCGAAACGAAGCATTCTCAATTTGCAAGAGCAGACGCGAACGCGATTAATTAGGCGGATTAAATTAATCGAACGCGCCTGGCGCGCGGCTATTAAAAGCACGGCGAGAAGAGATTTTCCGCGTCTCGTTTCAGGGCCATCTCGAGAAAATCGTCGAGCGGCCCGGGAAATCGGTGCAAGAGAGCAGAAAGCCGCTGTCGAGGCGAGAGGTGAGTGACACCGCCACGTGTTACTCGAATTCGTAAGTCTTGATGATGATCTTTTTCTCTTTCCTGGCGGCTCAGAGCAACAACATCGACATGGAGGACATTATAAAACAGCACGTGAGTGATCTCCGACCTCCCATTGAGCGAAACACGAGCGAGCGCGAAGCACGGATAAATGTGAACATGCAATTTTGTTTTCCAGCGGCTTCGATAAAAAACGAGCGCACCTCCGCCATTTCCTCACGCTCAATTCACGTGACGTTCATCAATGCTTCGATAACTCGACAGCTACACTACTTTTTTCACTCTCGCCTATAAACACCACTCGTTTTCACACACACGCGCGCGCACACACACACACACACACACACACACACACACATGCTTTCGCATCAGGAGACTGAGACTAGAAAACGATCGCTTTAAAGACGACAGCGCGATGCCAATGACGACAGAAAGAAATCGCCGCGATCGACGAACCCGAATCGCGACAATCTTTCACAACGTCGTTCCGTCTGCTTCTCAGGCGTCCACCGACGGCAATAAATTCACCATGGTCTTCGAGATGGAGAACGAGACGCAGGAAGCTCGAATCTATCGACCAAGCACGAGCGACCTGTCGAGTTCGTTGGGACAGATCGCGAGGTACGTAGCCGTGACCGGGCAGATCCTCAACATCGGCGACGTCACGACGTGGCTGAAGAAGGACGTGATGGCGAACGGGAGAGAGCCGATCAGGAGTATCCTGTGCATGCCGATCGTCAACGGCCAGAGGATCGTGATCGGGGTGGCTCAGTTGATCAACAAGGTTCGACCACGTCACGTTGTCGATGATCTACGCGAAAGGGAGGGAGGGGGGGGGAGAGAGAAGATCGATCGTGTTCTTTCACGTGGCAACGACAAAGCGCGTTTTGACCGCGTTTGGAGAGAAAATTTCCGGTTCTTGGAAATCGAGTTCACCTCGCGAGCAGCAGAAATTCGATTTCCTTCCAAGCAGAGGACGAGTTTCGCTCGTCCATTGTCACGCTGCTAATTCAAGCGATCTCTCTTCCCCGCGCATGCGCCCCCGCTGCTTCGCTCGCTCGCGAAAGTCGCGAGAGCGTCCTTCCCCTTAATTACAAGGTGCATACATTGTTGCTCAAGCACCAATTAACGAGTGTCAAGCGTGGCAACAATGTGTCGCGTGTGATTACATAATCTCGGCAAGATAATCGGGAGGGACGAGAGGGAGGACTGACAGGGAGAAATTGTGCGCAGGACAACGGCACGTCGTTCACCGACTCGGACGTCTCGATATTCGAGGCGTTCGCCATCTTCTGCGGCCTCGGCATCCACAACACGCAGATGTACGAGTCCGCCTGCAAGCTGATGGCGAAGCAGAAGGTGGCCCTCGAGTGCCTCAGCTACCATGCGACCGCCAACAACGAGGACGCCCTGAGGCTGACCTCCGACTCCATACCATCCGCGGAGACGTTCAATCTCTACAGTTTCACCTTCATCGACTTTGATCTCACCGACGACGACACGTGTCGCGCCACCATCAGGATGTTCAAGCAATGCGATCTGATACAGAAGTTTCACATACCGTACGACGTCCTGTGCAGGTGGATTCTCAGTGTGAAGAAGAACTACAGGTGGATATAACGATCGTTCTTGCCTACAACCTCCGCTTCCGCGACCGCCTTCTCGCGCCACGACGAGATTCAAGCCGGAGATCGATAAGCCGTTATTGCGCGTCAAATAATTAGAACTTTGTGAATCTCTAATTATCAATCTGCAATTCAATACGCAAAATATTGATTCGCATGCAGCTGGGCAACAATCAATGAATAGTTACCTAACCTGATATGAATAACAATCCATGAATAAGTCTACGATTAATTGTGTTCTCAAGCAGAAGTTGCAAATAATTTACGATTCCAAGTACCGGCCTTAATTTCGTCTTCAAAGTAATTTAGCCGCTGTTTCGCCGCGTTTCATTATCCAGTCCAACACGTCTCTCTAAAGCCTTCTCTAAGTCGGAGTCTCTCACTAATCAGACCAGTAAAGTACCACAACTGGAGGCATGCGCTGAACGTCGCGCAAACGATGTTCGCGATGCTGAAAACCGGCAGAATGGAGCAATTCATGACCGACCTAGAGATCCTGGGACTGCTGGTGGCGTGTCTCTGTCACGACCTGGACCACCGCGGCACCAACAACGCCTTCCAAACGAAAACGGAATCACCCTTGGCGATCCTCTACTCAACGAGCACGATGGAGCACCATCACTTCGACCAATGCGTCATGATCCTGAATTCCGACAGCAACAACATCTTCCAGAGCCTCTCTATGGAGGACTACAGGCGGGTGATGAAAGTCGTGGAGAGCGCCATCCTGTCGACCGACCTGGCGATGTACTTCAAGAAGAGGAATCGCTTTATGGAGGTGATCGACGAGGGCGAATTCGACTGGCAGAGCGAAGAGAAGAAGGAATGTAAGCGAATCGCCTTTTCTTTACTTTTCGTATACTCAGGCGTTACCATCGCCGCCGATTGCGCAAATCGCGGCCATTACCGTTCGGTAACCAGTCAAAGTTTCCCACACAACTAATCGATTGTTCCCTCGCACACAGTACTATGCGGCATGATGATGACGGCCTGCGACGTGAGCGCTATAGCGAAGCCCTGGGAGGTGCAGCATCGCGTGGCGAAGCTGGTGGCCGACGAGTTCTTCGACCAAGGTGACCTGGAGCGGTTGCAGCTGAACCAGCAGCCGGTGGCGATGATGGACCGCGAGAGGCGGGATGAGCTGCCGCAGATGCAGGTCGGCTTCATCGACGTCATCTGCTTGCCACTCTACAAGGTCATGTCGGAGACGTTCCCGTGGATACTGCCGCTGTACGAGGGCACGATGGACAACAGGAAGCACTGGCAGGATCTCGCGGAGAAGGTCGAGATGGGACTCACGTGGATCGACCGCGACACGATCGAGGAGCCGGTGGAGGAGTTCGTCTCCTACGAGCCCAAGGACATCGAGTTCACGGTCACGACCTTGAACTGCACCCACGCCGAGAAGAAGGAGGTGCAGCCGGACAAGTCGACGCTCGGCAGGTTCGCCTCGCTGAGGAAAGGCGGCCGCACGTTGAGCAAGGGTGTCCGCCACCGCATCAGCAGGTCGCTCTACGCCCGCAGCAGCTCCGAGGACGCCGGCAAGTCGAAAGCGTTGCTGCCGGAACGGAAGAATCGGAACAAGCTGTGCCTGCTCATTTGACGGCTAACCTCGACGACGCTCGAGAGCATACCGGAGTGATGGCTACACACAACGTGGCGATACTTGGAAACGAGTATTTAGTTGCACTCGTCGCGGCTTCCAGGTCATGGGCGACAGGCAGCCTTTAACGTTAGAATCGCCTGGGAAGTTGCACGGGCGAAGGAACCGCGGCTATCAACGTGGAACACGAGGGTGAACCTTTAGGGTGAACCTAGAAGTCGCTCTTACGACGATAGCAGGCGATAGCAGCAGGCAGGTGAAAGCGTGACCGGCAGGAGGCATCGCCGTCGTCTGCTTGGTTAACGCGCTAGACGGAGGATCGTTGTCGGGAGATACCACAATGATCCCTGATAGATCGTCCAAGGAGGACTATTCAAAGTGTTCTTTGCAGAAGCGGAGTACTTACGGGAAATGAATCCTTATCAAGAACTCTCTGGGAGGAGAGAGATGATGGAGGAAAGTATCGTAACGCGACTACCTTGCAGTCCCAAGTAATCATTCGATATGGTTTCGAGAGGATTGGAGGAAGGACGAGCACCGGGAATGAAGAACGATGAATCTCGCGACTCATAAGGAGCGACCGCTCGAGACGAGTTCGACTGGATCTCGAAAGATTGACAATATCGACGGCGGGGAGACGCAGCAGCCGTCGGGTCGGGAAATGTTTCGATGCGGAGGATAAGCGAGGACATACAACTGAGGTGGATCCAAAGACGAGCAAGGACGCGAACTACCGACGGATCGGTCGAAATTTGCTGAAACAGAAACGCGAGTCATCGGTCCCGACGAACATGTCCATTGTGTCAGACGTAGCAAACCGACGAATCAAAATGCCGAAGTAATAACGCTAATGGCGAACCCTTTGCGGTGTGAGAACGTGTGAGAACAACCGAGCATGCACCCGAAAAGGAGAAAAGAGGAGGAGGAGGAGGAGGAGGAGGAGGAGGAGGAGGAGGAGGAGGGAGGAGGAGGAGGGAGGAGGAGGAGGAGGAGGGAGGAGGAGGAGGAGGAGGAGGAGGAAGAGGAGGAGGAAGAGGAGCAGCAAGCAGAAAGAGAAAAGAAGGAAAAAAGAACGAGAATAAGGAAGCGGAAGAGATGATCTCACGAGAGAGGAGAGTCTCTCGCATCGGCTCCCGAGAAGACTGTTGCCCGTAGGTCTTAAGGCGATAACATGTAGACGGTACTTGCGTAAAATATGTACATTTAGTCGATGGCTAGGTAGTTAGAACACGGTCGGTCGTTGCACCTCACAACGACATTGCTCATAATCGCAATCGTAGAGCGCGAAGGAGTGTGCTGTGTGTGCATGTGAACGTCGTGACGTCGGGGCGTCGGATGACGAGTTCCATTTTGACAATCTTTTTGTATCACATCTCGATATCTCCTAGATTAATATACACGCATACTATATATATATATATATATATATATATATATATATATATACAGTTCGGCAGAGAGGGAGGGAGGGATCGGTGACACATGCTTACAGCTCGTAAGGATATAGCGTGCGAAGACGAAGGACTCGCGAATATGCTGCTCCACGATACAAGCGCGAATTTTGCACTGGGAACGAGCGCGAATTGCAAATTATATAATCGCGAATCTGCGGATTGCAAATTATAATTGCCGCTTCGCGGGGCGATCGCTGTAAGCGTTCGACGCGGTTCTCAAGGTAACGAGAGAAAGTTGCTCAAGTCACTTTAAGTAAATAAGTTTCGAGCATTTCGGACCTTAGGAGCGAAGCGGGGCTTTGAGAGGGAGAAAGTACATTCTCGTATTTTGTATAAGCGTACAATCCCGGCTAAATCTGAAGCGTTTTGAATTTTCTAGACCACCACGGGGCGCTCGCGCATTAAGCGAGCGGATCTCAACTGTTCTAAATTCCCCGCAAAAATCTTCTGTGTGTAACGTTTCAGTTGTTCCTATCTGAAGAAGAAGATACGCCGAAGAGAAAAATTCCCCGTGTGATTTTCCCCCGACAAATTCGGAGCTGACTTGAACGGTCGGGGTGGAAAGACGATCCACACGCGTTCTTCGACGCGCGATAACGAAATCTCGCGAACTTGATGAGGGTTGTTCCGCATCCGCGGTTTCTCCAGCGTGAACCTCGCATCGCCGAATACGGAAGTAATCCACGGACGAAAGGACGGCCTCGGGTCGTTAAATCGAGAGCGGAACCGCTCGCAATCCGCTCGCATTTGCGACTTCAATACTCCGTCAACAATCGAGGTCCTCGGGTTTATTCTTGCGCTCAGTCGCTTATACTTTCTCCGTAGCGCGACTTTTCGACTTTAATCCAATTCATTCTCCAATGGCATCGCTTATACGCGTGTACGTAACGATCGTGGGTACATAGCGAGCGGCACTTTAGTGCCCGTGCGGTAATCAGTGCTCGTAAACGGAGGCAATGATCGGATTAACTCATCCATACGCGCGCGCACGTACGCACGCATGCACGCACGCACACACGCACGCACGCACGCACACAAGCAAGCAAGCAAGCGAGCAAACAAACGTAACTCATGACGCAAGCATGATCGCGAGTCCGCCGATTATTTCCAGTTCGAGTTTTGTACGTTGACCCTTCGCGGGCGATCGGCGAACGTGTTGTCATCGTTTTATGCGTTTCCGTTGCTCCGTCCGTTTGGCGCGTCTCAATCGGATGGCTCCGATCCGTCTTTCGGCAAAGTACGCGGTAATCGAGTCTCGTGCTTCCTTTCTTCTTCATTTCTCTCGTCTCCCTTCCCTTTTTTCTCCTCTTTTTGTTTCTCCTTTTCCTCTTTGTCTGTTTTTATTCCTCGTTTCGAGCGACGTTTAACGCGTCGATTCTCACGCGACATCGGATCGGTTCGGCGTTCGTGCGAAAGACCGAAACGCGAAGCGCGATCGGCTCATCCACGTACGGAATCACTCGAGAGCACATCGTGTATGTGTGTGTGTGTGTGTGTGTGTGTGTGTGTGTGTATTTTCGGCCGAGTCTGAGAAGCAACACGAGAGTGAGACTGGTTTCTAGTCTTTTGATATAGCTGCGAATCAATATGCCTATCAGAAATTGTTGCACATGGTTAAATAAAATCTGGATGTGCTCAAAAAAAAGAAGAAACCCGCCCAGCGCGCGTTGTCAGTTATTCCACTTGTTTCATGATCCACTGATACGATCCATAGACGACGTAATTACTGATCAAACTCGCTGTCCCGCGTTTGATCCTTCCGATAAGAGATAAAACACGACGCCGAATTCTACTTGTGTATCGGGGACGTTGATTTCCCAATCGGGGATATCAGCTCTTTCCGCGTCGCATTTACGTAGATCTTTCGGCAATGCAATCTTTCATTCGCTTCCTAAGAATATCCCGAGAGTCGCAGGACAACGGAGGACTCTGGAGGACTCTGGAATGGAGCATTCTGGAGGACGGGCCTGGTGGTCTGTGATGGGGCGGTTATTTATACGCCGTTTTCTTTTATTATTAAAACATTTAGAAATTACACTCGTACGATGGTGTCCTTTTACAGTTACGGATCTCATCAATCATATTGGTCCTACTGTTAAATTAAGTATAACAAACTCTTCTTCTTCGTTACACCGTGTGTATGTGTGTGTGTGTGTGTGTGTGTGTGTGTGTGTTGAATGTCGACGATTTAATTCGCTATATACACATTGTATGCAAGCATGCGCGCTGCATAAGGTCAGAGCCCTATTATACGTAATATTGCGACGTCCAAAAGAATTGGAACGAGAGCTCTCCGAGGAGGCCTGCTCCCGTTGTCGCTTCCCATTTCCGGGATCGTCGTGTCCGTCGTCGATCGATCGATTCGATCACGGAAATCGGGCGTCTACCCTTCTTCAGTCGTCTCTCGACGATCTCTCTCTAGAGCTCGTGCGAGATTTCTTTGTTTTACTTTTTTTTTTCTTCTACACTTAATCCTCCGATTCACCTGATCCTTCCTCTCCACTCCCTGTCCTGCAACTTCTCTCCACACGCCGAGGCAGTGACACGGCTGATTTGGCAAGATTCTTTTAGCGACGTCGCACTACAACGTCGGATAGGCTCCGCGTTTTCATTGTGACCAAGGACGAGAGAGATCGTTCTATTATGTACGCGCGATGTCACGCTGAGTATCGCGATCGATCAGGGATTGAGAGAAGAACTCGACACACAAGTTTGGGCGAGTTCAGCTCCCGGGAGATACGGCGGAGACACGCGAAATCGATTTCTCGGCCGCGCCGCGACACGGACACGCGCGCGTGCGAGCTTTATATTTCGCGTGTGATGCGTGCGCGCGTGTGTATGTGTGTGTGTGTGTGTGTAGGTCCACCGTGTGTGTCGGCAAGTGAACTCGTCGAGAATAGACCGGTTCGACGTTCGCGACGTACCTATTGAGAGGTAAGTACGCGCCAAGAATGTCGGTAACGCGTTCCTTTCCGACGGCACTTGTTGCGTATTACGATACTTTTAGGCTCCGAGAGTACGCGCACGAGGAAGTAGCGACCGCGAGAGTGCTACATCGTTTGAGATCATTATCGTTTACAGCTAATTGACGAGAAAGTATCAGAAGAAAGCGATCCGCCGTCGACGGATTCAGCTATTCGGCGAGTTTCGATAACTCGCGAGCGAACGAGCGGACACCGGAGGTGACGATGGCCGAATGGATGGATCCGGTTGCTTCAACGACGGACATTCCGGGGCGACGAGTGGAGCGAGAAAAGAGAAGAAATATCGCACTGCCTATCGCGAATGATTCCGGCTTATCCTTGATCACAATGCTGAACGATCGATTGAACGTAACCTACTTTTATCACCGCTTCTTACACGATTTCCCTAAACCAATCCTCGGGTTTCTCCTTTAGCGCAGCGAATTGTGCCAGTGTAATTTCGACCGAATCCGCAACCTTCTCTCTCTTCCTCTGTTTCTCTCCTCTCTCTCTCTCTCTCTCTCTCTCTCTTTCTCTGTGTCGACACAGACGTCCATCCGCCCGACGAACAAAACATCCCCCCCATCCGATGTGTACGTACGTATTTGCGAAACGACGAGCGTCGACTTACGCGCGCGCGCGGCTCCGAGCGCAATGGAAGATACATCGCGGAAGATAAGAAAACTCAGAATCTCATTCGTCAGCGTCCTGCCGGAGCGAAACTCATCTAAGACCTCGATGTTTCTCTCGGCTCGTTCCGCGTGGTACATCAACGAAACGCTCATACGCAGCCGGTATACCGGAGTCGAACGCCGTCCTCGCAAAATTATTCGCAGACGCGCGACTCGTTCGCGTTAGAGTTAGTTAATTAAATGCAGCCGACGATAAAGTCGTAAATGAATAGTAAAAAAATATGTAGACCTCGTTGTGTACGCAGCGAGTCGACGCGGCGGCGGTTCGTTCACTTTTTCGCGATGCTCGCACTCGTGTACAATATATATATATATATATATATATATATAAACGCGAACGGGACGAAGTTTCTCTTTGTATTCTCCTCCGCCGACGAATTACACACCCCCTCCCCGACTCGCAGCGTATGCACCTTATGTACTTTCGTATGTTACTTCTGTACGCGTATAGAAAATTCAACTTATAGAGTGCCACGGTTTTTCGTTTACGCTTCGATACTCGCCCTCTTTCGAAAGCGCCGGAGCTGCCGTTAAGATCGAGACTCCCCCCCTCCCCATTCCCCTGCCCGTGGTGCGTGCCAATGAACGCGAGGACTCCCTTGTCGCAATTAGGCCAACCTTGTAAGCTTGTTATCATAATTAGATTGACAAATAAATCTACGGAACGACGGTGAAACCCCTCCCTTCTAAATCGTATCGTACGCATTACAGGATCTAGTCGTATCCACGCATCGCGACCTACATTTTACCTTAGGACTAAGTACGAAGCTCGACCCGTGAGCAAGAGAGAGCTCGGCCTCATTGCGCACGCACTCATCGCGCAACAACTGATCTGTGCAAGATGTACCTGTGGAGCGCCCTGCGAACGCAACGTCGCGCGACTCGTCAACGGAGAACTAGCGGCCCCGCTGCAGCAAAATGCGCGCGGAGCTCCGTCGATCTCACGCGGTCGATATCGCCCCCGCGAATAGGTGTTCCCTGCACCTTGCACTGGCAACTGGCTCAAACCAGGCGGTAATTGTGCCGGCAGGCACTCACGAGCGCGTGTATGTCCATGATCCGGGCGAAGTAACCACCGGAATAGTGCGCGGGTCACATGAAGAACTCCCTGGATCGGCTAATATGCAGTCACGACGCAGGTCGGTCCAGTACCGAGATCTCTATTAGCCTGAGCCCGCGCGTCGTCGGGTCCGTGAGCAAGAGGCCGCGTGGCTTGTAGACCCTGTCGTTCTGTTCGCTGACAAACTTTGCTACCTTTCGCAGACACTTCTCATAGTGTGTCTCCTTGCATATGTACAGCAAGTAACCCGTGATGCAGGCCAAGCAGCCTTCGCAGTACGTTCTGCAACTGGGTCTCTCTGCCTCCGCGAAGTAACTGTTCAACTGATTAATGGTGTATTCGAAAGACTGCCTATCCAGCTGAAAATTAGGCGGCACATTGTAGTAAATATCTTGGTCTTCACTCGCCTGGGCTTCCAAGCGGAAGCTCTTGTTAATTCAATCAATATTACATGTACAGAGATAGACAAATATCAAATGGCTTATCTCAGCAATCACAGTACTCACTCTGCTCTCCAGTTCCGTCGGGAAACGTGTCTGGAACCTAACCATAGTGCCTTCGCTGTAGTCACGTTGTATAAAAACTTTCTGACAATTTGGGGGAGGCCCTCCACCCGCTTGCCCTCGTCCCGCCGCCATGTCCTCCAGGGCAGCGTGATTGCCCTGAAAAAATATATGATTGATTATGGTCTGTATTATCTCAAAAGTTGCATCATCGAGCCTCCATTTCCTCTCACTAAAACTTGACTCTTTTCAAAGTTCCCGCATAAAAACTACACAGCTCTTAACAGCCAATAATACCAGTGATAACATTGCTTATCACTGCTGATACAGCAAATTGCTAAAATGGCATTATTTAACACTGCCATGTCAGCTGTTGTACACTGACACACTTTTCCATCACACAACTGACCCCCTTTAAGCTACACTTCCAGCGAGCCATTTCAATAGGCCGTCCACGGAACGAAATCCGACGATAACGCTACAGCCTCGAATTTCGTCACTCCGACGCTCCGTTTCCCTTTCATTCGCAGTCTCTTTCTCTGTCTCTCTCGGCTGTACCGTAGATAACCAACAAAACCGCACCCAGGTCTCACCTCGAAAATCGCGAAGACGGGCAGTCGCATTCTCGCTCGTTCCGCGCACAATCGTTTTTTATTATACGACGAGCAGGTCGGCGAGTACGAGAGACATTCTCGGCAGACAGATCCCCAAGGCGGAAACGAAGACCAAATGTGTTCTCAGCAGAGCTGGATGACAGCCAGACAAACAGCCAGCCAGCCAGCCAGTCAGCCAAGGCAGGAACGCGGACGGTTGAACGCGAGAAAGAGCAAGTGAGAGAGAGCGAAGGACAGACTCACCAGTGGCATTTTGAGCTTCGTTTTGCCGGCTGTTTGGTACGACTCGGGCGTAAAACCGGGCTCCGGGAACCCTGACGGCTCGTCGCGCGCGAGAACCGCTCTCACAACTGCCGCGGGCCGACGTTCGAACGATGATTATCCGCCGAGAAAGCCGAGGAACCGTCGTCGGCTGCACACGAACCGTTCCGTACGATGACTCGCGGCCGCCATGAATCGTGCGCGCGCAAACAGTTATCAGCCACAGTCATGCAACGCTCGGTCATAGTCCTTTCCTTCGCGCGCGACGTTTCCTCGCACTTTTGTTTACATTTGACGTGAGATAAATGCACGTTCAACCGCTCTGAGTGATGGAAAGGCGAAGAAGAAAACCGCGCGAGCGTACCGAGCGCGTCGGAGCGCGCAGTACATCACGGATTTGTTCGCATTTTGCCGCTTCTTTCCGCGTTCAGGCTGAAGTGAGCTTTGAATGGCGAATGGCGGGAGCGACGGAGAGAGGGTGGCGAGGAAGAGGAGGAGGGGTGGAGAGGTAATTTCAAAGAGCGCGAGAATGGAGGGAAGACGTCTATAGTTTTTTTTTCCAAGTTCCAAGTACATAGCAAAATGATACAACTTAGATACAATTTAAATGATACGCTTAGAAACTCTTTTCTAAGTACAGGTTCAAAACTTGGCCTTGGTTGGATTTCCCGGAGAAATTGGTCCAAGTGAAAAATTATATAAAATCATGTCGTTGTACGAAGTGCGACGAGTGCTGCGCGATTCGTCGATGCAACGGTGAGAGTATGAGACAGCTTAATAGCGGTAAAATAAGCAAGACTTGACGGTGAAAAAATCCAATTTGCAAAAAATGTATCTTCGAATTACGTTTATTTGCACGTATCTCGATTTATTGAAGCTAAATTTATGTAAATTTATGTACAAGAGCTGTATGTATGTCGCCCATATATGACGATATCTTCGACATATGATGGTGTCCTAAAGAAAATTATCGTCGATAAATTATGTGTATATATTCGAACTTTCGTCCGTGTAGTTTCTTGACTAATATTCCCTTTGCTCTTGCAGAATTTTTCACAATTAGTTTTCTTCTGTTTCTCATATTCGAATGGGATCGAGTGCCTCTTCTCACGTCAGTGTTCTCTGCGTCGACATCTCAGAAATAGGACAATGTGAAAGGACGAAAGATCAAGGACTGTCGAAGCGCATGAGGTCGGACACGTCTTGCCGCGAGCACCGTCCGCACGTGGCCCAAGGATCCTCCAGCTCCCACAGATCCGGATGTAGATGCTCACGACCGGGTGGTGGCCCATATGGCGGACTAGGTGGATACTGTTCCACGTCAAAAAATTTCTCGAGCTCCTCTGGATCGAAGGTAGAATAGTCGTAGGGCTCTTCGCGCACCGGTATATCCATCATCCTGGTGGGACGCGGCATACTCAAATCCTCGGTCTCTTCCCACGGTATGTCCTCTTGGAAGAACTCCTGCTCGAACGGCACGTCGAAGCGCAAATCCTCCGGCAAAGGTTGCCTAGCAAATTTCGAGAACTCCTCTTCGGCCCTGCGAGCCGCCTCCCTCTCCCTGATGCCGGCCATGCTTCTCTGAGCGAATTCGCGCGCCGCTACGACGCTCGGATGTTCCCTGCCGTACTCGACACGGAACATCTCCCCCTCGATGTCAGGCACTCTGTTAAACGTGGACAATCGATGAGCCGTGAGAGCTTGATTCTTGCGAGAGCAGTAATGAGAAACCTCCGAAATTCCCCTTGATTGTTGTCACTATAACAATGCTCTGATCATTCTCACCTGTGTATGTACCTAGGTCTCTCTTCAGTCGTCAGCTGCACGGCGTTACCGCCGACATTCGCCACGGCCATCACGAAATCGCGCCTCGCCTGCTGCAGGTCCTCCAACTTGCTCTGCACCGCGGCAGCCTCCGACGTATCTTGCTCGTCAAGAGTCTCGCTGCGAAACGACACTCGTCATCAACAAGCCGTTAAATGATGACAACATGGTAAGAGCTACTCATTACCTGACAAATATATTCGCGATATTCGGAATAATACAACAATTAACAAGTTAGTACGTTTCCGTCGGAACGGTCAGAAGTTGAAAATTTGATTCGTAGAAAATTATCTTTGAAAAGCCTTAGGATCTATCGAGGCAGCTTCATGCGAACAAAGCTTGCTCCGCGCCTTCGTCCGGCCATTTCTCAGCATTTTTCCGCGAGTATCACCAACCTGATCACTTGGATCGACCGATTCGCCACTTCGGACACCATCTCGGGACCTCGTACAGTCAATTGAGGGATGCTGACGATCGTCGTGCGATTCTCGTCGACCGCCCGCGGCGGTATCACGATGCTGTCGATCGGACCTTCGCCGACCGGCTCGGCTTGGATCACTTGAGCGTTCATCGACTTCGCCAGTTCTCTAGTCCTCTCCGGGATAGGCGGCAATTCCGGTGCTCTTCTCACGCTCGGCGGTATGGCCCTTCTCGGCGCCCTGGGAGGCGACGAAGTCGGGTCGCGTCTGGCGACTCTCTCACTACCGAATCTACATCCGGATTCAATTTTTCTGGTTTACCCAGTCGAACCGTGGAGCCGAATCCTCCGAGGTTTGTCCGTTGTTATATAGTCGATTCAAAGTCGCCATAATTCCGAAATATATTGTTTAACACCTCGACTACTAAAGTGACCGATGTTTAATCGGTTAAAAATCAAAATCCAATCAAGAGCAAAATTGAACAAGTTAAAGCAATAGATGGAGATCAGTGTGACGGTCAAGGTGTTAAAAAATACTTGAAATGCACAGCCGTTTGAGCAACGGTTGGTGTAAACGGTGATTCTTGAAGATCACCTGACATCACCGCCTATCGGAGCAGCCGTTCTCCTCGGTACTCTTCGTGTGGGTGCTGTTTCCTCCCGCTTACGCTCGTACTCTTGCTTAAACTTCTCCGCATGCTTCACTCGGGCCATCATCGCCTTCGTCACCGACGGTCTGGTGAAATCGACCTTCTTCTGCTCGGCGACGACATGCCTGCGCCTTGTGACAGGCTCCGCCACTTGCTGCAGTCTTCCTGCTTCCTTCTTCTGTTCATATTCCTTTATTAGAGCGGCACTTTTCGCGTGCCGTAACGCCTGCGTTTTCGTGAGACCAGGCGCACCGATTCGCGATCTCCGGCTCGCCATCGTTGATCGTCCTCGCTAAGTGACTCTTGACATGCGAGAAATAATTAATTAACAACGTGTACAAATATTTAACGCCGTTATCGCGTAGATATCGCGTTTGACGTTCCGAGGAAGGTCATTATAAACGATAATCGATCAGATAATTTCAAGGAAAAAACGTAAAAACCTCGTGCTTTATGGAGTTTCTGAAGAATAAATCTGCTTGGTCGGCGCGACGACTTGACGCTCGGATGACTGACTCGATATCTTTTCATGTTGCGAAAACTTGCGATCCTAAACAACTCATCTCAGGCGGTGCGCCCGGCGTTCGTTAAGGCCGGGCAAATGGACTCGTCATTGTGCACAAGAATTTGGAATTATTTTTCGATTTATAATCGGATGGATCTGAAGAGTGCGCGCAACTCAGTGTCTGAAGGAGTCACGCGTGACAGATGCTACAGTTTTTGTTTCACTCTAACACGACCGCATCTTCTCGTTGAAATAAACTAGTCCCTGAAGTTGTGCACTTATCTGTCTATTTTCCATGTAATCATCCCCACAAACATACCAAATATAACGTTACAATTTTATGTGTGTGTCACATCTCTTACTCCTTTATATATATTTTGTTCTTATAGTAACTCAATTCGTACAAATAAATCTTTGTATATATATACATATGTACAATACGCACTTATTAAAAAAGTATCTTAAAAGTTAGTAATCCGCCGCGTTGCTAGCCAGATAATCACGACGCCCGATATTTGATGCTTGCTTATTCTGAACGGCTTCCAGTTTCGGACACTCTGTGATCCTGTGACCGAGACCGCCGCAATAACTGCAACCACGCTCGTCTGTAATAAGACAAAAAAAACATAAAACCCTGTATTATTTCAGAAAAAGACATTGACATATTATTACACAATTATCGGCAATCATACCTCCCAGATTGAGATACTTTTCATTCTCCGAGCAAAGTTCCAACAAGAACGGCGGCACCTTCTGCTTCGCCTCCATCAACAGATGCTTGAGGTCAAGCAACACAGACTCGTCGTTCGCCTTATTGATAAAAGTCGTCGCGATGCCGGTACGCCCGGAGCGACCGGTACGTCCTATCCTGTGAACTGCATCGAAAGAGGTAACGTCAACATCCGATTCTTTTGATACAATAATTTCATGTGTCGCGATTTTCTTTTCAATTTTATTTACAGGACTCATTCCTTTGGTACGACACACTGAGAATACACGTATAATCAAAATAAAAGAAAATGATGGTAAATTACCGTAATTCTCCACGTCATCCGGCATATCGTAATTAATCACGTGTTGCACATCAGCAAAATCAAGACCTTTGGACGCAACGTCCGTCGCAACCAGCACGTCCTTCCGACCTCCGCGAAATGCCTCGACGGAGCGTGATCTCTCTTCCTGATCTGTAGCACAGAAGTAACAGCCCTCGAATATCCCACGGTAAAATAAACAAGAGAATAAGTGCCATGCCATAACCATAATTTATTCGCTTAGTTTTTTAGCAGTTCCACACTTTGAATTGTAACGTACCTATGCCTCCGTGTATTGCAACAGCTTCTACTCCTTTTATGAGCAGATACTCGTGAATAGCATCCACATCGCGCTTCTTCTCCGCGAATATCAACACCGGTGGCGCGGTCTTTTGGAGACACTCCAGGAGATAAACAATTTTAGCCTCCTGCTTGACGTACTCGACTTCCTGTATCACGTTCATCGAAGCGGCGCCGGCACGTCCGACATTTATTGTCACAGGCTTTACCAACGCCGAACGTGCGAAATTTTGAATTCTCTTCGGCATAGTAGCAGAAAACAACAGTGTCTGCCTTTGACCCTGTAATAAGAGAAACAACAAGTTTAGTGAGTAGTTTACATTATCTTAATAAACGACAATTGACCTATCTGTGTTTGAGGTTCACAAGATATAAATAATATATAAATGAATAATCACCCTGAAAAAGGAAAATATCGTTCGCACATCTTCCTCGAAACCCATGTCTATCATACGATCCGCTTCGTCCATACAAAGATAACGACATACGCTCAAGGTAACCATCTTCTTGTGTAACATATCCATCAGTCGGCCTGGCGTCGCTACCATTATATGTACTCCTCTGCAAGTTACATAAAACATGTCACAAATCTAACATAGAAAAAACGTATCAAAAATACGAACGGGGCGGTAACGAATACCGACTTGTTAATTATCACCAATGACTCCGAAACCGGTACACCTCCGATCGCCAAGCAGCTACGTATCTCTGGACAGTCTGCTTGCCGTAAGCTGTTGGTATAGTGCCGAATTATGTCATACGTTTGTTTAGCCAATTCTCTGGAAGGACATATTATCAAACCTGCGAACCAAGAGATATTAATATCGGTATATATATATATACACTGATCAAGTATTATTCCAGTTATCAATTGTTGCATAAATGTTTACCATAAGGTCCCTCCTTTTTGATAAACGGCATATCCAACTCTTGTTCCAGGCAAAATTCAATAATAGGTAAAACAAACACCAATGTTTTACCACTACCAGTAGAAGCTATGCCAATCATGTCACGACCAGACAATCTGCAATTGTTTAATATTAGCATTGCTTTTTTGTATAATTTACTTTTTAATTACTTAGCGCAGCAAGATTGAGTGAAATAGATATAAATAAGAACCTACACTGTAGGTATCCCTTGGACTTGAATAGGAGTTGGCTTGATAATTCCTTTCTGTTCCAATCCATATAAGATTCCTCTGTGGAATTTCATTTCCTTAAAACTTTTCAAGGGTGGTGGTACTTCGTCACCCTCCACAAGTATCCTGAGCTTTCTTCGTACTTTCTCATGACGTATTTCTCCTAGATGGAGTATTACTCTTGGTGGGTGCCAACTAGTTTTGATGGGGTCCTTGTACTGGATACCTTTTGCCAATTCAGCTACACCCATCAGAGCTTTATTTTCAGCAACACTCTCCAAAATTTTTTCTTCTTCCTTTAATTGCTTTTCCATAGCACTCTCCTTTTTGGCTAAAATATAATAAGGATTTTATATGATCAAATTCCTAGTTAAATTATGCTAATCCTTTAATTTTCTATCCATCAAGTTTAGTACCTTCAGCCAATTTTTTTAGTTCAGTATGTTGATCCAAAAGAGAAATATTAGACTTCCTTCCCCATACTTGTCCATCGTCATTATCCGCATCATCTTTCTCATTCTCACTACTGCTCTTTCCAAGGGCATTAGTGCCTTCCTCTTTCAATTGTCCAAGTTTACCCAACTTTGTGAGCAATTGCTTCTTACGATGTTTAACAGGTATATATGGCACATATTCATCATCTGTATCTACAAGGCTGTCTTCCTCCTCCTCTCTTCTGTACCTCTACATTAAAAATAACCACCAATTCAATATAACGATAATGAATTAATTTGCTAAAACGAAGAATTTATTTAACGGAAATTTAAGATTACCTTTACTGGAGGCTCATTGTCCTGATTTTCACTCATTGTAAAAACTTTTGAGAGAACAGAAAGCTATGATAAAGCTTTTCGAAGGCAATACACTGCGATGTATTACCGTTAATTACAATTTCATGTATTATCTTTCAGTATTTCCTACAAAAATAATCACATCACATTTTACGAGAGGAAGTAAACAAAGTGCCTGGTTCTGATTCTGGTTCAATAAATGTCTCTGGGCAGAGCTGTTACACTCTATCCCCTATACGCCAGTCAACGATTATGAAGATATCAGAAAAACAGGGACAACGCGTACGCAGTCCCCACGATCAAAAAATATGCGTACAGTTACAGAAATATGCGTACAGTTACAGAAATCACGTCCGTCACGGAAGCGAACAAAAGACTCTCTAAACAAAGTGCCGAAAGTGTAACGGAACGATGCACGTATAGTGCACAAATGTAGTATTAGGACAAATTTTCATGATTCTGAGAAGAAGAGAAATATACATTTTTGATTGGTACAGAATACAACATGTGATCGAATAATATAGCCGGTAAATTAATTCTAGCCACTCAGGAATAATTAACAGTGTCATTTCGCCATTTTCGACTGGGATCATGTTCGAACTTGCATTTTTGAATACATTTGGATACATATATATATATATATATACGTACAGTTGTATACATAATAAAATAAGTTTTCGTTATGCTTATTTACTATGAGTTAATTTAAAATAGGGAAAGATGCCTACGGGGGCAGAACATCCGACTTCGATGCCCTTTCAGGATAGTCAGTACAATTGGACGGACGATTTACCAGTTTGCAAACAGTCCGGTATGTGTTTAACTCTCATTACCTTGATAATATAACCTAAAGGAATTAAACATTTAATAATCGACAATCGACATCGACAATCAGCATAGAATTAATTATTAACAAACACTAAAAAATGTGATAAAGCGGAGGCATTATTCTTGATATATTTTAATATGGATTTTGTTTCATATGTACTTTATTTACACACAATGCTTATATTGTGTTCTAGGAGTGGGTTTCTCCACTAATCAAATTTATCGAGAAGATGGATATCGACAGGAGGAGCATCCATTCGAGGATCGTAGTTTTCACTGCAGATATGACGATTCCACATTTCTTTATGGTGTATTTGATGGCCATGAAGGTACCAAGGCAGCTAATTTTGCTATGCAACGAATAGCTGCAGAGATTTTACTTGGACAGTTAAATGGCAAGTCAACTGATGAAGAAGTAAAAGAAGTTCTTCGGTAAGCATCAATATAACAAAAATATGATTTATGCCATAAATGATTTTAACCATGTGTGTAAAATATTTTCTATTTATAGACAGGCATTCATAGCAGTTGAAAAAGGATACTTGGAGTCAATAGGTGATTTATTAGCAGAACGCGCTAGTCTACAGTTTGATATTCCTGATGGGCTAAATTCTTATGAAACATATCAGAAGTTTCCAGACTTGGTTAGTCATATATTTAAAATAATTTCTTTATATTTGTCAATTGCTATTATACATAATTGATCCTTTCTCAGGTTGATAAACTAAATACATTAAATTGTGAGCTGTCTGCTGGGACCAGTGCTGTAGTTGCTTTGGTTTACAGAGGACGGTTATTCGTTGCAAATGTCGGTGACAGCAGGGCATTATTATGCAAAACAGACAGCAATCAAGTCCTGAGAGTTGTGCAATTAAGCGTAGATCATGACTTGAGAAATGAGGATGAACTACTACGATTATCTCAGTTAGGCCTGGATGTCGAGTCAGTCAGACAAGGTATATTTGATTATTTTCTCAGTCCATCTCATTAAAAGATAAATTCGTTAAGAAAAAAATGTAAATAGCAGGAATATGATATTGAAGGTTCTCATCTTGGAAATCAGGAAAACACACGTTGCCTCGGCAATTATCTCGTTAAAGGAGGGTATAGAGAGTTCGAAGAACTGGTATCTTCTGCAGCAGAACCCATTATCGCAGAACCGGAGATTCACGGTAGCATCGAGCTGGATGAATCGTGTAGATTTTTATTGCTCATGTCACGTGGCTTGTACAAATCGCTGGAAGAAGCGACCGCTACCGATCAAGTTAACAAGGAAATGGCTTTAATAGCTGTAGAGCAGGTATTATCTCGACCTAAATAACATGATAAACTTTAGGGTCGATCGTGTATCTTTCCTTCCGAAAGCTCATAACAAGTAGTAAAAGAGATAATATTTCTAAATCTAAATGTCAATTTTATTATTTTTTAATTACTTTCACTCCCAGTTTCGAGTTCAGTCAACTTTAACCGGTGTTGCTCAAGCAGTAGTCGACAAGATAGTAAGAATTCACCATGACGTGAATATGAGCAACACCCAGAGCACCTTGACTACCGGCAAACGAGACGACATTACACTCTTGGTACGGAACTTCAATTTCCCGCTACCGCATGCTCTGAAAAGCCCGACCAGCCAGTCCGTCAGATTCAATCCTGTGGTGCAGACCGCACCGGTCAGGACCATACCGGACAACGAGGATTTCTCCAGCACTGGCATCACTGACGACAACTTTGATACGTCGACGACTGAGACTTCGACGACGACAACTTCGGACATGTACCCACCCGGCGCCAGAATAACTGACCGAAACGCCAGAATCAAGCCTTACGTCGATTTCTCGGAGTATTACGAGAACGTTGAGAAGAGACGGCAAGAGGGAACTCTGCCGGAAGGTATAGACTTCTAAAGCATTTTATTTATCCACGATTGAAATATTGAAATTGTCAAGAACGGTATTATAGTCATATATAAACACGAATGTTCCTATTATTGCAACAAAAATTTTTCATTGATATTTGAACACGCAACATATTTATATACATCTGTGCGTAATATATGAAATATATTTGTTACCCATTCTATGTGATATTGTTGCACCTTCTGTGTGTATTGTTACACCTCTTTCATTGAGGTGAAATTTACTTTTTATTTATGTAAATTTATCCGAGAGGAAAAGAAAGAAATTAAATCATCTGATATCATTTATGTTGTGAGTCATCGTCAATTTTAAATCGAGAGGACATACACTACAGCTTATATCAATATAAAGATAACAGAATGTTGACAAGAAAGAACAGCCGCTACAGAGGCTACCTTGGAAATATTATAAACGGCTATTGTATTTACACGTCACAAGAGTGTTAGAGATATTTCGTTGGATTAGACTTGAGTCGTTCGTACGCGGCCTTCTCCAGGCACTCCCGGTGATCAGGATGCGCGATCTGAATCAGCGCGTTCGCTCTTTGTCGCAGCGTTTTGCCGAAGAGCTGTGCCACCCCATGCTCTGTGACTATGTAATGCACGTGGGCTCTCGTGACCACCACTCCGCCTCCTGCGATGCAAATTCGTCAAGATCGATCAAACTTCTATTAATAGTGTTCAAATATTAATATCTCACTTGAAACTTATCTCGAGATACATTTGAATTTAGAATTAAATATTAGCTTTTAGTTAAATCATGGTGTATCTATCAAATGATTCATCTGTGAGAAACTCGAGCTTCGATGTAAACTCTGACCCGAGTATCTCACAAAACAGACAAGTTTCAAGCAACGGCTCTTAATGATGATACACCGAGAATCTCGTTCGTCACGTCACGTTTCGTACCGCTTTTCAACACCGGCTGTATTTTACTCTCTCCTTTGCTCGTGACTGAGGGAAACGCGATGATGGCTTTCCCGTGACTGTCTTGACCTTTCGCCGCGCCTTGAATGAAGTCTAACTGACCGCCGAAGCCGGCATATATCTTACAGCCCAGGCTGTCCGAGCACACTTGACCGGTGATGTCCATCTCGATGCAGGAGTTGATGGCAGTCATCTTCGGCTGTATCGAGATCACTCGGGGATCGTTCACGTAATTCACCGCCAACATCTCTAACGTGACGATCGTAAGGAGAGAGAGAGAGAGAGAGAGAGAGAAAAAGAGAGAGCAGTAACAAAGACGATCCCCTGTCCGTGTGAAACCTCGCGATTAAACTATCATAATTACCGACGATTGGATTGACATGCAAGAAATCGTACAGTTTCTTCGTGCCGATCGCCATCGAGCCGACCATGCGTCCTCGATGCTTGATCTTATACCTATTCGTGACGTTACCATTCTCAACAAGATCGATCATCGCGTCTCCGAGTACTTCTGAGTGTATACCCAGGTCCTTGTGGTTGCACAGAGCATGCAGCACTGCCTCGGGAATGTTGCCTATGCCAAGCTGCATCGTCGCACCGTCGTCGACCAGTCGTTGCGCGATGATCTTGCCGATCTCATGCTCGATCTCGTTGGGCTGCGTGTTGGCCACGGAGGGCAGAGGGCAATCGTACCTCACCGCAAAGTCGAAGTGGCTCAAATGGATGATTGTGTCGCCGTATGTCTTCGGCATGTGCTCGTTCACTTGCGCTGCGAAGAAGAAGTATCAACGAAGCAGCGTTGATCACTTTTTTAAACAGTTTTCATCACTTGTTGTATCCCGGTAGCTTTAGTGTGCAGTAATAATCTAGTAAAATATTTAGTAATTTAGCATAATTTAATACTCAATAATAGAGTAATGATTTAGTATGAGGTTTTCAGAAAAACCAAACCGATAAACTCCGATTTTTGTGTATTCCGATACTAAAGTTAAAAAATCTCGAGTTGACGGGTTGAGTCTTCTGAGAGGCTCATACCAATGTGTGTGTCGTCATAAAGTAATTCGCGATACAAACCAATGATAACTTTCGCGGTGCAGACCGCAGCGCGGGTGCAATCCGCGCTTACGCCCAGCGAACAGTAGCCACGCGCGTCCGGCATGCTCACGTGGATCAGCGCGACGTCGGGCACGATCTTCTTCTCGTAGAACAACCTCGGTGCCTCATGCAGGAACACCGGGATGTAGTCCGCTCGTCCGTCGTTCACCGCCTCCCTGATATTAGCGCCGACGTACAAACTGATGGATCTGAAGTGCTCTTGAATGCAAGATCGAGCGTTACTCATTCCCGCTGACGATAGCTCGTGTCATGCTACCATGAATATCGTACTCTGAAACTCCGGATTAGCGAATGGCACGTCCCCCTCGAGGTTCATGTGCAGCAACCGGACGCCGCGCAGATTGTTGCACACCCCGTGCTCGGTCATGCTACGCACGAGCTCTATCGGCGTGCCCGCGCCGCCTTGTATGAAGACCAAGTGCTCTGAAAAAATTCACGAATGCAGTTCAGCAATCACGCTGTCAAGAGAATTAGTCACACAGTCAGGTGGCTTAATTGCAAGTTTGCAATATGAATCCAGTACGAGCAGAGAGGCATATATTTTGAAAGTCAAAGTTGGCAAAAACCGCAAGCGTCAGAGTTCAGCAGCGCAAGATGCAAATTTGGTAGCTAAGTGTTGTGTGGCTAAGTTTATATAGTTTTATACTTTGATTTAAGTAGAGATACAAATTTAAGTAATTACTTAATTAGGTAATTTATCTTTTTCTCACTACAATATATAAATTATTTTCGTGTAATTTTCACGATTGTACGAGTACCTGAGTTTATGATCTTCACTGCGTCTTCCACACAAACCCACTTCGGACACCGGTTCAGCGCCTGAAACGGTTCCCTCGCCACGTATCGGCGTTTGCAAAAGCGGAGAGGTGCTGCGTGGCAAATTTTGCCGAGCGCCAATCTTAGATTCCGGAGCATCTTCTCATCATACGTCTACTAGGCCGTATGAAAACTCGCATGATATATGCATCAGCTAGAAAAGGATCCCGCTGACCATAAGCGTCATACGGAAAACTGATCCGCCGCCATCTCTCCGCTTGATACACCTTGAACATCTGAGTTAACGGCGTTCGATTTTTCAACGACAGTTGACCGGCGAACATATCGATCTAAATTCTCGTACAAATGCGCTCCTCCGAATTTCTTTTTTTTTTTTTTCTTTCAACGAGAATGCACGCGAGAGGATGTGGTATCAAGCGCAATAAAGTATCAACGATATCAGCGATCTCACTATATTTCTCGTTTGCGTAATGGTACTTCGTTTTCCTCATTATGATGTAATGGTAACATTGGTAAATTATACAAAGGAACATCGACAGATTTAATATAAAAAATGTTTACATGTCGGAATGCGACGCCATGTGCGTCACTTTTATTTGTCTCAACCGTGTTCCAACGAGCGCGAACACGTCGCCCTGATGATATATTTGTATGTATATATAAAACACGCGTGGTTCAGCGTCTAACATGTAACGAACGCGATACCGCCTACGTTACTGGCTCTTATATTAGTGTTAAAATTTAACGTGTTAGAATCACGACTTAGTACGCATTATTCTCTCTCTCGCTTTCTCTCAATCTCTCTCTCTCTCTCTCTCTCTCTCTCTCTCTCTCTCTCTCTCTTTCTCCCTCCCTCTCACTCTAGATAGATCTTCGAGTAGGTTGACGAATTGTCTTCAGGCAAGAGAGCGCAAATATCGTACAAGGAGAAGACACTTCGTCTCCCGTTGAATGCGGACAAAGCGCGCGGACGTACGCACGGTCGATCATGAAATGCTATCGAATATCATGTTTCTTCATTCGTCACGCGCGATCTTCTATGACCTATGGCGCGGGCATCACTTTTAGACGTTCAAAGGCCGATTTCTCCAAGGCTTCTCTGTGATCGGGATGAGCCACCTTGATCAACTCATACGCCCGTTGCTGAAGACTCTTGCCGAACAGGCTGGCGATACCCTGCTCCGTCACGACGTACCGCACCACCGCTCGGTTGGTGACCACTCCGGCGCCTGGGAAACGTAGCGCGAACGTAAATGTCAACGTTAACGGCAACGTTAAAAGCAAGAAATTATCCTGGAAGCTTCGATCTTCACTCACCCAACGTCAGAACCGGCTGTATCTTACTGTGGCCCTTAGCGGTGATCGATTGGAGCGCTATAATCGGCTTTCCCAGTTGATCTTCGCTCATCGCCGCACCCATGATAAAGTCCAGCTGGCCGCCGAAGCCGGAGTACATCCTCGTCCCGATACTGTCCGAACAGATCTGACCGGTGATGTCCACCTCGATACACGAGTTGATAGCCGTCATCTTTGGTTGCTTGGCGACTATTCTGGGGTCATTGACATAATCCACCACTAGCATCTCTGCAGCAGAAGAAATCGACTGTTGAGATCTCAAGGACGATAAAAAGACAAATGATTGTTTCAGTAACGAGGTAATGTGTTGACGGAAGGAAGAAAGAGGACATTGGCAATGCGAGGTCGAGGTCGACCCACCTATGAAGGGGTTGTTGTGCATGAAGTCATAAAGCTTCTCCGAGCCGACGCAAAAGGAGCCGACGATCCTGCCCTTGTGCATCTTTTTCTGGTTGTTCGTGATGCAACCCTTGTTCACAAGGTCGACCACACCGTCGCTGAACATCTCGCTGTGGATCCCGAGATCCTTGTGGTTACCCAACAACGAGAGCACTGCGTCGGGTATGCTGCCGATGCCCAACTGCAACGTGGCGCCGTCCGCCACTAGATTCTCGGCGATGTGCTTGCCGATCATCTGCTCGGCCTTGGAGGGCGCCTTCACGGGGTGGACTGGCAGCGGTTGATGGTGCTCCACGGCGAAGTCCAAGTGGCTGACGTGTATGATGGCGTCGCCGAACGTCCTAGGCATGTGCTTATTGACTAAGGCTGCAAACATTATGAATAACCCTTAGACTGTACCTCTCAGCAGCAGGAGGGAGGATTCGAGAGGAGGTTCGTGTCGCCTTCGGAGATTTACCTACGATACGTTTGGAATGACTCACGGCGGACCGAACGCTGTCCACGCTGGTGCCGAGCGAGCAGTAACCCTTGTCGTCCGGCGGCGACACGTGGATGAGAGAGAGGTCAGGCTTGATGTAACCCTGGTTGAACAGACGCGGGATCTCGTGCAGGAAAATGGGAATGCAGTCGGCGGTACCGGCGTTCACCGCAGGTCGCACGTTGCCGCCGATGAACAAGCTGATAGACCGGAAGTGTTCTGGAATACACAGAACGCATGATGTTGTCAGACTCACGGTGTGAACCTTGAACATGCCTGTCGATATTGGTTCATTAATGTATTGGGTGAGTGCAAAAGTTCGTGCGGAGTTTCAATAGATGGAGTTATAAGCGTCGTAAAGTCATTAATACTTCCATCTACATATTATATAACGTTGGAAAGGTGACGTCTTCAGCTGTTATTAAAAAAAAAATCATTTGTTTTCATACAAACTGCTTCGAGAAATATCACTTTAAAAATGAGTATCGATAAGGTGCATTTACGGCATGTTATGTTTTACGAGTTTCGGAAGGGAATAAACGTTGCCGCAGCCGTAAAAAACATTCAGGATGTTTATCAGGATGAAGCACCAGCTAAACGAACTGTGGAAAAATGGTTTGCTAAATTTCGGCGCGGAGAATTTAACCTTGAAGACGAGCCACGCTCTGGTCGACCTTCTGACATTGATGACGATGTTTTGCGTACTTTAGTGCTCAATAATCCGCGAATTTCAACAGAAGAAATTGCTACAGCACTGAACGTTGACCGATCAACCGTTTTTCGGCGTTTAAAAAAGATGGGATTCGATTTGAAGCTCGATATATGGGTGCCCCATTTGCTGACCGAGAAGAACAAAATCAAGCGAATTTCTGCAGCCGTTTCTTTACTCGGGCGGCTCAATAACGAGTCGTTTTTGGATCGACTAGTGACGGGCGATGAGAAATGGGTCCTCTACAACAATGTTCAGCGCAAACGGACATGGAAACAATTAGGTGAGCATGGTGACGCAATGCCAAAGGCCAGTTTGCACCCGATGAAGGTGATGCTCTCTGTTTGGTGGGATTGCAAGGGCATAATCTATTTCGAGCTTCTCCCCGCTGGCGAAACGATTGATTCGGACAAGTACTGTCGCCAATTAACCAATCTGAATCGAGAAATAAAAGAGAAACGTCCGATTTTGTCAAATCGCAAGGGAGTCGTCTTTCATCACGACAACGCCAGACCACACGTTTCGAAAAAGACGCTGCGCAAACTGAAGAGCCTGAAATGGGATGTCTTAACGCATCCACCGTATTCTCCTGATATCGCACCATCTGACTATCATTTGTTCCGGTCATTGCAAAATTATTTAAATGGAAAAAACTTTGACTCTTTGGAGGCCTTAAAAAACGGCGTCTCTTCGTTCTTCGAATCTAAACCGCGCAGTTTTTATGATCGAGGCATCCGTATGCTGCCAGAACGTTGGGAAAAGATTATAGAAAACGATAGAGAATATATCATTGATTGAATAAAGATTTTTGTTTGCCTAATCACTGTGTGACTTTTACTCACAAACTCCGCACGAACTTTTGCACTCACCCAATATAATAACTAAAAGCACGCATTTAACGAACTCGTCGGATCTCAAGGAATCGTCGAGATTTCGCTGTCCTCTGAATTCGTACAGCCGATTCGGGACGGGAATTTACAGCTCGGTGAAAATTCCATGCGAACAGCGAGAAGTAAAGTGGACGTCGTTACAGATGTGACGACGTGCATTTTACTTCTCAGCGTGCGAAAAGTGGAGTTAACAAACACAGCACGCACAAGACGAGCTGTGTGCGACGCAGAAGAGCACGTGGAGCAAAGCAGCGTGTGACGTGCTGTTGTCGAGATATTTCTGAAAGACAGAGGAGATTACACCGCACGACTTACTTGCGTGTTCTGGCTTGGCGAACGGAGCGGCCCCCTCGAGATGCATGTGATACAAACGAACGTTTCTCACGTCGCAGCGTACCCCGTAGTCGGTCATCGCTCTTAACAATTCAACGGGTGTCGCCGCGGCGCCTTGAACGTACACTTCCTGGTCTGCAACGAAAGAGATCCAGCGTTAGATAGACATCCTGACGGGTTTTTCCCCGTGAAGGTCAGCTTTCTGCCGAGAAGGCACGTATATCTGAATCCTGCGCGATATTTTGAATTCTTGATGCCTTGAATCATTATCGTGAAACAGCATTGCGGGTTAACAAACGTTCACCGATATGATTTCATCGGCTGGCAGGATGAGTCATTTCACAGACGCGGGGTCGGAAAGCCGAAAGGCAGCAGGAAATGTTGGGTAATCACGGTCAGGTACTTGAACGAATGTTACGCACGCTACTTCGTCATTATTAAATTATTAAGAGAAGTATGCGAGAGGCAAAATAATGCGCCACCGCGAAGTTGTGTGTCACCACCCGCGTTAACCACCCATATTAACAATAATATTCTCACTTACGTAATACTGAATGATGTTGCATTAACAATAATGCGACATCATTTAGTATTGATTACGCAAGTGAGAATATTTCCTCTTATTGTTACTATATTATTACATTATTGTAATTACGTTATTATTAATGTAACATCTTTCATTACATTATTACGTTATTGTAATCACATCGTTTAGTATCAATTATGTAAGTTAACATTTATAAGAATATTATTTCTAAAAAATATTACACATTTAGAATAATGTTTCCTGTCGTTGTTGATCAAGAGATAAGAAGATTTTATCGAACGCTCTCGATGTTACGTGCGTCTCATCGAGAAACTTTTTTCCTCAATGCGAGGCGATGTAAATATTCATCAATTTGGCTAACATTCTACACACACATACACACACACACACACACATACTGTAAGTCATACATCCAGGGTGTGCGTCTGCACTGCCACGAGTAAGCTGATTATTTAAAATTATCATCGAGATCGATCAGCGTTTTATGTCATCGGCTCGATCGATCATTCGTTACCTGCTGATACCGCAATCGCAGGTGTGACACGCGCTCAAAGGTGTCAGCTTACGAAATACACAAGCCCGAAGAAAACAGAAATTTATATTCACCTGTGCGACGCGTGATATTTTTATCTCGCGAGCCTTAGAACGCGATTACGTTTGGTTTTCTTCTTTTTTCATTTTACGCACATATACGCTTCACTCGATAATTCGATTTTTTTTTTTTCATCAATATATTACAGACAACATCGTGGAAAGAGAATCGAGAAGATGTTTGCGTCGCACAGGAGCCGTCTCGCCCGAAATAATCTAATTTACTGTGCGAGTTATATTTAAGCAAGAGCTAGACATTGATATTCGCGTATACACACAGGCACGCATACACTCAAGCGTGTACGAGGTTAATGTTGGTGTAGCCGATCTTTTTCTCTCTCGATTAAAGTCCACATAGCTCGGGCTTTTTTGCCTCTTTGTTTTTCCTCGATTTACCTGAGCACAAAAATCGCTTACCAGTGGCATTGCACGCCTAATTGTAATTGCGAACTTGCCCGACGAGGCTTATCACGAAGCGAGGACAATTTTAATCGGGAGGGATATTGAAAGTATCATTAAGAACAAGGTCGTTCTTAATGGCTATCTTACGAGTGATGTAATTTTTAAGCGCGTGTTTAGCTGAAGAACCGATACCATGCGCTCGAGATCGGAGAGAAAGAGTCTGCCCGTAATCTTCACTCTGACTGTCAGGATGTATCTAATTTTGTCTAATGCAACAGGAGAATCTGTGCTTTCTAATGGGAAAATTCCCATTGAGCAAGACGGATGCGTTCCTAAAAGTGGACAACTTTTTATTGTACGCCCATACACGATAACGTCCACATTCTCCACACAATCTTGACACACGAACTTGGCCGAGAAAACATATAAATATAACCGAGACGCTCGAAAAACAACGTCATAGCTCGATAATATTATGCGAAATTCTTAGCCGTTGCTAAAACACGGCGAGGCGCTTGCAGTCGTCTGGCGATCAGGCAATTATCAGTTTCCTCTTGAACGGGAATAACACGGAAAAAAAACGGAGGTGTTTTTCAAATACAACAAGCAAATGTGTCACACTCGCTATTTGTCGAGCTCGCTTTTTGTATATGACACCTGTTTTCTTACGCGGTTTTCTTATCATATAATAAGTCGCTTTAAAGTTAGCAGGCGGCGACAGAGCGGTTAGTCGGGTTAAGCAGGCATTAATGACATTCCATTGCGGTTTTGATAACCGATGCAAGCGGAATAAATCAATATTGTATCGACAATCAACTCCAGTTCTATCAGCGTGATCGCTTATCGCAAACGTTTACACAGCGAGTTTACAAAACGAAGCATTTCGTTCCCCCGAAATTCCCATAAAACATGTCCTTGTTTTCAATCAAAAACACATATCGGGAGATAAGAATATCTTCCTCAAGTCAAACCCGAAAGAATCGTCGTCGCACTGAAAACTAAGGAGCTAAGGCCCAATTGCACCAACATTATTTTGGTTTTAAGTGAGACTTAAATATATCTCTGTCTTTATTTATTTAGTAAGAAAGATAAAGACAGACTTATGTTTAAGTCTCACTTAAAACCAAAATAATGTTGGTACAACTGGGCCTAAGACACGTCATTAGCGGACTTTACTCCTTATCGGCCGCGAATTCCGATCCACGACGCGTGTTGCCTGAAAGTTCGCCGGTATGAAGGACGTGTATTTGCATATTACGCAATGCTTTTAATAAAGATCTCCGAGCTTGCATGCGGTGGACGTCGCGGAGAGGAGCATTGGCGTAGGAAGAAAATAACCGAGCTGCGTCGAACTCGTTCATTGTGCAGCGATTGTCTATTCGGTGCTCTCTCTCTCTCTCTCTCTCCCCCCCCCCTCTCTCTCTAGGCGAGGGTCGCACGAAAATAATGCCGCGATTCAAGGCAATGTACTAAGTATATCCCGGTCGGTACTGCCAATCGATCATCCTGCAAGTAGAGGCGCCTGGTGCGGCGCGAAATTTGGCTGAACGCGGACACGTGACAGCCGCCGATTGGGTGTTGGGCACGAGGACGCAGTCCCACGGCGAAGAACAGTCGCCAGCAGGCGGAAAGCGAAATTGCCATATCGGTATAACACGTTACGTAGTACGCATCAGTAGAATCGATCGACGATTTGCCGTAATTGGAGCAAATCTTCCCAACACGACGGCGGGCAATACTGAAAGCAACACATCGCATACATTGTCTTGTATAATATTTATAATTAACCTTGTAATTAATACTTATGTTTCAGTGACTCGGATAGTGATTTCAACGATATCGTTGTTGAGAATTTACTCCAATCATGCACCCGCGACCAAAATCGAAGACAACGGCATTCTTTTCCGTGTATAAATCGGATCGCTCAAAGCCGTTCATGCATTCAAACGCCGAGTTGCTGCAAGGACAGCATAAAACTTCGATTCCACGTTCTCTCCTGTGTTTCTAGCTGAAATCCTTCAACGATAAACGTAGCGTCGGCCTAATCCGTATAAGCGCAACGTAATCTTTATCGAGGCTGAAAACAAAGCCGTAAACTTTAAGCCCTGATATCATCGCGCACGCATGTTTGCACTTAATGCAACAGTGAGAGAGAAAGAGATAAGCAGATCTCAAATAAGAGGAAGTCCAACTTAATAGATGACTCTCTTGCAAATTGCCGACCAATCGCGTGGCTACTACACCTCCTCCAACACTTCGGTTGATCGTTCCGATCAGCCCAACACCGCCTCGTTGAAATATTCATGGAAAAATAAATGTAACAGCGACATGATTAATGATTGATAAATCTGCCGCAACAGATTCCGTTTGAGCAACACAAAAAAGCGTATGCACGTGACACAACGGAGTAAACAAGTATAACGCGGAACGCAGTTGCATCGATCATCTCGTAATGCTGCGCGTACGATCGCGCGGCAAAATTATCAAGTACACATCGAGTTTTGTAAAAATGCGATTAAAAGGTCAATCTTGAGAGCAGGACGCGGCAAATTTTCACCATTAAACGCCGCGAAGTTACAAAGGCGCGCGATTACTCTCTCATCCCACAAGAGTGGGATCGAAAAATTAATTTTGAGCAGATCTCAGATGTCTCACAGCGAACTCAAGTGGCCAGGATCCATCCTGGATCAACCCGAGCATTCTCCTGCTCCCATTCAAGCGCGCAGCTGGGAATGCGCGATTACTCGTGGCGCGACTGACGATACACCATACTGGATCGTCGAAAAAACAAGTAAACATCCGCAGGCAGGAAGAGATTGAGAAGGCCGTCTCTTGCGACGAGATAACTCGCGGAGAAGCCACGAGAAAACAATCCTGGCGTTCCGACGAGCGTGAACGCATCAGGCCGCGCTGAGTCCGCGATTAAAGTCGATCGGGGCGAACACAATGTATCAGATCGCTGACACAGCAGCCTCACCTATGACACAGCAAAGAGGAAGAAAGAGAAAACCGATGGAATCAGATGTGGCCGAACGTGGTGGAGAGGAGAGCGAGAGTCTAACGGGGCGGATCAATCGAGTAGCGCGATAAATCGCTGCAGCTGTCTCCGCGCTCCGTCTCTCTCTCCTTCTCCTTGCCGACGTGGAGATGAGGCGAACGCCTCGGGAGCGGCAGTATGGTGTGTGTCATCGATTACCTGAGTCGAGCTCGGCCTGCTCGATGGCCTCGTCGGCGGTCTTCAGCCAGCAGGGCTCTCTGTCCGGGATCGGCATGGACGGCTCGTTCACGTATGTGAAGTACGTCTTCCTCGCGGCATGCTGGAGGCACGACCGCGAAGCGGACGTCATCGTCGTGAGCGCCCGGGTCAGGCTGGTGATACGCTTGAGGGCCGCCATGCTTCGACTGCTAACGTTCGCAAAACCGTCTCACCACTACTCTCTCTCTCTTCCGCGCGCGCACTGACACGACTGACTCTCAGCAGCGATCGCGCCCGCGAACCACCGCGAATGTCCGTGATATTCGTAGGGGTAGGATGCGCCACCACACACCCCCGCGCGCGCTCTCTCCCCTCTATCTCTCTCCTCTCCGCAGCGCGATGAATGTCAACGTCCAGCGTGAAATAGCGAGTGACTCGCGGCTAACGTCGCGACGACCGCGCTGCTGCGCGCGTCTTCTGCACTTTCCTGCGCTTGGAAGCAGAGACGGCTGGATATTTCGGCTTTGGAGAGAAAGAGAGGAGAAGAGAGAGGCAAAGGGCAAAGTGCAGAAAAGAGCCGGAAGAGCCAGGCGCGAATCGGGCGCGCGTCGGCAGTGAGTGATAAAAGTTGGGAATCTCATGATATTCGCGCGGCGGGATGAAACGAAATGAGTGAAGCAAATAGCACCGCGAAGGCATCCTGACGCAGGATCTGCCGTACACGTGCAAGATGACTTCGTCTTACGCGATTGTCCTGATAAATTGATACCCGTGTCGCGAGAAGGACAGAGAAATCGAACCACTCTTGTCGCTTGAGAGAAATCGAGGACGAGCGAAAGGAGAACATCGATCGTCGATTATCGATTGATCGTCGCCGCGATCGAAACGCGACTCCGTCGCGATGCCAGACAACGGCGATGTTCAGAGCGCGCTGGAAATATTCAAATTATCCGCGGCTTATCCGAATTATCAGAGCCGCGCAACCGCGTCTGTCATCGCGCGCTATCGTCGCGCCCCCATCTTCCTGCCGCGTCTGGTCGGCGTCAAGAGACGAGACATCGAGAAGTCAGCGAGCGGCCGGAGCGGGCGCGCGAGCCCTTCGTCGTGTCCCTTAATTCCGCAAACCTCCTCCCCGTGGGACAGACTCGCCTCCTGCCGGCGATTTTCCTTCGAAACGTGAGCTTAACGATTCACCTAGTCCGAGCCACGTGATTGCACGTGCCTCGTCCGCCGTCGTTCCCTCTCTCTCTCTCTCTATGTTTCTCTGTCTTCACTCTCGGAATACGTGCACCAAGCACGATCAGCGCGTTACAGCTCCTCGCGATCCCTCGCGACTCGAAGGAGGCGCGATCCTGCCAAAAAGCTTCTCGACAGGCTCGACCAGACGTGCGTGCATTCCGCGTTTCATTTTCGATATTCGGTCGCGCGCGCGCGCGCGACGATCGGCCACCTCCCCCCTCCCCGCTCAGGCACTTCTTTCTTATCCATCTTTCTTTCTCGCTCTCGACACAGCGCGACGGAGAGCAGTATCTTCTGCTGTTCCGAGGAGTTGGCAGTGGCATCGGGGACGGCGGATCACGCGTGAGTGGAACTGAGACGCAGACGACAGCGAGATGTATTCGAAGACCATCAACAGCCAACAGGCGAGCCAGGAACACGTACTCGCCGTGTCCCGGGACTTCATCGCGCAGCCCCGGCTCAGTGAGTAGCCGCCCGATTTTCCCTCTCGTCTCGGCGACGAGCTCGAACTCGGGAGATCCAAGTGGGCGTAGCATCTGATCGATCCTCAATTGGGTCAGCTGATCCCCGAAATTCCCGTCACCCGGCGCTTCTTCCGCGACCAGGAGGACCCGCGATCACGGGAACGGTTGCTCACGACGTCGCGGAGCCCGCGGGCGGACGCGGTTGCCCGTGGACGGCCGTGAAATCGCCGCTCTCGAGGCCGAGCTCGCGGCGTCATGTGACTACGGACGATTCGTGGCAATTCGTGTCGGGCGCGTGATTTCGGGCGGTTTAACGCGCTCCCCCGGGGAACTCGGCTGGTTTTCCGACCGGTACTGAAGGATCACGAGAAAGACCGATTCCAGCATCGGACGACGTCTTCGCCTTCGGGCGTGACTTCCGTCCTTGCTGTCCACTTGATATCCGCGGAATTGTGACATAATACATCGTAGGAGACACGAGTGTTTGAGCAATCTGTTGTAACGCTATATTTTGTATAAGCAAGCGGTACACTTTGTGTCATATAGTTTATTAGATTCGTATTTCTGAACTTATTCGGCGAGAGACAATCTGGGGAAAAATTGGAGATATGAATAGAAATTATTAGCGAAAGGTACATATATATGCGTATGAGATTTCTGTAATTTTTTTGTCAAATTGATATAATTTCCATTGAGTAGATGCAATTTTCGTTAAAAGTACATACATTAATAACACGAAAAATATTGTGTTTTAGAAAGTAATCAATTATTAGTGAAAGATATACGTATATGTGTATGAGGATGTAATTTTTATCAAGTTGATATAATTTCCATTGAGTAAATGTAATTTTCATTAATAACACGAGGGACATTGAGTTTTAAGTAGTAATTGACTTCGCTTCTTTCAGCTTATAAGACAGTATCTGGAGTAAACGGTCCACTGGTGATATTGGACGAAGTGAAGTTCCCAAAGTATGCCGAGATCGTACAGCTGAAGCTTGCAGATGGCTCATTACGTTCTGGCCAAGTGCTCGAGGTGTCCGGCTCCAAAGCTGTGGTCCAAGTGTTCGAGGGCACATCGGGTATTGACGCGAAGAACACTCACTGCGAATTCACCGGTGATATCCTGCGGACCCCAGTATCCGAGGACATGTTGGGCCGTGTGTTCAACGGCTCAGGCAAACCGATTGATAAGGGCCCGCCGATCTTGGCGGAGGATTACTTGGACATCCAAGGTCAGCCTATCAATCCATGGTCGCGTATCTATCCAGAAGAGATGATTCAAACGGGAATATCAGCCATCGATGTTATGAACTCCATCGCTCGTGGTCAGAAGATTCCTATTTTCTCCGCTGCTGGTCTGCCGCATAATGAGGTATATTTTCATAAATTTCGATAAATTTTTGTAAAAGAAAAGGAGAAGTAAATATGTAAGATGAAATTTCGAAAAATCGAAACACTTAAAGTGAATATTTTTCTATTTTTGTTTTCATTATAATTATAGATTTTTACTAGAAATATATTTGTTTATTACAGCATACGTACGATCGAGTTTTTGACAATGACATAAAATTAACTTGGTTTCTCGCTAATTATTAATTATCAAGTGTCTTAACAATTCTACTTATTTTTTTCACTCAGTACTTTTTTTTTCTATTAAATTCAAATGTTCCATCCTTCTTTCAACAGATCGCCGCACAAATCTGCCGTCAAGCAGGCCTCGTGAAGGTACCCGGCAAGTCCGTGCTGGACTCGCACGAGGACAACTTCGCCATCGTGTTCGCGGCGATGGGTGTCAACATGGAGACAGCGCGTTTCTTCAAGCAGGACTTCGAGGAGAACGGCTCGATGGAAAATGTGTGCCTCTTCCTGAACTTGGCCAACGACCCGACAATCGAGCGCATCATCACGCCACGTCTCGCCCTGACTGCGGCCGAGTTCCTGGCGTATCAGTGCGAGAAGCACGTGCTGGTCATCCTCACCGACATGTCGTCGTACGCTGAAGCTTTGCGCGAGGTCTCAGCCGCTCGCGAAGAGGTGCCGGGTAGGCGCGGTTTCCCCGGTTACATGTACACCGATCTGGCGACCATCTACGAGCGCGCCGGACGTGTCGAAGGTCGCAACGGCTCCATCACGCAGATCCCGATTCTCACTATGCCGAACGACGACATCACTCACCCGATTCCCGATCTCACGGGCTACATCACCGAGGGCCAGATTTACGTCGACCGTCAACTGCACAACCGGCAGATCTATCCGCCTGTCAACGTGCTGCCGTCTTTGTCGCGTCTCATGAAGTCCGCCATTGGCGAGGGCATGACGCGAAAGGACCACTCTGATGTGTCTAATCAGCTGGTGAGTCGTAAATTAGAGCAGGACCATGAATTGGCTAATCTCTTCGAAATCGTGTCTTCTTTGTAGTTAATTGAATCGAGATTGATCTCTTGAAAACAAGCCAAGCAATTAATTCTACGATATCGTTTTGCGATTTCTCATAATTCTCACGATTTTACGTAACTTCCGGAAATCACAATGGCTTTGGCGTGTACGTGCTTCGTCGTTGTAAGAATGAATCTTATTAATCGTGTCTGTTTTCTAGTACGCTTGTTACGCCATCGGGAAAGACGTGCAGGCCATGAAAGCCGTGGTGGGAGAGGAAGCGTTGACGCCGGACGACTTGCTGTATCTGGAGTTCTTGTCGAAGTTCGAGAAGAACTTCATCTCCCAAGGCAGTTACGAGAATCGCACGGTGTTCGAGTCGTTGGACATCGGCTGGCAGCTCCTGCGAATCTTCCCCAAGGAAATGCTTAAGCGAATCCCGGCCAGCACTCTCGCGGAATTCTACCCGAGGGACTCGCGTCATTAATTAATCGCCGTTTTATTTATGAGAGTCTAGCCTTATATATAGCCGTATATAACATCAGATCGTTGGAAGTTTTTGAGATGAAACGGCGAAAGTCACACGCGTTATTATTACCAGTCTGCGACCCTCTGTTCATCTGACATTGATTAGAACAAAGAAAGATTAACTATACTCACGTATTCAAAGAGTACATCGACGTAATTTGACAAGAGAATAATTCAAACGACGCTTGCTCTTTTGGGAAGAAAGTAATTGAAGAAAGAGTGACGCGCTTTGTTACACGCTATGAATATTTAACGGTACAAGCTACAGGATCGTTTCCTTTTTTCTTTTTTTTTTTCCGTTTCTTGGATGTGCAATGAAAAAGTGAGGAGTCAATATCGTTCGACAATTTAACAGCGGAGCTAGCTCGGAATCCTACGGACGGATCTGTAGTCGCGGTTCCGGTGCTGTGTGTGTTGCCTATCGTGAAAATAAAAACTGCGAATATATCGTTTCAACTTTAACGTATGCCTCTCGTGCTTAGAGCGGTGCTCACTCACGCTAAGCCGACCATTGTAAAGTGTAATATATCATTCAGTATTAACATAGAAGAAAAGTATAGCAGGACACGTAGTTCGTGAACACATTGTACTTGCGTTTCCTACATTCCACTTGCGAAATTCACATGCAACATGTTTTATGCGTTTGAACCAAATCCAACGGAGAGATGTGTAACAAGAAATGTACAGATACTTATTTAGAGGACGTTCTGAGCGAAACATTATCGTGTATTGTCTCTACGAAAGGCAAGATGTATATGTTAGAAATAGAGAATTAAAGAAATATTGTTGTCTTTGGATCGTTACATTTACATGTCATTTCGATTGCCCTTTAAATCCATTTTGCTCGCATTGTTTCTCGTATATTCGACTGGTCAAGTTTTCCTTCAATTCTAGTTTTTTTATTAATTATATAACATGCGCATCTACAATAATATATTTCAGAAATATACATATAAATCCATCAATTCCTGTAAATAAATAAATGGATTAATATGATGTGTGGAAATAAATATCCGTCTAATTTGCTGTTGATTCTCGTGATTCTTGAAAATAAAATGTATATGTGTATGTCTGACTTATAAATAATGTTACTTGTAGAGAGAACTTTGAAACTAATTTAAAAGAAATGACAGGGCTAATAATTTATTAGACCTGTTTTTTGCTACCAGAAAGTAACTTTTAAACTCTACAGGCTCGTCTACATTAGCTGTAAGAGTAAGGCTGTAAGGTTGCAAGACACGAAATGAAATATTTTCATTCGCTGACAGCTTACGTTGCAGCCTTACAGCCTTACTCTTACAGCTATTGTAGACGAGCCTTAATAATCTTATAAATTTCTTATTATTTCATTAAAATAATAGATCTAATAAATATCATAAACCTTACTGATTCGACAAAAATAACGGGTCAAATATCTCTTAAACTCCTTATTCAACGATCTCGAATGTAGTTTGAGTCTCGGCTAAATTTTATAGAATCCTTGAAGTTACCGACCTCCATAAAACTTAGCCGAGACTCGAACCGGTTAAAAATTATCTAAATAAAGGGTCTAGGAAATATTTAGCCTATTATTTTGTCGAATCAGTAAAATTCATGAAATTAGATTGGTTATTTTAGCAAACTAAGAAGAAGTTTACAAGATTATTAAACGATATTTTTCGGCAGTGAGTAAAAGATTTAAAAGATTATTAAACTTTTTTCCGTAGTAAATAAGAAGGATCTAAGAAATTATTAGAGACCCGTTATTTCTATCCAAATTAGTTCTACGATTTTCCGCTATGAACCACCACTTACCTTAAATTATTAAGAATTGAAGCAGTAGTGCAAGTCAATAATTTATTAGACATCTTATTATTATTTAAATTTGACTAAACAAAAAAGAAAGTAGCTCAACAATGTGAAAAAAATCTATCAAAATTGATCTATTGATAGATTAAAATACATTAGTAATCTTTACTGATAGGACAAACTATTAAATGTTATGAATAATATTATCGATAATTATACATTTCACTATTAGACATTAGAGAACTTTGCAATGTTTCTCAGATACGAAGAACGCTAAAAAGCTCTTTACAACGGCTGCAAGAATAAAGCTGTAAGCGTAAGCAATAAAAAATAAACTAACCACAGTCGATTGTTATAAGAATAAATTGGCGACGCAATGAGCGAATGACAGCCACATAGAACTCGTTTTATTAGAAAGATACATTCAAACACACTCCAATTGCCAGCGACACTAGCGCACTCAGATAGACTCAAGAGAAAGTAATTGGAAACTTCTAACCGCTGTCTGAGTTGTTGCCCCCGATCACTATAAACGAATTTAAACGAGGTTTTGCTTGACAATTCGCGCCATTTCTGTACCAAATGACAAATTAATAATTAACCGAGCTGATAATTAAATAGAGAAAGTACTCAGGCTCGTGCAATGGTAAGAATTTATAAGATAAATCTATCTTGTCTAACAATACATTATTTAAGAGTACAACATACAAAATATAAAGGTTATGTGTCTGCATATTAAACACATATTTATAATCGCTTTAAAATTAACAAATTTATCTATATCCGTAATATTATATAATCAAAATATAAATTAAGAAATTTATTTAGCTCACAATACTTTCACATATTTTTCTTAATATTAAATGGTATTGTATATCCTTCTGTCATGTCTATATACACAATGTATAGTATAAATATTTCTTTCTCATATGTTTCATACGTAAGATTCGATCATTGGCGCCTAGTCAGCGTGGGAAACGTCCTTTACTCTTAGATATATCCAACACCACAGAGTTAACCCAGTCGGAAAATTTTACACAACAATTAAAGAAGAGATCTTCAAAACATATTAAAGATGTGCAGATACCAGAACGTAAAGCTGTTCTTCTTTCTGATAATGGTGTTCGTGCGGCTCAAGAGATGATATCAGAACATGTAAGTTTATGTATAAGTATGTATGTTAAATATTTATCTTTGTTTCATATACATAATCCTTTGATATAGAAGTAACACGTAACATTGATTAGGAAGAAAGAGTGAGAAAGCTACTCAACAAACCATTTAAAATACCAGTACCTGGCTATGAGTTATCCAGAAGATATCTTGGAGCATATTTCTCAGGACCACGTAGGCCACTACATGATCCAAATGAAGCCAATGCATTGATTGTCTACTCGCCACCAGAGATGTCTGAACATGAGAGATTAAAAGCAGATCTGTATGTAGACAATATCTTTTTGGATATAGCATTTTTGTACAGTGTCTTTTGTTATATCAGCAATATAAAATGCATACGCTTGAGTAAAATTTTACAATTGAGTTTTAACAAGAATTGCGTGTATAATATGTTCTTTTCAGGTGCAAGCAACTTGTACATGTAGTTATAGATCCCTTATTGTGCAATGTATTAAGGCCACATCAACGTGAAGGTGTAAAATTTATGTATGAATGTGTAACAGGTAAACGTATAGAAGATGCATATGGTTGTATCATGGCAGACGAAATGGGTCTTGGCAAAACACTGCAATGTATAACTCTGTTGTGGACATTGTTGAAGCAAGGTAAGCCAAGGTATACAATATCCCTATTTCATTAACAAAAAACAAAAAATATCGCTATGATCAACGATTGTATTCCGTGACAGGGCCGGAAGCGAAACCTCTGATAGACAAAGCGATTATCGTCGCACCCAGTTCCTTGGTGAAGAATTGGTACAACGAAATCTACAAATGGCTGAACAACCGCGTGAGTGCTCTCGCTATCGACGGCGGAAAGAAGAAAGACATCGACACGAAGCTCATCAGCTTCATGAAAACTTACAACGGGAGGTGCGTATATCCCATTCTCATTATCAGTTACGAGACCTTTCGCCTACACGCGCACGTGTTGCATCAAAACGAGGTTGGTCTCGTGTTGTGCGACGAGGGGCATCGTTTGAAAAATTCCGAGAATCAAACGTATCAATCGCTGATGGGTCTCAAGGCCAAGAGGAGAGTCTTGCTCAGCGGAACTCCTATACAAAATGATCTGCTGGAGTATTTCTCTCTCGTGCACTTTGTCAATCAAGGATTGTTGGGGACTGCGCAGGTAAATGCAACAAATGATGTCGGCGGTGATATTCTTGCAGATTCATCCAACTCAGTAGCAAACTCAATCGTTTACTCGACTTTCAATCCCGCAGGAATTCCGCAGAAAATTCGAGACGCCCATATTACGTGGTCAAGATGCAGAAGCGACGGACGAGGAGCGCAAGCTCGCCGAGGAGCGTTTGTCCGACTTGGTGTCTGTCGTCAACAAGTGCCTCATCAGACGCACCAGCGCCTTACTTTCGAAATACTTGCCGTTGAAACACGAGCTTGTCGTATGCATCAAGATGGGAGAGCTGCAAACGCGTCTCTACAAGAGCTTCATACATAGCGACAGTATAAAGAAATCTATGGAAGGTACATGCTGTTTCGATACTCTTTTCGTCGGGCTACTCTAAAAATGAAGAGTAATTAGATGTATTAATGAATTGTATAACTATTTATCGTATAGACAGTGACAACTCAAAAAAAGGAGGAAGCCTGTCAGCTCTTGCCGCCATAACTCTCCTGAAGAAACTGTGCAATCACCCTGACCTGATATACGACAAAATCAAGGAAAGATCGGACGGCTTTGAAAACGCCGCGAGATTGTTGCCGGCGAATTACTCGACCAAGTACAAGATCAATCCGTTGTTTGTTGTTGAACAATTGATCGCGTACCGCTTGTCAATGATAATTTATTGTTGCAGGGAACTTCTACCCGATTTATCGGGCAAATTGATGGTCCTCGATTGCCTGCTAGCATCTATTAAAACCACGACGAATGACAAAATAGTACTGGTATCCAACTACACGCAAACACTGGACTTGTTTGAGAAACTTTGTCACAAACGTGGCTACAACTACGTGAGGCTGGACGGCACGATGACGATCAAAAAGAGGTCGAAGGTGGTCGACAATTTTAACAGCGAAAGCAGTAGCGACTTCATCTTCATGCTCAGCTCGAAAGCCGGCGGATGCGGCCTGAATCTCATCGGCGCGAATCGTCTCGTCATGTTCGATCCGGATTGGAATCCAGCGAACGACGATCAAGCGATGGCCAGGGTTTGGCGAGACGGTCAGAAGAAACCCTGCTTCGTGTATCGCTTCCTTTCCGTTAGTACAATAGGATATCGATATTTTTGAAGCAGTGAGCTGACGCAACTCGTTTTCAGCCGCAACTCGTAATATATATATTTCCAAGTTCACATATCTTTGCTAAGTTTCAAATAAAAGTCAAGTTATTTTATTAATTTTTTATTATATATATTATATATATTATTTATTATATATATTATATATATTATATATATTTATTATATATATTATATATATTATTTATTATATATATTATTACTTATATATAAGAATATGTGATCATCTATTACATTTTACAATCATCAACGATTATTATAAATTCAAAGCATCTTTTCATCCTGTATCCTGCATTTTCAGACTGGAACGATAGAAGAGAAGATTTTTCAGAGACAAGCTCACAAGAAAGCGTTGAGCTCCACGGTGGTGGATCAAGAGGACGATGTGGCGAGGCATTTTACCCAAACCGATCTCCGCGACTTGTTCAAATTGGAAGAGAACACGGTCTCGGACACACATGCCAAGTAAATATGAGAAGTGGATATATGTTGTTCAATTATGTCAGAGTGATTCATGATAAATACGATGCTGTTGCAGGTTCAAGTGCAAACGTTGCATCAATGGCATCGAAACGAAAGGTCCGTCGGAGCAGTCGGACTGCAATTCTGATCTGTCTGAATGGCGACACTCGCACAATCCACGATACTTACCTGACATACCATTGCGACAGTGTTGGTCCAGCGGTATTTCCTTCGTGTTTCATCATCGTTCGCGCGAGCAAGTAAACTAACTGTGATTCCGCCCGACAATCCGTAATCTTCAATTCAAATGCCACCGGAAATAGTTTATGTATAAGTGTGTTTCATATATTTCTTTAAATTATTTTTGTATTTTATTTTCTTCAAGTTATCTCGAGTATTTACACGGCAAAAGAAAAACGAACAAGTATATGTAAGAAATTCAAACAAATATATGTAAAAAGTTGAGGGAATAGATTTTATTTTAGATAATTGTCATGTACATATATAAATATAGATTAATAAAAAAAATGTACAACGTAAGAATATACAAGTACTCGTGATTGTCGGAAATTAATTAAAATCGATACTTATTATTATATCATCAAGCTCAATAAGTCATCGTGACGGTGTATTGTTTGACTTGTCAATTTCACATTGGCTGCGGACGTTATCTCTCATGCGCGCACACGGACTCCTTATCTAATCAGAGAGATAAAAATTATTACTCGCTTACTTCGACTCAAGTAAGCACAAGAAACGCATTCTCGACGTATCTCTCTATATCTATGTAAAAATAATACCGTGGCCTTCAAATCAGCTTAACGACATTTTATTATTGGATAAGGTACATGTGTATGTATGTGTTGTAACTTTGTGCTGTAATTCAACGAGAGGGATCTCGCCAAGGCGGTCGTGCAACGACGCTCTCTCGTGACGCATCGAAATTTTCCGATGGAAATTCTATCTCCAGCGCCGTACTTAATCGCTCGCTGAGGAAAAGCTGTGGAACGTCGCGAGTGCGTTTTCCCAAGCCGGATGTTTTCTGCTCGGACAGTAGCGCAACGATATGCCACGTTACGCTCTCCGTGAGGTTTCATAGCACAGCACGGCTGTGTCGAAACATTCAAGAATTCTCGCAGCGTGGGAAAATCACGAGAAAAACAGAGACGGAGAGCGCGGAAGAGAGAAAGAGAGAGGACGCGAGAGAGAGAGAGAGAGAGAGAGAGAGAAAGAGAGAGAAGGGAACAGTGCTAGAGGAAAGGAGGAAGAGGGAGAGGAAGGGAGAAAGAGAGAAGAGAGATTCGTGGAGCAGAGGGAGCGAGAACGATTCGCAAAGAAGAAGAAGCGACGATGGTGGGGGCGCGCGAATGAAGTTCGCGCGGTCACGTGAGCCGCGAGCTCGGCGAGCGATTGGTGGAGCCGAAGGCGAGCGTCGCTTTCTCTCCTGACCCGCTGCTCGATTGTCGGCCGCCATCCGTAGGTACCGTGACGGGCATCCGCCTCAGAATAGTTCCAGATGTGGCCATGTTTAGTTTAAACCTTTGACTTTGAAGTTTTCGCTCATCGTAGAGAGAGACTACACTTTTATAGTATCTGCAAAGCATAGTAATACGCCATTGTCCGACCATCTCGCAACTCTTCGTTCTCGCCTGCGACACGTTTTTTTCCGCTGCGTCATAAATGTTCGCACGCTCTTGCCGAGAGATCCGAGAGTCCCTGCGGGGAGTCAGCCGCGCGAGCGAGGGAAAAAAAGCAAGGGAAGCAGGAGGCGCGTGAACGCGTTTTGTTCGCTGACCGTTATCGCGCGTATTCGGCCGTCTCGCGGCGTTTATCCGCCAAGGAGCGCGCGTTTCTCAGCTGCGCGTTCGTGACACGCCCGAACGGATCATTACTAATCCGTCTATCTCTGGTTTCATAAACGCGCAGGAGTAAACTCGCTCGCCCGTCGACCTCTCGGCAAGGAACGCGCGCATTCAGACTCGTCGTCGCTCCCTTTCTCTGTCTCTCTCGCGAAAAAAAACCGTTCGCCGCCGTTATCGCCGGGACGAGAGAAACGCTGCCGCGGTCGTTGTGTCCGTCTCCGTCATCATCGCTCGTCGCAGTCGTCAGCAACGTCAACGTCACCGTCGTCATCATCGCTAACGTCGCGAACGTCCGAAAATCCGCTCGAGTCGCAGAAAAAGAGATTCTCGCTCGCAATTTCGGTAAACGATCGCACCAGTGAAAGCCGCATCGTTCCTCGAGGGGGGGAGATTTGGGCAGGGGCTCTGGAGGGGGAAGAGGAAGGAGGTGAAGGAAAAAAGAGACGCCGACGTCATACGTCGTCGTTGCGGCGCGAGTCGCCGCCGCGCGTCCCTTTTCTCTCTCTCCCTCTCTTTCTCCCCCTTTTCCTCTCCTCGACCAGACCAGACGAGACGAGTACGCACGCGCGCGAGCGCGTCCCATTTTCTGCGCACTTCCGTTTCGGATACTCGCGCGAAACGAGCGAACCGCACGTCGTGCGCGGGCACACACAGAAGCGGGGCACACGCAACGACGTCTCACAGATACACACGGCCGACGGAGGACGGGGGGCAAGCAAACGCAAGCTTGCACAGGCTTGCCGGGAGTATAGGTAAAAGATAATCGTCACGAGAGAGAACACCCACGAACGAACGACGACGACGACGACGTGTTGGGTGTCGTCGCCACCGCCGCCGCCGCCGCCGTTGCCGTCGCCACCACCGCCGTCGTCGCCACCGCCGACGCCGCCGCCGCCGCCGTTGTCGCCGTCCGGATTCAGCCGTTCATGCCACGTCGGCCAGAATGACGTCGTCGTGACGGCGAGAAAAGGAGAATCGCGCGATCCGACCGAATATCATTGCTCGCGGACTTTCGAGGGGAATCGAATCGCGCGCGGGTAAGAGGGAGGAAAGAAAGAAAATCGCGCACAGGGAGAGATCATTCGCGCACATAGTGAAAATAATCGGTATCGTATCGTATCGCCGCCCCCTCGGCGCAAGGGAGACAAAGAGGGCAACCGAGCTGCAAAACCGAGAGTGCACTGTCGCTATACATTCGTTCGTTCGAACCAAGTCCACGGGAAAATTCGGGAAAAACTGAGGACCGTATGTTATCGCGTGTATATCGCGTCGAGTAGAGAGGGAGAAAGATCGAAAGAGAGAGAGAGAGAGAGAGAGACACGAGATCGGTCTTTTTCACAATCCATTCCACGGAGAGAGTTTATTGAGCTCTCCCAAATGCTAGAATTCAGGCAGCGCGGTCGTTATTACGGCAGAGCAAAGACCTGTCGAGTGTGGTCGGGCGAATCGATCGTCTGATCGTCGTCGGGCGGCCGCAGTGCAGTAATAATAGAAAACTTGTCACGGGGTTCACGAGAACGAACATACGCACGAACGAACGCACGCACGCACGAACGCACGCACGCACGCACGTTTACAGATCGAGATCGATCTGCGGAGAGCCGAATACGATGGCATTAGAAAGTGTTTCCGCGGCAGAGACTCTAATCCAAAGGTTTGCTTCCTATATATATATATATACATATATATCTATATATATATTTTTTTATTATTCAATCGCGCCCCAATGGGACAGAAAACACGAACAAGAGAAGTTTCGCGGGTGAGACTAATCGCATCGCTGTTCAACGTTATATACACACACGCACACATGTTTACACGGCTACACACACACACACACACACATATATATATATATACACAAAATCTCGCTATACAGAGCTCTCTCTGGCCTTCTCCTCCTCTTCCTCCTTCACCACCTCGTTCTCCCTTTGCCCTTCCTCGTCGCATCGCTCCCACCCCTTGGCCCCTTTCGACCGATATATTCCGACCGAACCGCGACAAAAAAGAGTACTCGCAGAATTTCGGCTTGTCCGCTTTTTTCCCCCCATATGTTTTATGCTAATTTTAAATGGGAGAGGTTATCTATTTGAATTCTCTTGTTTCAATTTCTCTCGATGCATAGATGCAAGTTCGCGTCGAACTTTGACGTTGGACTTTGGAGCGAATGAGAGAGAGAGAGAGAGAGAGAGAGAGGGAGGGAGGGAAGGAGAATTGGATAGGGGTCAAGGCTACCTCCCCCGCCGCGTGACACTTATTTAGAACGCGATTATTCCTCTGGTCGATCTTTAGTCGTTCCCGTGCGAGAAGCCGCCGGCGAATTATTTTCGGAATTGGACCGCGCGACGCGCAATTTTCGCGGGAGCGCGTGGGAGAGCCGTCGCATGTTTTTCCCTCTATTTGTAGCGACGAGCGAGCTCGAATTTCGCCAGCGACCATCGCGAACATCGCCTGTCCCCGTGCAAAGAGGAAACAAACCGAGAGTCGTACTCGCCGTTGCGTAATTTCATCGTTCGACGGGAACGAACGGGACGGGCGAGGAAGAGCTCGGCCTGCTCGGCAGATTTGCATGAGTGACTCAATAATGTCGCTGTCGGATCGATATGCAAGGTCGAGTGCGTCTGTTGCAGCGCGAAATCAATTCGAATTTCCAATTCGCCGACGCGGACAGACGGACGCGAGACGAACAAGGACAAGCGCCGCGAAATATCGATTCCTCGGATGGTCGCTTTCGCGTAGCTGGCCGACATAGGACCTTTAGCTCCTCTCCTGCTTTCCCTTCCCTCCCTCGCCCTCCTTTGCTCGAAAGGGCTGTCTAAGCTTCAACACAAACGTGTACGGGGACATAGGACGGATAGGTGACTCTTTAGCGTTCCCCTTCCCCCCCCCCGTGATGACATTAATACCGAGTATCGCGTTTTGTCTGTAGTGTGCCTTTCGCACGACAAGACCGTTTTGCCGGCGCGTCGTCGAAAGTCGCAGGATAGACACCACCTCGCCGGGCCCCCCGGATCCGATTTCGGCTGTCGCCTGACAACTGACCTTTACAACCGACGAGGAAAATTACCGCGGAGAATCGAAAACACGCCTTCTAGAGAGACCGGGAGCTTCGGTGCCAGTAGAACAAAACGCGCGTGGTAGACACGCGTCATTCGGTATATTACAACCACGTTTCTCCCACATCACTACAACAGACGTTCCTGACCCTTCAGTCTCTCTTTTCTATTGACACACGAGACACGCATAATACACACACGCATCCCCGGTGCCCAGCGACAAAGAAGGTGAAAGAAAGAGAGAGAGAGAGAGAGAGAGGGACAGGGAGGGAGAGAGAGAGAGAGAGAGAGAGAAAACCCTTCAATGAACGGAATGCATGGGAATCGACACGCGAAGAGCTCTTGGACGTAATGTCTTCTGTCGCATCATCGGCTTTAATGTCGCCTTTGAGCCGACAATGTTGCAACGACGACGATGAAAACGCCGTTGAGAACGTGACGATGGTCCCTTCGACGTATGTTAATAACTTGATGATTATGACGATTCGTCATAATAATAATGATGATGATGATGATGATGATGATGATGATGATGATGATGAAAATGATGATCTGATGATAATGATGCCCCAAAGAGATGCGGTAAGACAATTCCAATCTCTTTTATTTCGACCCGCGAGTTCGCGCGGCGGTCTTTCAACAGCGCGCGGAGACTTACGACGCGTGAATCGCAATCGGCAGATTGATCGATGACGACTCGTGCGAGGGAAATTAATTGACGACTTTAGGGAAATTGAGAACGGTGTTCTCAGACGCGAGGGGCTCCGAATGCACGCGTGAATAGCATCAGTGAGTTCAATTAGGCCGAGTACGCAGCTGCGATTGATTCCCTGGCCCCTTCGCCATCGATTGCTTTCTTTCTCTGTCGCAACGGGTGCGCAACGAAGTTAGAATGCAAATTCCTTTTTGTTTGTATCGCTGCTCTCGAGTCTTTCGCTGTAGAAACTAAGCGCGTTCGGATTTTCGAAGGAAATAACAAGGGGGAAGCAGTCTCTGTTCCTATCAGCTGCAATTTTCGCGATTTACCTCCTCGCATTCTTTTTCTGTCTTCCTCTCGCGCGCTAAATTTCTAGTGTAAATCTATCTTGTAAATCTATCTTGAAGAGTGTATGACAATGTAGCCAAGGGAAAAAAAACAGACGCGCAAAGGACGATTACTCGGACCCGTTGTGTTACGTTAACGTGTCGAGGCTTCTTCCTCACGCGGACGAAGACAGACGGTCGATGTCTTCGCCACGGTTAGTAACGCGACTGCGTCATTGTTACAGTCAGCTCGATCAAAGTTCTTCCTCGGAAGTTCTCTGCTACGTTCGATGTACACGTGTATAGTCCGTCGACCCGCTTCAATGATCGCTATCAATTCGTCCTTGGCGACAATCATGAGTCCATTCTCATGATCTTCTCCTCGGCGTCATTTTTAGCCCTGTAGAGCACGCTAAACAGACGCGCATCGCATCAAATAGCCCGACAGAGCGGCTGTTATGAATTATGTCGAGGTGATGATACAGCACGCCATCGAGAGATGCGCGTGTTCTTTCTTTCTTTCTCTCTCTCTCTTATAGATATCCGAAAGCTTCGTTGTATGCATTTTGCAATGAGATTGGAAAATTTGTTGCTACTCTCTACCGGTTGATCTTCTCTGAGCAACTGAGATATGAATTTTATCGATCGTTAATATTGATCTAAAAATAAACATCAGATCTTACTCATCATCATGTCATGTAGCAATTTCGTTATCAAGCAGTGAAATAAGAAATGTGTATATCGTGACTGATTAATAATCATTTTTGCGTTCAATGCAAGATTACAGCTGTTCTTATACATTGCAGGGACCATCATATTAAAAAATGATGATGTGACTTAGTATTACATATACATTTAATTACATTTTATGTGACAAGCAATAATATGTAGTATTCCATATATATATATATATTTACTGATGAAAGTGTAAAAAATATATGACAGCAATTTTTGTCATCATTGCGGGCATAGAATTACAGCGCTTTGCTATCTTGATCAAAAGTTCATAACAGATTATGCTGAACATAAATACATCTCCATTATCTCTTTTGTAGTGAGTTGAGAAATTATAATGTACAGTTGTGTACCACATTCAAAAATATGATTTATACATACTACATAATTATTACTAAAACAAATCCATGAAAAGGAATATTCTACATTTCTTCTCAACACTTCTGTTTTCATAACATTTTGTTTGTTTTTTTTTTTTTTTTTTTTTTTTTTCTTATAAATATGTAGCAATGATAATGATTTGGAAGATGGAGAGATTCCATCAGACGAGGATGATGAACCAGTCACCCACACTGTGAATAATGCACCGGAAATAACAAAACCAATACCAAAACCAGATCTTGTGAAGAACAAGACTTTCGAGCCCAAGTTCAACAAGAACAAGAAGCAACTTGCACAAGCAGCTAATAAACACGACCGTTTCTTAAAATATAAGAGTCCGACTGAAGATTGGGCTGGAGATGTTGAAAAAGCTATCAAGGCTGCTATGGAAGAGGATGGGGGAAGGAATCAAGAGATCAAGGCGAAGAATAAGAATAACAGGAATAAAGCCAGGAAAAGAATTCGTGATGAGAGAGAGGAGGATCGTGGTAAAGAACAACAAAAGGTACGCAACAACTGCATCTTTGTGAAATTTGTTATTGCAGTTTTGCCTGAATTCATATATCAAGCATTATTCTTACAATAAGCCTACAACAAAAGCTTGCACTTGTCGCCATTGTACGACTAATGATACACATTATGATACTTTGCAGAAGCGAAAAATCAGCGACGAAGAAAACGGCAATGAAGACGAGGATGAAATGCTCTTTGTACGAGGAGCATCACCTATTAGAAAAGATTCGCAAGAGAATAACTCCCCCAGACGCACGAACGAACACGATACTTTCGAAAACGTTACAGAATACGAAGAGAGACCTAACATAAATAGACATAGAGAAAACGAAAGCAAACGTGGTACCGGCCGTGGCGGAGGGGGAGGTACGAAGACTGCTAGTGTGTAGCTTTTTTAATTACAGTAACTTATTATCAGTAACTTATACTGTATTGTTATACAATGTTACTCACCGTAGTTCTCAACGCTTTTTTTTTGTTATGTTCTAACAGGACGTCGTGGTGGCAAAAACGAACGCGGTAAGAACAAAGCCCGTGGTCAAATGCGAAACGACCGAAACGGCCGTCGGCAGCAGAATAACGATCATGGACACGATCCGGAGACGATCTGTTTGTACTATATGCAAGGAAAATGTCACAGAGGAGACGATTGTCCGTTCTCGCATAACGCCTTGCCACCTAGGAAAATGGAATTGTGCAAGTTTTACCTGATGGATTGCTGCGCGAAGCGGGAGAAGTGTCTCTATATGCATCAGGATTTTCCATGCAAGTTCTTCCATACTGGTTTAAAGTGTAATCAGGGTGACAATTGTAAATTCTCGCATCAGCCTTTGAGCGACCAGGTAATTTATAATTTCTCAACTCCGGTATTTATCTCATAACGATATATCTCCGGTATATCTTTGTAACGTGAGATGTAAATTGTTCACGTAATTTACTCTGACTTAAGTGCGTGGAAGTAAGTGAAAATTTTTTTGTATTTCGCAGGTAAAGGCGATTCTGTTGAAACACTTGGAAAGTGCGCCAAAAGAGATTCTTGGTGATTTTCCCAGGTTAAGTAGAGAAGGTGCAATGTTAATGATAAATAATACTGCACGTTCTTTAGCTCAGGGACAAGATGCGGCAAATCAAAAAATCCCAAGTCTCTTCGAATTAAATTTATCAGCACCTACGGAAAAGAACGATGAGAAGGATGAGAAAGGTGAACTCAGGAAATACATTTCTTTTTTATCGGAGTTATTTTAACGATAATTTTGATTTTTATTTCTATTCGCACGTTATAATTTCTATGCTGGGACTAAGATAAAAATTGTTAAATCAAACAGAGGAACTAATGGGTCCACAAAAGATCGGTATGAGAGAAAGAAAACCTTCCGGAAAGAGGACTCGATGGGGATCGGACGAGGACAGAGTTCCTTACGAACAAATTATGTTGCTACAGTCGGCGAACGAGCTGTGTCTTCAACTTCCAAATGTTGCCTTAGGTTTAGCACAGCAACATAGCAATACGCAATTACAGCAGAAGCAACTAGCTGCACCGCCTACAGATTTTTACACTGAGATAAATGTGGAATCAAACAAAAATGTACATAAGACGAAAGAAGATTTTACGAAGGATATAGGGGAAGACGATATATTGGAGCAGGTATATAATTAATTCCAATTAATATTGCACTATAAATCATATATAAAATTAACATTATATGCATAAGATTATTTAATTATTTCAAAATTATTTAAGATAATTTAAAAAAAATTTGATCTTACTACTGCTATTACTTAACTTTACAGCCGAAGAAAAAGAGTCGTAACTCGATAGAGAACCTGAAGGATGTTGACTTGAGGCAAATGCTGAAAGCAAAGAAACCACTGCCTGTGTACAGTATAGCCGACGAAGTGGCGAACCTCACAAAAAATAAACTCGACGATGAGAGCGATCAAGACGAAGAATCGGATCTCGTTATTGAGATGCCGGCTGAAGATGATGATAAGGAAAAAGGCAAACACGCAAGTAATCAGCAAAGTAAGTACGGTTATTTGTATATATCCTAAATCGTATAAATATGGATATTATAATTAATTCCCGAAGGAAAATACAAAATAATGACATTCACAAATTAATCATGGCGTTTCTGTGTTCAGCAGGAGGCGAACAAGTTCATGAAGCGTCCTCGTCTGCAGACGAGCAAGAGGTACCGTCACACTTGCCGAAAAAGGCGCAGGAGTTGTTCATGAGAATACAGCAGCAACAGCGCGCGGCTCAGGACAGTTTCAAGAACATGGAAAACGATACCGGCACAAACCCAGCGGATCGGGTGGAAGATTGGTATTCGGATGAGGAGGACGATGACGATGACGACGAGAGCGGTAATCTCACCATAGTTGATAGTTCTAAGGAGGAAATCGAATCCGCCGACAAGACCCAAAACGTCGTCATCCAAGAGGAACTTCAGACAACGACGTCTGCTGCGTCCAACATACCCCAACCAGCAGCGATCGTGGATAAACTGGGAGACTTGAGCAAGATTGATATTAGCGCCGAAGTGTCCAGACTGTTGTCGACAATCAAAGCCTCTACGGGCAAGACGCAACAGGCGTCGGGTAACTCTACTCAAGACACGTCGAAGGCCAAATCAACGCAAGACTCTGTGGCTGAGACGTCGAGTCCGAGGGTATCACCGGATCCAACACCAGCACCTACCACACTTGTGTCCAGAGATCCACGGATGTCCAGGGATCCTAGGCAACGCAGGGACGAACAGAAACCGAGCAGTCCCAGCATATCCGACGCCAAGAGGGACTCGCAGAAGCACCTGCGGTTAGAGACCAGCATCTACAGCAGCGGTATCACGCCGATGGACACGCACATGGACACTGATCTCAGGACAAAGACAGATCAGGATCTCAGACGGCAGGATATGGACTTCAGGCAGCGCTTCCAGACTGGCTTCGGTGATACGGATTTGCGAGTAGTAGGCGCCGGTTTCACGGACACATCCGCCAAGTCCGACGTGGACCTCCGTCAGATATTGAGTCTGCCGTTCAAGCCGGCACCTTCGCATATGCCGTGTACAGAGATCGACGCGAGCATCGCATCGCACCCGCCCATAACGTACAAAGTGTACATCGTCGACATTCCGCGGCCGGACTACACTGGTCTTAAGCTGACGAAGAACGACGCGCAGGTGAAGTACGATCCCCGTCTCCGGAAGATTTTCCGTATCGTCAAGACGGAGCTGATAACTGATTCGCCGATGTCTCCACCGCCGGCGATTATAAAGCAGGACACACCCAAGTCACCACCGCAGATCCGTTCAGATCCACGACGGAAGACCCTCGAAGCGGCCGCGTCCAATCAGTCCGCAGCGAATGTCAACTCCATGATGTCCAAACAGCCACAGTCGATGGATATGGGACCATCCGGTATGGGTATTGGGCCTGGCGGTATGCCCGTGCCGTCTGGTATGCCTGGCGGTCCGCCGCCTAACATGTCGGGACCAGGTGGTATGATGTCGATGGGCCCGAATCATGGCCCCATGAGCATGGGAAACATGGGTCCGATGAGGCCGATGATGAATACGCCGATGCCGCCGCAGAACATGCCACCCATGGGCATGCCGTCGTCGATGGGCATGAACGGACCGCCGATGCCGATGCCGCAGGGTCAGATGAATTACGACCCGCGCTTCAATGTGCAGCGAAACAACGGAGTCGGCCTCCTTGGTCCCGGACCCAATTTCGGTCCAGACAATTCCTACGAGGGCGGCGCGCCACCGCCGGGATACGGCGGTAACTTCAACAACTTCGGTCCCGGGGGAGGCGGCGGTGCCGGTGGCGGCGGTGGCGGTGGCGGTGCCGGTCCCGGTCCTGGCGATTCCGGCATGATGGGCTTTAATCCAAACGCGCCGAACCCGCCCAACTTTATGGGCGACGGCGCGGACTGGGTCCCCGGGAACGGCAACAGGCGCGGCGCTCGTATGCGCCGGCGGAATCGCAACAGGACCAATATGGTGGCTAATAACTGAGAGAAAGCTTCCAAGGAACTCCCAGTAGGTACGACTACCGTGTAGACTGAGTACCTGACGATAATTTTCCACCGGGCGATTCAGTTTACGTAGCGCCATCAGTCCCTATGCTGAGAGCTATTGAGCTGCGGCGATTATCAATCAAGCTCTCGTCGTGTGCTAAGTCGTGTGTGTGTGTATGTATATGTATATGTATGTGTGAGAGAGTAAGTACATAAGCGAGCAGCGGTAAGAAGAAAAAAAGTTTTTAATTATAAGCGAGCAAGAGCAAGAAGGAAAAAAGTTTATAATCAAGTCGTGATGATAGGGAGAAACGTACGCACGTCCTGTGTGTGATGCTCATTCATGCACGCGCTATTTCCTCTCCATTTCGGACTTGCAGGGGTCAGCATGTTATACTCGGAACGTTACTTACGACGGCTTCGTTGGGCAGGCTAATAGCTGTGCGTAAGGCCGCATAATTCTCAACAACGCTTAGTTAGCATAATTCATAATAAAAAGTAATGTGTAAGAGATATTTATACATAGCGACGATATACGTATCCTGATTAACTCCATAAAAAGACACTCTCGGAACCATGTTCGTAGCTCGAGCTTATATCCAAGGTCATCATAAATTATTTCACACTTTGGGGACCGAATATTCACACACATACACATGTAAATCACTGTCCCTGTATAAACAACGCCTGCGGATATCGCTCCTCAGAGTGTTGAAATGTTGCAAGAGGTCGTTTTCGTTGTTAGTTGCTTGCGCAGCATCTGAAAATAAATTTGGGATGATCTTAAATGTAAGTTCGTGCTATATATATAAGACCAACATAATAACTTTAACATGCCATATAATTAGGTTGTTAGAATGTTCTAATCGTACACGTTATTGGCTTATTTATTTAAAGAGAAGCGAGAACGATATGTTGTCCACGTTGTGTCATCGTGATTACTTTACGCCACCAATGAATTCCTCACGTCGCCATGATTGCTTTAACGTCGGGAGGCGTATGTGTTGCAGTTACAAGATATTGATCATATATATTTGTTTATATTCATAATTAGTAACCTAATTATATCGTGTGTTTCTAAATATTATGGTGGTCTGTGCACACACATTTTTAGCATGTAAGTCGCGCCATCAATCAATTAATCAACCAGTCGACCGGTCGATGAGGCAAACAGGTGATAACGATTGCATTGATAAGTTTTGTTGTCTTCCACATGCGGCACGCGACACACGAACAAGCAATGTGCGTACTCTCGCGGCATGCGAGACACGCGTTATATGTCTTTGCGCTTCGCGTTCGAGCGATTCGATCGACACGTGCTGTCGGAATGGTGATTCCAGCGAGGCGAGAAGTAATATGACATTATTCGTGTACAATACGTTTATTTATGAAGGGCCGAATCACTTTTTTGAGAGATAATTTTTGTAATATCGCATGCTTGCTCAAGAGCGAAAAAAGGAAAGGGAAAATCTTGTATAGCATAGCGATATGTTCTCTTAATACTACCTTTACCGACAATGTTGAGTTTAAGAAAACAGACATCACGTACATACATATATATATATATATACATATATATACATATATATATATATATATATATAGTAAAGATAGATACCATTGTGACAGATTAACGGGACACGATAATCTGTTATCCGTTTAAGAACGCGAATACGTTGGTATATACTTGGTTTAATATATTTAACATTCTAACTACTGTTATATATATATACTCGACCCCAATGTACAGCCTTATTATTTATTTACTTTAATTTGCGCGTATGTACACACAATTCTTTACTGTTCAGACGCCGACTATGCGATCTATATGTCCATGATGAGAACGACCTGCGCAGATTGCGAGATTCGTAAGACCATGGACATGTAGACTTCAACGTGAGATGCAATTCTTTGTAAAGAAAAAAGGAACATGGAAGAAGAAAGAAGTTTTAATGTATCTATTTCGCGAAACGACTATACTTTTTCTACTTACGTTCTACAATGTGAGAGTGCGAGTCCTGTTGAACTATAATTTTCTAAAATTAATAAAAAAACTTATCAAGGATCAAGCGACTCGAGATAACACACGCAGCTATGCTCTCACATACCTCCGATGTAAAATACAATTGCTCGATTGATCTTTTTGATGTACATAAGGAATTATGTATCTCACGATAATAATACTCTGCAGCGAGTCAGATTTTTAAATACATATATATATATATATACATATACATATTTCCGTCAGAATAAACTGGAATATATATATACAGGATATATATCTAGTTAAATTTGCTTCAAATAATTTAGTCGTTATTAGAATGTTAAAACATATTGCGATTATATCGTTTCCATTAATTCACTCAACATCACTATTACTGTAATATGATAGAGTGACGTTATTATTTGTAAAAAGTGAAGTTTACTATATCATATAATAAGATTTTTGTACAGATGAGACTTGCCACTTTCGACGCAAGTTCTCGGTGCTTTATTTCATTAATGTAAATACCACTGTATTAGTTACATGCACTTTTTAAAATACAATTATATAAGAAGCTCTTGTCTATACGATAAATGGAAATTTTTATACAATATACAACCCGTACAAGATGTATTCTTTTTTCTCTGATGTGTACAAACGTTCTTTTATTTTAAGTTGGAACAAGAACAGATGGTAACTTTAGAGTATAAGTTCTAATACATTAATGTACGATAGAACTTAAAGGCTCGGCTCGTATCGCTGATAGATCCAGTCGTGCATCCATTTCATCGTCTAATTCTCCCACTATTGCACTGAAAAAAAAGTAAATAATCATATGCATTTTGTACAAATGCTTATGTTTTATAATATTGTTTTATATTTATTTCTCATATGTAATCGAATGGCGTAAAATATAAACAGAATGGTGTAAAATAAGATTATTTTCTAATACCATTTTATATAATATAAATATATTGTATATACAACATAATAATACTAATAGATATCATAATGTGGTATGACTATTAAAATTATATATTTTATAAAACTTGTCTTTGAGAATTATACTAACATGTTGTCTCCTCTAATAATATGTAAACCCAAAACAACTTGTTCCACTCCCTGCGTTGTACTATATACTCGCTCATGTGATTCGTCCAGTATTATATTAATGGTTTGATCAAAACCTTTTAGTGTTCCCTAAAAAGAAAGTCCAAATTATCATTAAATTAAATGAAGTTCTAGCACTTTTAATAAACATAGAATAAATATAGAAATTTCAATCAAATTCTTCATCAGGTTGACATATAATGTTTATGTATAAGACAAAAGGATTTTTTGATATATAAAAGGATGTTAATGTTCTTTCAGAAAATATAAACACAACATTGTATCGCATTGTGTGTTATTCCTTGGTAAATAAATATATTATAAATATGTTCGAATAAATTTCTAAAGAAATGACAGTTACTCATTCACATATTAGTTATCTTATTTACTTATGATTTTGCAAAAACAATATACTTACGATAAAATTCCTACCGTCCGATGTGATAACGGAAACCGTGTCTAATCATTATGTAGGATAATATATAACTATTTGTTGTTACCTGAGAAAAAGTTGGATAACAAGACTGAAATTAAATGAAAAGGATACGATTCACATAACTTTCTAATCCCGACGCCATTATTTATCGTCGACTACCTGTTAAAATATCGAGTATACAACCGCATAAGTACGTTAGCGAATAACAGCAAATGATTAGCGGCGTCGATTAGAGGTTAGCATAAAATAATAGTTGCCAAACAAACTTTTTTCGCACGGGCTATGTTATAACCGCCATCATCGTAAAGAACCGAGAACGCGAGCAAGCATGAATCTCCCCAGAATACGAACGAAGCTAGGGAGTTTATAGTTACCATCCGGCTTAATATTACGAAGTTGGTCGATATCATAGCGGATTTTAATAAAATTTGAAAAAGAGCGGCAAATCGCGCATCTTACGATTCCATTCTCCAATCGAGAAGAAAAAATCAATCGTTTTTGAGTTATTTTACATTTCTCTGTTGGTAGGGAAAATTTTATTATCGTTATTATATTATATTTTAGTCAATTATTTAATTAAATTTTCTTTAAGTATCTAATATTCTGTAAAACGAACAACACACATGGGAAAAATATCGCTGAAGGACATGTTGTATACAAACATGAAGCAACTCGTTAGATAACATTTAGTTTGCATTACTTGATGTTCCGCCGAATAATTATGTGTAGTACGGATTATGCAGATTGAATATATTTAACGACATAAACAAACACCATTGATAAGATAAATTAAAGATAAGATAAAGATTGCTATTGAATTTTCATAAAAATTGTTGCAATGAACAGACTAGGAAAGAATCATATTACAGCCATTAATACGTCGTTTTACGAAAATGTGTTTTTGCTGATGCAAGTGATATTGCCATCTTTTGAATTTCGGCAACACTTTAAGAAGGTACAGTGATAAAAGAGTTTAGAGAATATATTTTTATTTTATCTTATCGCAAGTTTTTTCAACAAGAGCATTCTTTTCTTTGAAAGGACATGTTTGACAAGCCCAACACAGTTGGTTTTCTACACGTGTCTCATTATTTGTCTACTATATACGACGCGAAGCTGTTCAAACGAATGGTCAAGTGGCCGCTATTATGCAAGAAGGATGAAGTCGTATATCGGAATGGAATGAAAAACTTCCTTTCTGTTTTGTCACGAGATAATCCAGACATTAATTTTCCAACAATACTGACGTCTCACTTAACGCATGCAGGAGGAACCAAATTTTTAATCATCATGTGGAAGGTATCACAACTTGCTCTCAGAGCTTACATTAAAAATCAACGTGGGTAATATGTTCAATGCAAGAATAAAGATAGCTATTTTTCTGTCTATCATCACTTATCTAAAGTGCATTCTTTAGTTCAAGAAGAATTGCTGAGTGCACCATGTACAGGTCCAGTAGATGATTTGACCGTAGCATACTTCAACAACATAATTGCCGAAAGGTGCAGAGCTGCGAGAAAAACACATAAGAAGGCAAAGAGAATTTTGGATACTACAAGTAACTTTTTGAAGTAAATTCTAGATATCATATTGGCTCACATAGTAAATTGGTATCATAATTTTTTCACAATTATATTATGTATTTTAGGGGTGAAATGGAATTACAAAATGTATACAAATCAGAAATATTTGATAGAACACAAAACATACAGAAGCTAATATCTGATATGTTAGTACATCCTTTGGTTCAAGAACATTTAATAAATGTCGAATATTCAGCCATCATAAATAGTTGGTATTACCTTTCTGAATATATGTGTGTGTATGTGTGAAATGTGTGTATTGTACATTTTACATTTTATTCTATAGTCTCTTAAATATTACATATTTTAATAATCTGTTACTTCTAACGTTTTAGTATGGAGAAGAAATATATTGAAAAATCTCCAATATATATATAGCGAGAAGGAGAAATTAAACAAATTGGAAGAATCCTGCAGATATTTGTGCGAGCTTATTCTAAAGTTAATCTCAAATCCAGAAGTACTTGATGCAAATGAATTACCCAAAATTAATGGTGACAATCGTCTATTACATACACAGGTAATATAAACATATATATATATTCAATATGCAAATTTACTTCTTAAGTCATTCACTTTTTGAACGTTTGATTCAGACTTTATACACGAATGGCACTATTACGTTTTCCACTCTGCTGTCGTTAGTCACTTTGGCTTCTGCAGGAATGCTACATTATATAAACATCATCGATTTGCCAGATTCATCACATTGTTCGCGGTATGTTAAAGAAGCTTGCAAAAAGATTGAAATTCTACGAGCGTTATTTGTCGCGCTGGACGTAAAACTCAACGGTATACATCTGGATGAACAACGTATTTCTCGAAGAGTCGGAAATATTCCTATCTGTCTCGACACGGATAATACGTTCATCGTGAACAAAGACATACTCTTGGAATCGCCTAAGATTATCTTTGATTTGAATCAACATGTAGATGACAATCACTTCCACCAAACATTATGTCCATCTCCGATAAAAGGTATCAGTCGTTAAAATCATACTTTCCATGGGGATTAACTTTTGTCACAGAAATATATTAACAATTTCTAGATAAGAATAAGCAGCTATTTAGCAAGTACAACAAACGTAAGTACTGCCCACCTAAATGGTCTACGGCATCGCCGGCCTTTAGCAGTTCTTCTTGGAACAATATGAGCGGATGGTTGTCTCCTCGTGGATACTCTTTTAAAGGTGAGCCAGTTACACCTGATGGAAAGTCAACTTTGCCCTTGTACTCTGGACCACTACATAATCCCAAACCAACACCTGAACGTCTCACAGGTTTGTTACAATTTTCAATGTCCTGATATGTCTGAAATCTTCATATTGTTTTAACATGTGTAAATTAACATGTGTTCTTTAGGAAAAACATTATACAGTCCAAGTTCAATCTATGAACGATCAATATTGAAGAAATATCGTCGTTCAATATCAGGACATCTGATAAGCTCAAAGGTCCTTAATGGAAAAGCAAGAAATCTTTTTAATTCTGTGGTATCATCTTCATCGTATATATTCTAAAATATTGAATATTGATAAGATGTACAAATTGTGAATGACTGAAACCAACATCATAGACAAAAGTATTCAATGGAAATGAAAGTTCCTAGAGGTATTATTAGTGACTGGAGTTATTATTAGTTGAATTAACAACAACAATTTAATTTAAATGAAAAGTTTAGAGCCTTATTCAGACTTATCAGATATATAGATTTGCACTTACATGTAAAATACATATATCTGAGACACGGTCCTATTTTATATTATATTTACTTCACAATCTCTCATGTTATTTTATTTAAACAGTTTATAATTCATAGATGTCTATATTTTTGCACATACAATGTACATACTACATATGTTCATGGAAGAGCACACATGTTGGAAAACAGTGAAAATGTAAAAAAAAGAGTAATTAAATAAATATTACTATCTTCTATGATTCTTCTATGATTTAGTCAGATTGAAGGTTCATAAACTGAGAATTCTTTGCTGTTATTTTTAAATCAAATTTTAAAGGTCCACAGGAGCCAAGAGCAAATCCTAACTTAACTTTGGTCACCATGCGGCCTCACGCGGCAAGAATACGAAACAGTATTTCTAGGTCTCCGCGCGAAGTCTCTGTAGACCTTTAAATACGCTTGAATAATGCAGGTCTGTGCTTTTAAAAGACGAAAATGAACTCAGATGGCGTCTTACATATTCGGAGATCATCAACACACTGCATTCACTGTCCAGTGATTGTAAGACGCGATAAGTCGCGCGGTAAGGCTCGAAATCTTTTGACATTTTGCACGGCTTCCAGAGGTCCGTCCGTAAAGCTCATTGAATCTCCGATTGTTGTCAGTTTGCGAAAAATACACTCTCTCGATCACCAGCTAGACAGCGTTCGTAACCACGAGCAGTAGCGAAGCAAAAACGAAAACTGCAGCACTCAATTGCGTTTTTGCGACGACGTGGCGAGTGTGATGCAAAACGTGTAATCGTATCGTCCGTGTTGTGCAACGTGAGAGTTCAAAAAAAGAACACGACGAAAGAGAGAGAGAGAGAGAGAGAGGAAAGGAAGAGAGAGAGAGAGAGAGAGAGAGAGAGAGAGCGAGAGAGAACAAACGAGCGAGAACAGTGAAGCAGCACCACAGCGCATGAAGCAAGTATGGCGGTAATCCTATCAGCTGATAGCGTCCGTCGCTGGAATGACGGACCGCATTTTGGTTAATCGGGTTAGATCGCCCCCTCCCCGCACTCGAAGCCGATGACCACAGCTGTGTGTATCGCCGTTCTATTACTACGTACTCACGTACATACGAGATCGCATGACGCATAGACAATGCTAATGCACTCATCGCGCGCTGGCACGTACACGGGATTTCCTCCGAAGTGTATCACGCGTCGCTGACAGACGGACGATAATTGTGCGGGAATGTCGCACTATAGGTAGGGTTTCCTTCACCGGCTCATAAAAATACATACACACACACACACACACACATACTCACATATATACATATAGACAGATATCTTCTCTTTTTCTTTATCACTCTGCTCCCAAGTTTCCCGATCTTAGCGGCTAATAAAAAGATAACAAACGGAAGAGTGTCCGCTTAATTGGAGCGGCGTGGAATCCGGGTGAAGCGATCTGTGATGAGCGACTCCGAACAGCGGCAGCTGCACGTGCCTTACCGAGAATACCATAGCCAGAACAACACCAGCCCTGCCGCTCTGGTGGAGACCGATGCATTGGTGGATCTGTCCATCGCGCCCAGCAGCCGCTTGTCGCAGAGCGACAATCACCAGCCAATTGCGGTCGCCACCGACCTCCTGCCCGACGTCGAGTTCATTCCGGGTCTGAGCAACGACCAAACCCTAGCCATAGATTCCTCCGGGATCGACCGGGAGAGCCAGCCTCTCCTCGGTCGCTTGGAGCTCGACGTTACATTCAACAGATTTTCAGGTGTGTATTTGCTTAGTCTCCTGCAGGCTTCTCAGAGTCACGGAGGTGCTTCGTGCCTCCAACTGTGTATACTTATGCCGATGACTCATCCATAACCTTCCTGGGAATCGTGTTGTGATATGTGTGTTATAAATATATCTGTGTTGTTACAGATGACCCACAATTTTCCGAGCTGGTATGGCAAGCGGAGTGCGCGATAGACAATGGAGTTTATCCAGAGAGAATATACCAGGGCTCCAGCGGGAGTTATTTTGTAAAAAATCCAGCGGGGGTAAGATGCGCTTGTGCTCGGCAAGATCAACAATAGACACTCGTTGTTTCTAATCGTCTGTATATCGTCTGTCTCTTTGTCAGAAAATAATAGGTGTATTCAAGCCGAAAGACGAAGAGCCTTACGGCAGATTAAATCCGAAATGGACGAAATGGATGCACAAGCTCTGCTGTCCCTGCTGCTTCGGCAGAAGCTGCCTGATTCCAAATCAAGGCTACCTGAGCGAGGCGGGCGCCAGCCTGGTTGATCGCAAGCTGGGCCTTGGCATCGTACCGAACACCAGAGTAGTAAAGCTCGTCAGCGAGGTGTTCAATTATCCGCGCTTGGTCCGTCAGAAGGCACGCATGAAACAGGCGATCATGGACCAGTTCCCCACGGTGGGCTCGCACTTCAACCGCATCGGTCTACCTCCGAAGGTCGGCTCTTTCCAAGTTTTCGTGGATGGCTACAAAGACGCCGACTATTGGCTGAGGAGGTGGGAGAACGAATCCTTGCCGGCGCGTCTCAGTCGGGAATTTCAGCTGCAGTTCGAGCGATTAGTCATCCTCGACTACATCATCAGGAACACGGACAGAGGTAAAGAAAGCCTTTTGAAAAGCTCATAGACACCGCAAGATGACACGCATGCATGGTACGTGTTCCGTGTGTGTGTCGCAGGTAACGACAATTGGTTGATCAAATACGACACTAGCGTCAGCAAAAACGGAAACGAGCAGGGCGAAGTGAAGATTGCTGCGATAGACAACGGCTTGGCCTTCCCCTTCAAACATCCGGACTCTTGGCGGGCGTATCCCTATCATTGGGCTTGGTTGACTCAAGCGAAGCAACCGTTCAGCGAGGTTACAAGAGAATTGGTTCTACCACAACTCTCGGATCAGAACTTTGTACAGGATCTTTGTGACGACTTGTATCAATTATTCAAAGTACGTGTCGCACTTTGTACGTCTGTTTAGCTCAGCTCATTCATATTATGACATCATAAACATGGTTCGTACATTATCTTTGTAGCAAGATAAAGGTTTCGACCGGCACCACTTTGATAGACAAATGAGCGTGATGCGAGGACAGATCTTAAATCTGCAACAAGCCTTGAAAGATGCCAAGAGTCCTGTGCAATTGGTGCAAATGCCGGCTGTTATTGTGGAGAAGTATATATTTATTTAGACTCCTTTTTGATATTTTGATTGCCGCTGTCACTGTCGTAACTTTGTTCTGTTAGCGGTTATTATAAAAAAAATAATGAGTCTTATCTATTATGAAATATTGTGAGTCTTACAAAAACTTATTTGTCGATAATGGGGATTTATAGTCGTAACGTTATTTTTTATCTATTTAAACGAGAAATATTTTTCTTTAGCATACAAAAAAAGTAACATATAAAAAAGTAAGTGAAAAGAATTCCTTAAAGCAGTTATAGAGACTGTATGTAGACTTACAGATTTATGTGCAAGGAAAATGTTCCTATCTCGAAGTCTGCCAGTAGCGGGCAAAAATATTCCGCGTGAAGTGCGTCAAAGGTGCACAAAAAGTGCTTATATATAGTAAGGACAAACTGCCATGTATGAGACGCTTGTTTCAAAACTTGCGAGGAACTTGCGTTATATGTGTATAATCCTACAATTTTTATTTGATCGTAGTTTATTTATTATCTTGATTTAATACTCTTACGATTTCTCTTTATCTTTTTGTATTCCAATCGCACAAATTTTATATGCAATATTTTTTTTAAAGCAAAAACAATTTTTCAAAATTCCATTTTATTTTTACTTGGGTTATACTTCTCTTTTAAAAGATTATATAATATCGTTACGAGATTTTCCCAACTCTCAACATTTCTACTTTCTTGACTAAGAGAAATTTGAAAGTTAGTTTATCGTTTTCGATTTTGCAAATACCTCAATCTGTCGACAAACGCTATGGAAATTGAGTGGAACTGGCAGCAGCCATACACGTTATTCTATTCACAGGGCCAAAGGAAACGGCGCTCCAAGGTTGTTCTCATTTTCTGACACATTTACCCAGCGCTTCCAGAATAAGAGTCCATTCTTCTCCTGGTGTTGAGGACGCGAGTTTACAGCTACAAGCAGAGTGATCGGAATCAGTGAATCGGTGTCAGTGTCAGTTAAACGAGAAACGATCCTGCGCGCCGCGAATAATATTGTCACTTATTTTTCTAAGTTTATCCTACATTTCTACCTCTCTTTCGTAAGTTTCATTTCCATGCCGCGGCCGCGGATCGATCGATCGATCAAACGGGCGGTTGTCCTTTTTAGGCTGTCCTGTATTTATAATAATCTCTTTCAGTTCGATTGGGATATAAGAAATATTCGTATAATTATATTGTATACAGTAAATATATATATACATATATATATATAACGTTAAAAGGGATCCTTTCAATGCGCTTAATGTACGGGAAAAACAGCGAAGAAAAGGAAAGACGCGCGCGCGCACGAAGATTAGATTGCAACATATGAGCCCACAAACAAGACACACGTGCCAGTTTTACAGGTACTCAAAATGTGTGTCTTTCTTTCTCTTTTTCTCATGTCTTCCTAATAAATACACACACTCACACACACACACATACACACACACACACACACACGCATAGAGCTCGTGCCAATCGGTAATTACGACATGCATAGGCCATTATTTGGAGAACGACTGGCGTATCGCTCCATGGCTTAGGCATTGGAAAACAAGTATGAGAGACAAGCGCTTGATCGTTTGATATATTTTCGTTCTGCTACTTTTAAGATTAGCTATCTCACTTAGTCCCGAAGAGTCGATCGTTAAGTATACTTGAATCTTACACGATACTTTTCCAAGTTGTAAACTGTGATCTTGTGGTATATACACGTGGTGTCGCGTGTGGCGTATACGTATCGACGACAGAGAATTCCACGTAGATATTAATGACGCTAATTGTTAAGTACAAATGAAACCGCTACTGAGGCGCATAGACGAGATATAGAGTTTCTAGCGCAATTTTTATGAGATCATATATTTTCGCCTGTCTTCTCTCTTGTAATAATAACACGCCGTACTCGATTGTGAGAGAAATAGAATCCTGTGATTGTATTATCATATGTTTATTTCGATTATATATATATATATATAATTTTCCGTCAACAATGTCGCGAAGTTGGTTCCGCTCCGTGTTATATCACATCAAGCGCGTTCTATCGCTTTTAAGGGTGTCATGACGCTCCGGCACCGAGATATATTATTTTGTTATTTTAAGTGTTTTGATAATTATTATTAACGATTACGGTTTATGCGGAAGATATTGATGCGGTTGCGCATCAATAAAACACAGGATAAGAGAGACGAGAAGAGGAATCGGAACCCACGAGAATGGAGGTTATCGAGTCCTGTTCGAAGAGAAAAGCCTTACCATTGACGAAATCGATAACGTGTCCATGTAGTAGAAAAGTAATATTGCATGAATTGATCTTAGTTAATCTCAATGGCCCTTACGTAGCGCTTACTATGCGACAATTTCCAGTAACACCGACGTTACGAATTAAAGGTAGCTGTTTCGTTATCATTCATTATCATTCGCAATTGTGTAATATTATTCGTACTCGGTTTCTACAAATCCACGTCATAATTATATAATATTTATATTATAATATATGCTACAATTGCACATATAATATATATACAATTATACAATGTATAATTAATATATATATTATATAATTGTATGCTGTAATATATAATATTATATAATTATAATTACATCACCGATACGATTATATGCAATTATAATTACCAGTTGTCCGTATAAATTAAAAAAGAAACTGTAATTTATGGAGCGTATTTGTAATACACATACATACACATACATGCATACAATAGTACGCCAAGAGATACGTGCAGCCGCCACGTGCAAAGTCCTTCGCGCCAGAGCAATTGTACAAGAGCCCGTCGGGACGACTCGAGACCAGCACGACGTACCATCTGTCTTATCTGAATGTCGACCCGGCAGCGGCATGTCACGCGCGACCGCAACCTATTCGTCCGGTCCGTTCTCTCGAGAAGAGCACCGGCCGGTTTTTCGATGATACGACGAACAAATTGTCTTACAGGCCCTTGTGGCAGATCGTTAAGCGGGAGCCGATCGTGCCGAAACGTAGGTAAGGGAGATCATCCCGCGGATGGACGTTGTGAGCATCAATCATGCTTTCACCATCCAGTCTGTACATGTTGCGAGCGATATCGTATGATACATTGCGAAAGAATCAGCCACTCGATATGACGGCTTACAAACAGGCTGTCTATCAGGGAAAGAGCGCGAGCTACGAGAGTGGCCTATATTTTGGAAGATAAGAGTCGTAGATAACTTAGGGTAAATTTGGACAGACGTTGACGCGCTGACTTCTCAAGCGTGTCAGCGAGTCAAGCTTTGAATGATCTCAAAGCACGGGGAAGTTCTCTTCCCCGGCTGTAGTAGACGCTAAGCGGCAGAAAATACGTCGAAGAGAGTACGCCTCTCCAGTATCAGTAGATACGCTGATGACGAAAAGGCTCGAGCTAATGTCCAAATGACTTCATACGCGCCAGACCGATGACCGGTCTGGGTGCGATGGAGAATGTCACGACGGTCCGTCGCGATTACGTGGCGAAGCGCGTGGACAGACCGGAAGCAGTCGTACCCTGCGGCAACATTCGCACAAGCTCGGCGCCGTTGGAGGAGAGGACGATGACGAGGATGTGCTACATGCCTCCAGGACCTATGGAGCCGAGGGTCAGTTTCAAACCGAGGCTGAGGTATCAGCCGCCGAGTCAACCTCTTCCCGACGAGACGACGCAGAAACTGAGCTATCAGCCCTTCGTCATCGGTAAGAAGGAGTCATATCCTTGGGCGAGGAAGCCCATGTACAAGTGAGTATAAACGCATCCGTCCGAAAGGACTTTCTTAAAAAAAAAAAAAAAGACGCTTCTCCCGAAGGACAGTTATGAGAAAAACGATGTTGTAGAGGAACAGGATATCGCGAAAATGTCGAAACGAAATATTATGTCACATATATTTCATTTTATATACTGCTTCCCGATCAAACAAGTGACAACAACCAACAGTCACTAAAAATGATCACGAAGTATCGGCTTTGTGCTTAATCTCCGAGTGTTGAAGGCGACCGATCACCGCGATGTGCGGCAAGACCACCTACTCGGAGAGCTACCTGGAGAACGACGCGGCAGACGCGGCGAAGCCGATCCTGCCGGCCGCGACGTACATATTCCCCTACGGCGCGGAATTCGCGGGCAAGACCGTCTACAAGGAAAGCTACTTGCCGGGCGAAGGGGCTCGCATGGAGCCGTTCGTTCCCGCCGGCAGTATTTCCATACCCGACGCCAAGATGCTCACTGACACGACCAACAAGGTGCCGCGAGCAGCTCAGCGAATCGCGGCAGTTCGCTAACGAGGGCTCTTTTTCTCTTCTTTTTCTCCCAAGCCGACACTCGTTCGCGTCGCGTCATCCGCGACGATGAATAATCATTGCTTACGTGAATCGGCCCGCAGCTGAGCTATCAGCGAGTCTGGACCGAGAAGCGCGAGCCGTTCTTGCCGCAGCACAGGAGCGCTCTCGGGGTCGGTGCGATGCAGTCCGAGACGACGAGCCGCAGCGAGTATGTGGCGAAAACGGCGCCCCGGCCAGAACGGATCGTCCCGAGCGACAATATTCGCACGGCCGACGGGCCGTTGCAGGCCGACACGACCACCGCGTTGTCTTACGTAAAGCCCGGCGCCATCAGGCCCGTTCATAGTTACAAGCCCGTCAGGGAGTATTGCAGGTGAGGAGGAGGAGGAGGAGAAGGAGGAGGAGGAGGAGAAACGGAAAAGAGGCTGCAGATGTGCATAATTAAAACGTGATATTACACGCGTGCCATTGCAAAGTCCAAGAGACAAAGTCCGTACAAAGAGTAAGTAGTTGCTGCAGAGGTATTTCGAGGAGAAGCGCTCGAGAGGATCGAGACATCGCCTCTCTCGCCGTTTATTCTCGTCCTGCGCGACGTTCCTTAGGCTTCTACTGATAACCAAGGCTTAAAATCGCCTCACGTGAGGCCACACCCGGCCTTGAATTTAGAATTAGATCAGAATTTTTCATTCGAGTTACGTGACACACTGCACCTGTAGCCGCGATCCGCGGTCGCGAGAATCTTGGGTAACGGATGAGTTGTAACCACTTTCCGTAGTTTTTGTGAATTGTAATCGTGACGATTTCGCAACATGTCTTTCATCCTTCATCCAGGCCGCACGTTAAATTCGACGCCGAGACGGTAAATAAATTATCCTATCAATCGTGGGCGCCACGGTCTAAAGAAGAGATCCCGTGGGCGCGAAAGAGCAAATATCAGCCTCCCCTGCATCCGATGACCGGCGACACGATCTATCACATGAGTTACCCGGCACCAGGTCACTACGTCGAGGCCGATGAGGTCGAGCAGACGTGCGCTTGTCCCAACGACGAGGAAGATAACGTTTCGTGTGCTCCGGCAAGAGCGGCGTCTTAAATCGACCGCGTTTGTAGCGAGAGTCAATCTCAAGGTTGCCGACAATATCGGCCGAGGTTCCGAGATTTCCTCCGACGAGAACTCGATTGCGAATAAAGTAACATTCATAGTGACAAACAAAGAAATGTCTCCTTAAATTCGCCATCAGATATAATCCATTATCTGCGGCGTTAAAGTTCTGCAGGAAGAAAAAAGAAGCTATCATACATGCTGCTCGAAATCGTATACACCCAAAAAAAAAAGAAATATTCTATTTGCAAAATGATTTTTCCCACAGTCTCATATCCTAAGCGAAGCCTTTTAGAGAAAAAGGATTCTTCCTTTTTCGATAAAGTGAACCATTCATCTAAAATTAGATATCATTCTAACTTTTCCTCTTATTTCAAGAGGATTTCCTCTTGTATCAATTAATTTTCCTCTTATATGAAGAGGAATACGTTGATTTTTTAATATCGGCTTCTTTTGTTCAGTCATGCTCTACCTCCAGGCATGAACGAAAAAATAACCATATGCTCATGGGTCAGAATATTTGGAATGCTTTTTCAAAAAGGTATGTGCGTTGCTGTATAACATATAACGAAGATAATTTACTCATATTTGGCCAAATATAGTTTATAATCTATTGCAAGAAGTTGAATAATATATTCTTTCTTTTAATCATGTTTCATACAATTGGTTACGATGAACATCTTTAAAGCTATGAAGTCCGTAACATAACTGACTGGAATATATTTGTTATGATGACCTTGTTTCATTCGTACCTACTTATTGTAGAACTGGAGCCAGAAATACATCTCTTTCTATATATATATATATATATATTACTTTTCGCTATATATATAATTTTTTCAAATTAACTAGCATAACCAGTAAGAACAAAGTACAGTAAGAATAAATAATAATCCTCTTAAAAAAAGTTTAAATAATTTGTATATAAGAGGAAATTTCTATTAAAATCAATAAGATTTGCATTATGCATATAACATATAATCCCACTAACTGTAAGAATAATTTGTATATATAACATTTTCCTCTTAATCTTAGAGGAATTTTCTTGAGGCCATATACAAGAATAAAATCCTCTAAAATTTAGAGATGATTCCACTTGTTCTGAAATTACTTTCTTTTTGGGTGTATACTAAATAAAAAAAGATCGGATCATGCCTGAGAATGTTCATTGTGAATCGCAGTCGCCGAATGAGCTTTGGTGGCAATGCATACGACGAACGTGTTGATTTACAATCAATTTTATTGCGCGTAAACATGCGTGTTATATTACACTTATTATACTACGCTTAACGGTTACAGTAAATAGACCGAGCACGAGCGTCTCTTACGGGCCGTAAAATCATCCTTGGTAATAAAATAAACTCTAATCTTTGATAAAAAGATCAATAGCTAATACTAGCTCGTATTTCCACCAAACGATGTTGGCGGTCTCATATATATCTTATAATGATAAATATAAGAGGAGAGACAACGCTATGTGCGCTCCTACTCGCGACGAAATCCAGTGTACATTTAACGGTGTTTTACATATGTATACAATCGATAGATTTTTTTTTCTCCTCTTAATAATACATACATAAGACACAGACACAGGGGAGGGAATGGAGCACCGTAATAGTAATTAATTTTACAATGTATGCGGGTGTGTACGTGTCGTGCGCACGTTAATCAAGTCCCCCAGGACGAACTCTCGCGTTTCGCATTCTTCCTCTTGCTCCGTTAAAAAAAAGAGAAAAAGAAAGAAGAAACTATAAGTATCCTAAACTTAAACGATAAAAGTAAACTTTTATACACGAACGAATCATCTCTCAATAAATCTATACATATGTATTCATGTGTGTGTGTGTGTATGTGTGTGTGTATATATAAACACTCTCGAAGTATAACTAAACTTTATCACGAGACGAAAGCTAAGATTAGAAAGAAGAAAGAAGGAAGAGAGAGAGAGTAGTAAAAAAACGTATACCTAATCTCATCGTCGAAGTATTTCCGGAAGTCCCCGAAGAATTGAAGACCAAAGTCTAAGAATTGTAAGGCACATACTTTTTAGACCATCTCGATCGTACGCCGCTACGAATACACGTAATTCGCGTGTGCGTACTCATCCTCTTTTCGATTTTCTTATCATAGGTACAACTCAGAATTGAACACGCAATAGAACGATTTTAATAAACCTCCTCCTCCTCCTCCATTTACGCTTACAATCCTCGATATCTGAAAAGACACTCAATGGCAATTTGACTAGGCGGCACGGTACGCTCGCACGTATGAAGATGATTGTCCATTTTCTACGTCGCATTGTACTCTCATAATCTCTCCTCGATGAATCTCTACTTTTATCATCGTTGTATAATGTTAATCCTTAAACTGTATATCTCAAAATTCATACAATAGAAGTAACAGCACCTCCCTTTGTCTAGAATCTCTAAAGACGCGAGAAAATCAATGTGTAATTATAAAACGGTACGTATAGCGCACACACCAATCGGCGGAGTAACTTAATAACGACGGCTATTTAAGATGCAAGTGAGTCATCGCAGAATTTTCCACTCGTACGTATTATTGATTTATTATTTATCGACTCGTTCAAAGAAGCGGGAACGACGTGCCTCGTCGTATCGGCAATCTGTCACCGTGCTAATTGTACGTTAATATTGACGAGCGCGCGCTCAGTTTATTGGTATTCTCCGTTTGGATTCATTTCGACGAACGCGCACGTAGTTGGAAAATATCAGAGCGATCTAATTACACATCGCGTAACGTTCAAAAAGCCACCCCGTCGGTTGGTGCACACGAAAAGGAAGAGAAAGAACAAAAAAGAAAACATGTTTTATAATAATTCTTTAAAATTCTCTCTAAAACGATCTAAACTGGTTAACAAAAATAATTGCTATATGTTCGTAATATAATTTCTACAATGTTGTATTAGTCGTACTATTACTCTGAAACATGCAATATACAAATTTATCATTACATATGTTTTTTTTTTCTTTTAAGCGTTTCGTATATCATAAATGATGAGCTACGAGCTATGAGCTTTTGTACTAAGTGTTTATCGTATCTTACAAGAATCTGGGCTAAAGCTGACATTACGCCTGGAACCATAATATTAAGCTTTAGCTTAACCCCTTGCCCTATAATACAATGTCCTAATATATCGTGCGAGACACGTGATATGCTTCGCGGACCAAACATAAGAAGAAACACGAGTCAGGCTTGTGGTGCGCGTAGTACATCGGACCAAATATAAGAAACACCAGTAAGACTGGTCGTGCGTTTTGCGGGCCAAACATAGAAAGCACAAGTAAGACTCGTTGTTCAATTTTTACTCGTGTTTCGCGGTCAATGTGCCGCGTCTGCGATTTGCGTTCTGTGACTTGCGATTTGATGTGAACCGGGCATTACAGCTTTGCAACTTCACCACCGACTTCGGCACGTGCTGCTGCGACTTGCGAATCACACAGCGCAAGGGGTTAACAAAATTCATATTACGGGAACTCTAAGGAGAACGAAGAGTCGACAAAAAGTCCAATTAACTCTAATAAACTCGCGAGTTACAATAGTAAAAGGCGCGAGCATTACTCGCTCGTTTAATTAAATAAACAAAAAAGTACAAACAGCTTGCGAAAGACGAAGAAATTTCGACGAGTTTGGTGTCACTGCACGGGGATATTATTTTAAAGCTACATAACAAATCGTTAAACAAAATTCTCTACGATTTCCAATAATCATAAAATTCGAATCGATTAAATTCATCTCCGATCGCAGCGTTATATGCATCAATAACATCCGTAATATATAATCAATATAATCGACACGAGTCACACTCGATGCTTAACATTCAGACAGCGAATAATTCTTATTTATATTCATATTATTTGTTCTCGTATTCACATGATCTTGTCGTTCATTCGTATTTTCTAATTTAGCGCCAGAGACCTTTCTATCCTTTCTTTCAACTTGTACACTCGAGCTTTTCCTTCTTCTCACTGCTCAAAAAACTTGACGAGAGAAGCTTCTCACACTTATTATTTTTACATATCCTACAAAATGTAATACCCGTACCATATTTTATAAGATACAATATACCATATTTCGCGTAACTTTCGCGTAATATACTATATTTTATAAGATATAATATCTCTGCGATGTGGAATTAAGCATTACGGCGCTCCGGGTCTCTTTGCATTGTCTCGTTTGAAAAATAGCGAAAAGCGCGACATCGTCGCAAACATCAAATTCACCGGCACGATGTCGAACGCTAAGAGGCTCAACACGTTGTTACGACCGTTGTGTGGTGTCAACAAATAAACTGATGATGACAATAGACGAGAGTGACACAAACGTACGACAACGATGATTTCTCCTCACACGAATTGCACATTCTTCCTTCGAAAGCAACGAGATCTCTCCGCGATTCGTGCGAAGACGACACGTCGTCACAGACTATCTCAGACGCAATGCGCTCTCATATGCCGCTCGTCGCATACGCATCATAAACGCTTCTTTTCTAGGTAAGTAATCGTGTGTACTGTCGCCGGATAAGCGTATGCGGCCGACGCGACACATGCGTCCCTCCCCCGTTAAACATAACAATCCACGGATCGCGTCCGTTGCTTACTTTCTGTGTATATGTATGCACCAGATGAACCGTCAGAGATCGAAGAAGGGTTTGGTGGTGATCGCCATCGCCAGCGATCGCCAACGATCGTCGCCGACAACCGGCAGCAACGACGACGACGACGACGACGACGACAACAACACTTGAACGTACCTATTATTGTGGTTTGTTATACGACTGCATGAACTCGGAGAAGCTGAAGTTGTTTAAGTGGTCCAAGTTGAGATTTTCATCAATTGATGTCAGCTCGTTCTGACTCATCAGCTCCACATAGTCCACGTCCGAGCTTGGTCGTCCAACACCCGACTGGCCGAGACCAGGTGCATAGCTACCACAAAGCAAAACACAACCCCAATCACTGGCAATGCTCGGTGTCAAATTAGCTGCGATATTGCACCGCTTAAATTGCTCTATACTTTCTTGCGGGCCAACCACCGCGTGTACACCTCATTCTCATTTTTCTTTTTTTTGCTGTTTACTTTTAGGTCTGAACGCGTAACTTGTCTCGTTTCTTTCTCAAAAGTGTGCGAGTGACCGATTTCTTGTTTCTTTATCAGCCGGAATAGCCGGTACAACACGGCAAAAGGTACAAGACAACCACAAGAGTCCGCCAACTCTGTAGATCGGTCACTTGTCTCCCTCCGAAATCTTTGGAAAAAGATGGAATTAGATACGTATCGCGACAGAGTTCCTTCGCATTGACTCTCTTTGCAATTCGATACAACAATCATCGAAAGGATGTTATTATTATTATTTTTTTTTGTTAATCTTCGCACTCATTCGGACGATATCTCGCGTGTCGCACAGGTAACGGGAACGGGCGAGAAACAACACGAGTCGCAACTAATTCGCGAGTTAGACAGCGTTAAAAACGTTCAATTGCCAGCTGCGTTGCTAGAGTGATTGGAGCTGCGTTTTGTAGGGTAGTATTGAAACTTTCACATTGTGGTTGTACCGGCTTGTCTCTGGCCTTTGCTTCTCTCTCTCTCTCTCTCTCTCTCTCTCTCTCTCTCTCTCTCTCTCTCTCTCTCCATTCAAACGGCAATAATCCTTTCTCTCTTACGCGTGGGTACATAACTACATTATAGTATATGTCTCGTTGCACGCAACCATCTTTTCGACACGCAAATGTTTACGCTTATATCTTATATACATATAATGCTACGTGCTAATACGCATAGGTTCATGATACAAAAGCTATGTCAAAGCCATGGATAAGCCGTTGCGCTAGAAAAGTGAATCGTAAAAAACTTGGCAGTGTCGGAAAAATCGATTATACGTTAATGTTCCTTTATCTTTATTTGCTATCCTTTTCTTCTCTAGGTTTCCTCTGTGGTCCGCAAGTGAGATATGAAACACGAATCCATAGGCTAGAAGCGCTTCGTCCGACGACAGAAACATAATCGTTGGTCTTAGAGTAATACATACCTCCTGTCGCGTTTGCAAATTTACGCATCTTCGCATTTCTTCATCTCACTTATAAGTTTGCAAAATCAAAGGAAATAGAAATTGTCCTAATATACGCAATTATGACACCAGGACAAAAAAATGTATACTGTCATGTATACTTACAGTTTGAAGGCACTCATATATATATATATATATATTATTTTACTTCCCTTATCAACCGCACAAAAATATCATGACAAAATCATTAAAAAGTTATAACTTGTTCGTTTAATATCAAGTAACTTTTAATACCAAATAGAAAAAGATATAATAAACACAACTGAAAGAAAATATATATTATTATTTAATATTAATATTATTAGCAAATATAACGTTTTTCATCCACCCAATGGTCTTTACTATTGATATATATTATAGAATTTATTCTCCTGAGTAACATTCAAGAGATTCGAACTGTCGCTTATTATATATTAAAAAGTTATTAACAAAAGTTTCATAAAAAGAGCCTATCTCTCCATTTAACATATACATTAAGATGTGTTAAATAGTATATATGAGCCGAAAAAACCTAACTTAATCTAACTTAACTTAAATTATTATATCTTTGTTGCCATATAGCTGAATATATCTCGAAGTAAACTGAAGGCACGGTGATTTATCACTAAATCAGAAGAAAAAAAGTTACATTTTTGCACACAGTTAGGCGTTGTGGTCCTAAGAGGACCTTTTCAACATAACAATATGTGAAAATATAATAATTTGAATTAGATAAAGTTAAGATATAGATTAAGTTCTTTTCGGGAAATGGATATAGGGACAGAAACGAAGTCTGCCCCGCTCATTTATACTAATATTTAACATAATTTTAACATTTTTTCTTAATGTACACTGTGTCGGAAAGATAGGCTCTATTTATGAAATTTCTTTTGTTAATAATTTTTTAATAAACAATGAGCGAAGACTAAAATCTCTTGAATGCTACTCAGAAGGGTTCTATAATATATGTCAACGTCAAGACCATTTGAGGTGGATCCCCTAAATGTTATGTATGATATTTATATATGATATATTTACTATATCATAATAATATATGATATCTTTGTTACTTTTTATGAAGTGATTACATAATATATGTTTATAAGAGAGATAAAGAAACACAAATTTACAAGCGCGACAAAAGAAATATTCTATGACGGGCGATTAGATTGTGTTTCTGTTTAATACTAAGTTTACAAATTACTAACAAATTACTGCTACTATTGGATGAGGATACTGGGGTATTAAATACATTTTATAATATAGTTTACATACATTTTATGATATAGTTAGAAACGTACGGCATATATTTCTCATAAACTACGTACACTAATAACTGCATTAGAGGATGCACATCTTCAACTACGATATCCATTGTAGTCTCTCAATTAGCGAAAACATCACGATTGCCTTTGACAAGATGATGATTTTATGAAAAAAAAAGAAAAAAAGCGATAAAAAATAATGAAGAAACGATCGACTTAATGCGATCGACATTAATATTATGTTCATTTTTTTCATAAATAATCTTCATACGCAATTATTGCTATTCGTGAGAAATAATTGCATTGTTTAGAATGTATTTCGACCAGCCAGTACCTTCCAATAGGCAGTTATCAAACGAATTGCATATTCATTCCGTTTAAATATATGTTACATTACGTTTTTCTTTCTAACAACTTACTAAGTACAATTATAAAATTAAATGCCCTGTAAAAATGTATTTATAAACAAAAATTTATGTCAAAAGACGGAGTTCTAAAAAAAATTTAAAAAAGAAATAAAAAAAATACTGACAATGATCCAACAACAGGATTCAGAAGATATGCAATATGTGAGCTGCTAGGAATGTCTGTTATTTCGGTGGACTTAGAATTCCACGATTACAGGCTTTAACATAGGCTCACACATTATTGTCTTCGACTTCCACTTCTCTAATATAAACCATGATTGCTGAAGTCAAAATTACGACGAAATAATGAATAGTCATCTTTTCCAACACCATTAAAAATTATGTATCGCATATATTTCTCGATTCATGATCCGTACTTATTTATACAGTGCGTTCGCATGTAATATTTATAATTTATAAAAAGAAGGCCTCAAATTTTTTGATTATCACTTCGCTTCACAAAACTTCGCTCACAAAAAACGATATGTTTATACACCATTATACAGGGTGTCCGATAAACGAGGAAGCGATTTCTCGTGATAAAAATAAGAAATGGAAAATTTTAATATCATCATATCGGTCGTCATGTTGTCTTGATGATAAACAGCGTGTTTTCCAATTTTATATAATCCACAAATTTCGTGTAATGAGGAATCACATCACGCTATTGCATCTTACATCACATATTTCGATGTTTCACTATTATCTTAAGATTTTATTATATAATGAGGTGTAATTCGCACGGTTGATAATGTGTTCATGATGTTGATTTTATATAAGAAAATTATCTAATAGTTTAAACATCGAAACGTACGGCATTTATTTCTCATAAACTATGTACACTAATAACTGCATTAGAGCTTATATCAGCCATTTCTTTCTTCAAAAGTGCCGTACCATCTCTCGTCTGCGTATCGTATAATTTCACGTCTGCATAATTTGAGATTTGTTTCCTTTTTCGAGTGGATAACGAAACACCGAACGAAAACGCACTTCCGCGCGAGGATGCACATCTTCAACTGCGATATTCATTGTAATCTCTCAATTAGCGAAAACATCACGATTGCCTTTGACAAGATGATGATATCACATCCATGCAACTGACCTTGAAGCTGTAGAAGGTGTGTCTCGTGTCACAGACGGGTCAGGACTGTGTGGTTGAAACACAGTTGACGGTGTTGCCGGGTAACTTCCACCTGGGCCGCCTTGACCGTTCCCGCCAACTCCCACCACGGAGGAATGAGACGGCGTTTGATTGCCGAGACCGGGGGCACTCCAACCTGGCACGTGTGTCACCAAGAGGGGCTTGACGTATCCATTTGTCGACGTGGCTTGGTTGTCTGCAGAAATCGGTGATTATTACGAACTCGTCACTATCGACTCTTTATCAGAGTAAATAACAACGTGTGATTCCATTTCGCTGAATTATATACGATAAAGTTGCTTTGCACCTACCGTTAAATGGTGTATAATATTTGGAGAAAGCCTGATCTTTGGTGTATTCCGGATAGAGGAACAGTAAGTATTGCAAGTCGTTAACGCGGTCTGCCAAGCATCGTATAGCGAAGTCCTTGCTCGTGAACGGCTGGAGCATGAAGACATCATTTTGATCTGAAGCGCAGAAATATGGGAGATTGAAGTCGCATAAAAATAATCCGGTGAGTTATCTTTCTCACACACCACCTCACTCTTTCTTTTCTCTCTTTTCTCTGTCTCGACTACTTTACCTGCGACCCATGCGATAGTGATACCGCCGAGTTCCGAGTCGGAAAAACGCATCAGGAATGTCCCGGGCGTGCAGTTCGACAACATCTCTTCCGCCTGCTTCTTCCTGACGAAGCCGAGGATAACACCGTCGGACCACGGGCCGCGTAGATGTTCTCTGGTCAACTTCATGACGGCGTAGAACCACTCCCAAAAAGTGAAGTTTCTTTCGGGAAGCGGTTCCTTACAAAATTGTGCCCAGGACAATAACATGTTGGTGTAATCTTGCCCATTCGAGTTACTGCCCCGGAAAGCCTTTTCCGCAAGGAATCGCAAATTCTCATCCATCAGTGAACGACCAGTCGCCGAGAGAAATTTTACATTCAAAGCATCCGCGACCTGAGGCCATGGTACTTTGTCCGGCACGGCGAATGGTACTCTGCCAGGCTCAGCGAATGCATTGTCCCAGGTGACAGTAGCCCAAGCATGGGGTTCTTGGTTGCCGTGAACAATCACGACTACTGGTAAACTCAACGTCCACACTTGGAACACCAATTCGCCGCCGCCGACGCTGAATTGCGATTGGAACAGCAGCGAGAACTTTTCGTCCATCACGGACTCTGTACCTTTCTTCTCCGCTCGTTTGATCTTCTTCAGCTGCATGTTGCGGAAGCTCACCGAGAGTTGTCTGGTTGTCTGTAAACGGCGTCGAATTAAATAATAAAAATTAATTAATTAATAAAAATAATAGTAGAATTAATAAAACAAAAATAGAGCGGAGATATTTCTTAAGCGCGAAAATGCGACCCACGACAATCTATTTCACTCATTTCGTCATTAAGTTGACGCAAATCGACTGTTAATATTCTCGCAAACCTGATGGTACTCCATTGTGCCGGTGTTGTTCAAAATCTCGCCGCTGTTGTCGTTCTTCATCTTGTCGCTTTTCAACAAAGCGTTCGCCTGCGTTTCACTGACTATGTATACCCTGACTTGCGGCGGCGTCATGTGCACGTTCAACTTGCCACCGACGAGGAGACGCACCGTGCTCGTAAAACGAGTATTAGTTTTCATCACTTGCGGAGGCTGTTTCTCAATGATGAAGGTGCTCGTCACCAGGGAGCTGAGCAGCTGTGTGATTTGTGAATTTAACGCTGGGAACGGATCTTGCATCGCTGTCGTGTTGAACATCAGCTTCTGCTTCATGAGTTCCGCCTCTTTAATTTGTTGTCGCGTCAGCCAAATTATTTCGGCAAGACCCTCGCACCATTCCTGAATGGAGTCCAAATTATTGACGAATTGTATGCCGTTGCCTGATAGCTGCTGATCCCTTTTCCATCTGAGAACCAAAAAAGTAAAATGAACGCGCTCGAAATTTTCCTCCCTGGACGCAATTTCTGTCTTCTTCTTAAATATCGCTACTTATGCCACCTGAAAGAAGTGGGATCGATGATCTTACCTGATAAGTTCGTCATCGAGGATTCTTGATTGTAAGTTGCCCAACTTGCTGATGATCTCTTTCAACTTGTCGGCTAGCAGCAGACGCGTTTGCATCAGGCCAGCCAATTTATGATTCAGAATCTGCTCCTGCTGTTCTCGTTGCCTGTGTAAAAAGAACGATATCTTATTATAATATACAATGTATCTCATTATAATATACAATATATCTCATTATAATATACAATGTATCTCATTATAATATACAATGTATACAGCGAGAAACAATCACGTCGTTCGCAAGTCATTATTTTACCTCCTGATCTTCTTATCGACGTCGAAATTCTGCTGACTCTGCGGCTGCGTAACGAGATGTTGCATTTGCGCGTTCAGCTTCGTGCACTCGTGATAACTGAGCGCGAAGCTCTCCTGTTCATGCTCCATTTTTCGTATGTCGTCCGCGCAATCAAGTGCCTTCTGGCGCAGCGCGGTAAGCTGCTGTATTATGTCCACCGGCATGATCAATCTGTTACTAGGTATGTTTGGTAGTGGTGTGCCTAAACTTCCCTCGACTTGTTGCACATACTTCATTTCCAAGGCCAAGCAATGCTTAATTATCTTAAACAAGGCTGCTGGATTTTGCAGATACTTGTGCTGCAATTCCAAAAAGGAGCAATAGACATATAGCCTGGATAGTCATTTTTACTGATTCAATTAAAACACACACAGTACACGACATAAAGGCACACTCACACGGAACGATTTAGCAGCTTCAGTCAATTTTATCCTTGTTATAAAGAAGTCGTCTGAGGTGAAAGTCGCCGCTTTTGACTCCAATTCGTGTATCATGGACTCGACAAAATTGGTTACATATTGCTCGTGCTGTGGATTATCTGGATCTATGTCCGGCCTAAGGTCAATCAAGTGTTATAATTGTTTGTTATAAATATTGATTGTTTGCGGACGTCTGTACGTCAGGAGTCACATGTACTTATGCCTTAACATTACAACTAGGGTTATTTGTGCAACTTTTTACACTTACACGTCATAAAAGGTTGGAAAAAATTTACAATTAAAATACAATTTACTAAGAAGTGCTAGTAAATTGTATTTGTACCGATTTTACGTTTGAGAGGATCTGTCCTGGAGCGTTGAATAAATTATGCCTTTATAAGAATATATAATAAGTATTAATACATATAAATATTAAGGTGTTATTCAGGAATTATGCCTTCATATCATATCTATGGTATTGTACAATTTTCAACCATACATGCATGCAAATTTGAAAATTGTAGGGAACCCTAGCAAATATTAAGGCTTATATGATATCTGCAGTCTTGTCTACGCAAATGATTAGATTCGAATAGACTAAAAATTTATATGGTATACTCGCCACATTTTTTCTTCTATCCATGATGATAAAAAGTGCCTCACTTCAATCGGGAAATGATCACCATACATAGCATGCACTTGCTTTAATGCCTCATTTGGCAACTGCTGGGACTTTGCCCACAGGGACATTTTTTATGATACTTTTATTTCCTGGTAAAAAATAGAAAATACTTAAATTCACTAGACATTCTATTCCTTAGTGTATCTTACACTAAGAATTATTCAATCTCTTCTCATGATGATAAGCATAATTACATCACCGACGTATAAATATGAATATATGGATAAAGCCTTTCACAAGTGGAAGCTGAGATTAGCAATAAGATGAGAATATGGGAATTTTGGATACGAGGAAAAAAAGAGAAAGATTACAAGGAAGTAGAAAAGGGAAAAATCTTAAAAAAAAAAAAATGTTTAGATCCAGCTAAACAAAATAAGCATGTGAACTGAATGGTAGGAAGTCAAGCTGAATAATGTGTTTGTAGTCCTTTTTTGTCATAAAATTCAACATTCCCCTTGTTATTTCAGATTGTTAATACATGCTATGTCTACAAATAGCTTTTTACTACATTAATTTTCTGAATTATGATTCAATCTTGGATTCATAATTGGAACATTTTATGTAAATTTTTTTTCTAATTTTTTGGAGGACATATATTTCAAAAATAGTTTGTTGAACTTATTCTACCAGAATTTCACACAAATATAAAATTTAAACTAGGCTGAAAAAGCAGTCAGAGGATATTGCTTCAAGTTATGTATGACTTTGGGCAATCTTCTGAACCACAATAGAGCATTTCAACATGTCAATACTTGTCAGATATTATCAGAAGGTCAAGTCTCTCTTCATGTACCTTAAAGCAGATTTTGAAATGTTGAATATTCAGTCTTTCAGTTTCAACCTTTAATCAATGGAAATCAGCGGACAATTAATGAATGAAAAATTGCTTTTTTTTCCATTGTTTTTACTTGCAACTCAATTATTTTCTTTTCATAGAACTTTGTCACAACGCGTCTGTATCTCTTGGGTAAATTTCTTCAATAATTTCCAGAAGATAAATTTTCCTTTTACCGGATACCGGATATGTCCCGAATTTTGTAGGGATAAAGGAAAGGTATTGAAATTCTTTTGGCCATTATCTGGGCATCGCTCCAAAAAACTCAAATCACAAAATTCCAAGACCACTCTTATGTGAGACTACTCCTAGAAAAATCAATTTCAGCATCCGAATACCGAGATAATCTTCCATAACTTTCCCACGGTATAAGAACATAATTTTTCTAAAAAAAAATTACGATATCAAAGTCAATATGGCGAGACACAATATACGAAAAATACAATTTATTTCCAAAGTAACAATAATAACAGCTTTCCGGCATAATTAATATGCCTTCAACATATCGAATGTATAATTGATGTAACGATCGCGCGCTATGTTGTTTGGTCGCAACATGTCTTATAGATATCTATCAATAACATCAAGTACATACAAATAACGGAAGCTTACTACACCGCTTGAAGTTTAGAACGTAATCGTTGATATGACGACGGAACAAAATCGCTTGAATCTCTATCAAGGTTGAAGTATCGATTTCCGTCTGCACTTGCAAAATGCGAATTATGCGTGAATATCCCCGACGCACATGAATCTAGCGCAGAGGCAGGAACTCAAATTTTCTTCTAATCGAGCAATCGATAACATACGAGCAATCGAAATCCCTGGAGCACAGGGCCTATAATCTCTGAGTATTTACATACTTGGCGCATTTTTGAGCGCGCGCGATCTCGCGAAACACGGCGTATCACGGACGATAAGCCGCGGCGCAAAGTGCGGCGCGGACGGGTGGATGAGCGAGCGAGCGAGCGAGCGAGCGAGAGAAAAATTCACCCGAGTATTGCGCGACATGTACCTGCTGCGAGATGCAGTCTCGAAACAGAGAGAGAGAGAGAGAGAGAGAGAGAGAGAGAGAGAGAAAGAACACAAAAAGCATAAGCTAAAAACCTCAGGATATACTTTGGTTCGCCAGCGACACAATTCGCCCGCCTGATAGACGAGCAAGCAGAAAGAGAGAGAGAGAGAGAGAAAGAGAGAGAAAGAGAAAGGAGAGAGAGAGAAAGAGAGACGAAAATACGAAGAGGCGGCATGAGCGTGAAAGATCGCTGCTCGGCTAATGTGTGTAGCGCGCGATGTAACGCGTAAATAGATAAGACCGCGGGAATGAAGGAGAACGAGAAGGGAGAGCGCGAGAGCGAGAGAGAAAGACAGAGAGAAAGAGAGAGAGAGAGAGAGAGAGGGAGGGAGAGAGAGAGAGAGAGAGGGAGAGAGAGAGAGAGAGAAAGAGAGCGCGCGAGAGAGAGAGAGAGAGAGAGAGAGAGAGAGAGAGAGAGAGAGAGGAGCACAAGCGACGAGGCGAATAAATATGCGTTGTCTCGTGCGGAATCTACTCACCTGCTGTGTTGCTACCGCTGCTGCTGTCGGCTTCGAGGTACCTACGTCCGCGAGATGTACGACGCAACACGGCGCGATTACCGCTTCCCCCTTCCCCAGCGACGACGCCTCCTTGCGCCTCTTCTCGTCACCGTCGTGTCCGCCGTCGGTACCAGCAACAACGGCCTTCGTGGGGATCGCTAACGCGCGTTCTCCTCGCCGCCGCCGACTAAACATGCAGTAATCGCAGCAGCGCTCGCATCAATAATACCGCTCTCGTCCTCCCCCAATCCGCTTTCTCGGCCGCTACTGAGCCGACGGACGGACGACGAGTAGCCCGGGCGACGACGTAGTGACGCGGCGCGGGCGAGGAATTCCGGGAATTTGATACCGTAAATGGCGCGTGGGGGGGCGACCGGATGATGGTGGACGTCACGTGAGCGCACGGAGCATGCGCGGTGTGCGTTCGGCGCATGGGATCGCGCTGCAGTGATTTATCGATAAACCGTGCTCCAACCAACCGTGCGACCGACAGCACTCTCCTCGCCACCATTTGCCGCGCACTTGACGCGCGAAAATCCAAAAACGCGCGCGCGCGCGCGCGCCCAACGGACGCGCTATGCAAAGCCGCGGGAATGAGCACACACGGGAAGAGGAAAGGTCGGCCGGCGTGAAAACGGTAACATAGTATCTCTCGTATTTGTGACACGTGCTCGCGTCGCGCGTCCCAAGTATATATATATTTATGTGGACGCGTGTGTACAAATTCGTGTACTCGTGTCTCCGAGTAAGAAAGTATAGAGAATGTCATTACTAGAGGAAAATCGATGAATGATGTAACTTTGGACGAGCTGATGCCTGCGCTTAATCTTTCTATAAATATATAATTTATTCAAACATTATAGAATACAATGTTTATAATCTCACACATCTCTCGACTACAATTCTCGGTAGAATCTCGCATACATACATGTGTAGAAATAGAAATATGTATAAATATATGTGTACGTCCTTATAAAACATCCTCTATAAATAAAATACATCTCAGTATTCAGTATAAATATATTCATTAATCTTCTAATAATACATCATCACAACTTTTAAATGTCTCTACAATATCAAACGTGATATATAAAATAACTATGTAAAAGTCAATATAAAAAAGCGACGTGTGTTAAATATATATAAAAATACTGACTGCGAAATAAATATATGCTTCTCAAGGTAGAGAAGCAGGCAATCTCTGGTTGTATATTAAATCACAAGGCACGCATACCGTGTAAGATGAGTGGCGGTAATGTGAGGAACAAAGCCCCTATTAAGTACGTCGAAGCACTTCCGATGCACCAAAAGGCTGAAATAAAAAATGAGTACATTCGAGGAGGCAAGTAATTCACCAAGTAGTTCCCGCGAGCCCAACATCGCTCCAAAGTACCTGAAGATGCAACGATGGGCCCGCAAGCGCGTGCCAAGGCACCGAGCGAACGAAATGTACCAGTGATGACGCCCTTCTGGTGCTCAGGTCCGATGCGTGTCACTAGTGTCATCATACAAGTGACAACCATAGCGGTGGCTGCAAAACAAATGGAAAAACGTAATATGCATGCTTCCACGCGATATACTGCTGTGTACCGCGTTTAAAAAAATAACGAATATGTTCGCAAATCTTTACTGATAACGAATAAATAAACAATGCTCACAAATTGCAAAAAGAAAAATCCCAACAGACAAGAGTGCTACATCACTAGCAACACCGATACATATAAATGCAGGAATTACTAGCCACAAACCCTAGAATAATAGAAAATATCAAATAAAAAAATAGCACCGGCGACGAAGAAGTAAGAACGATGGATTCGCACGAATTAGGTTGCCTTACCAATTCACTGATAGCTTTTGTTTTGTTCGGCGGGATATGTCGCACCCAACCACCCTGTAAAATTGCCATGATCAGTCCGATCGCGAGAAACATCCAACCCTGTTGCATACTGGTAAATCCAAACGTATGATGAGTTAGAAATGTCAGAGTGAATTCCAAGCCACTGTAGATAAACAGGTATATGAAGTACGCACGGCCCAATGTCTTTAAATCTTGTTGATCTGAAATAAGGATTTACATATCATTGTTAAAGTTCTCATTTTCACATCATTTATGATAGAAGTTGAGCAAGAAGGATGTGTACCTTGTCGGTTTAAGCCAGAAACTCCATTAAATTGAAAGAGATCAACTGGATTGATGTAAGAAATTGCTCCAGACAATCCCTTTGCTAGAGTGGTTGCCCTATGCTTTATTGGTAAGCTTTCCTTCATATAGCAGAAAACGAATAATAAGTCACTTAAAGCTAGGAAAAGTGCAAACATGGCTGGCATCATATACCACGTGCCCTCTCTATTACCGCTTGAGATCCGCGCAAAGAATGCTCCTATTATTGGTCCCACAACAAAGCCTACGGAGAAGGCTATTCCCACAAGTGCCTGGGAAAACAGAATAGAATTGTAAATACAATCAAAATTTGTGAATTAAACTCACTCTTACTAATTTATCTATTCCTTTACCATTGCCTTTCCTCTTGTTTTTGCAGAAGTCACATCGCTAATAATAGCCATTGACAGGCTGATATTTCCTTTACTAATGCCACCTACAAATCTCGCCAATACAAAAATGCCAAAGTTTGTGGAGAGAGCCCACAGAAGGTACGAGATTGAAATGCCTGTCAAACACAGGAGCATCAAAGGTTTTCTCCCATATATATCAGACAATGCTCCTATAATCGGTGATCCAAGGAACTGCAAGAAAGAATACATGGAGCCGAGGAAACCTGTGGGATAAGACCAAATTTACCTCTGCCACACATGTTCTCTGTCTTATAGATCGTACTTGAAGAATTTTACAAGTATAGATAGATACATTGCATGCTCACCTCCATAAAGAACCGTACTGACTTTATCTGGAGCATCGAAGAACACTTGTATATTCTTCACATACTTGAAAATAGTGGAGTACAATCCTTGTCCGTTCTCTATCTCCTTGTAATGATCCAGAAGGGCCGGCAGCAGTGGCAATATCATTGTGAACGCCAGGAGATCCAGCAGCAAGGATATAAACACCACCCGCACCGTGTTATCTTTGCTGTCATTCATGTTGCCCGATGTAATTCACGATACTTATACTGTCCCTCGCTCTTGTGAATTTCTCATCACCACATAGGAAACGAGTTCCTCGATCAATGACAAATCGTCACGTGAAGCGTTTCAGACCTCAGTTTCCGGAAGCGATAAGTGTAGTGGAAGTGGAATTCGCCAAAATAGCAAATATCCTCGCGAGTCTAATTAGTACCTTCGCCGAGCTACATAACAATCAAATATTGTTATCCCGACTGACAGATGCGTTTCTCACGCGCAGTTTCCCTCCGGGGCCGTCGGATGCGCGACGGAAGGATGAATGCTCCTCGGCCATCGCAACAGCGCGTCGTCGAAAATGCTTCACGTCGCCCAAAAGTGAAAGTCTCTGACCCATTAGTCGACATTACACTGCCAAGTGTCATCTGTGACACGTGATCGTACGCGGCAGTCATCGGTAAATCTCCCGCAACCTGTCAATAAAACTTATCGAGTGGTAACCGGTACCGACTCGGTCGGTATTAAAACAGGAACCTGCTTTATCTGATGCGGGTAAATATCCGGGACGAATGATGTCGAGCACCGCCACCTAGTAATGGCAGCACACTCGTCTCATCTGAAAACACAATACGCCGAAACGCGAGGGAGAGCACGTTTGGTCCTTCGTCCTCGCGAGAGCTGCAGGGCCAGGTTGAAATTACTGACGGACCGACGGCATTGTCGGATGCACATGCGCCGCATGTGAGGTAACTTGCACCGTTGGCGAGAAAATATGACGAAAACACTAGGCACAGGGCCGCAAAAGACGAGGGGGACGTCGCGAGTCTCTTTCTCTCTCTCTCTCTCTCTCTCTCTCTCTCTCTCTCTCTCTCTCTCTCTCTCTCTCGACGCGAGCGAATACGCGGGAAAACGCGGGCGATTTGGCGAGGCAGACGGCTGCTGCTCGACTCGCGTAGACTCGAGAAATCATTTTACATTGTTTTTATTTGCCAGTGAAGCGAAAAATAGGCGCCGAGCGAGCGGGCGCACCCAGGAGCATTATGCGCGTTCCGACTTCCGGTACGCGGCCACGCTCACGCACACGGACGCGGCCACGCACGCACACGCGTATGCGCGCAGCCCACTTCCTCGTGCCGAACAAAGATCTTTTCAAACCCGTCCCGAACTGTAACATCGCCCGGTCGCGCGATCGTTTCTAAATACGCTGCAACTCAATACTCTCTCGCGCTGTTTTCTCTCCTCTTCTCTCTTTCTCTCCTCCTCCCTCTCCCTCTCTCTCTCTCTCTCTCTCTCTCTCTCTCTCTCTCTTCCTCTCTCACGCTCTCTCCCGCTCCCTCTATATCTCTCTCTCTCTCTCTCTTTTCCTCTCGTTAGAATAATGCATGTCTTCTCTTGCCTACGGGATCCCTCCTCGTGCGCACGTGGAAATACGAGTTACGCGGCGCGACGGCGAGTAAAATAAATCAAAGCGTGAGAAACGATTCGCACGATCGATGCGACGCGCGCGAGCGCGGCGACTTGTGGTCCTCTTTAGAAAAAAGAAAGATTTTCACGGCGAAGGGACCGCTTCTTTCTCCTTTTATCTCTTTGCCCCCCCTCTCTCTCTCTCTCTCTCGCTCTCTCTCTCTCTCTCTCTCTCTCTCTCTCTCTCTCTCTCTCTCTCTCTCTCTCTCTCTCTCTCTCTCTCTCTTTCTCTCTCTCTCTGTCTCGAAGGCGAATAAATCCTGACGCGAGCACGTCGATGATGTATGTCGACGTGGCCTCACAGTGGTCCTTCTTTCACGAACGTACTCGCGTTCGTATGCACGCTATATTTTACATGTGGTTATATCTGTTGTAACTGTTATACACTGTAAGAAATGTGTTAAATTTAACATATTTCATGTGTCTCAAATCATCCATTCTTATTTATGTGTTAATTTAACATATAGCAAATATGTTTAAAAATAACATACATAATATGTAAAAAATTAACACAAAAATTTAACATTTGAATACCGTCAAGAATCACAGTTTGTGTTAAATTGACATACAATGAATGTTACTTCAACATTTGGGAAAAGTAATGATCTATGATTTAATGAAATGAAAATGTTTGATTGACATAATCTATGTGTTAAAAATCCAATCTTCACATACCAGAAATGTTAACATTATATATTTAACACAAGATGACTGTTATGATGAAGAAAGTAACATATTTTAGGTGTTGACTTCAACATATAAAATACGTATGTCACAGGAAAAATTCATGCATTTACATATAAATTGTTATTTTAATACTTGGAAATGTCATTTTAACACTTGAAAATAGATAATCTTAATTTAACACAAGAAAGTCTAGGTAACACAACAACGATATGTTAAATTAACACACGACTGTGTAAAAAATTTAACACAAAACTTTCTACACACAAATAATTTTAACAAAAGTATGAAATATTTATAACTGTGTAGACGATCAGCAGAGTTAAACTTTTACTTTACAGTGCTCGTCGAACTGCCCCCTCTCTTCCTGCTGAGATTTGAGCGGTAGCCGGGATTCACAAGAGGACTGCATCGTTGGAATGTAAAATATCTACTTTAGATCTAACCGATCGCAGCGGGACAATTTTGAAAAATACGGGGAAGGATTAACCAAAAAATAGAAAGGCGATCATCATCATTGTGAGTAAAAACGAGGATCGATAGATATAGGTATAATGTCATCGAGAGACTTTCGCATTCGAAAGACGCGCGAAGAATTTCTTTTCGTCCTGAATGAAATATTCCGAACAAGACAGTTAGAACCTCGCCTGCAGACGGTCTTTACGAAAATCGAGAGACTCGCGGAATATCCATTTCCCTTTGTGCAACTCGGACGTGAGCGTCGTTCAGCATCGACGCGAGCTGCAGAAGTTCCCACGCCTCAAGGACTGAAAAATATGAGATACTTCCAAAAAAATATCCAAAAGAAACAAAACTGAAGTGAATGAGTCTACGACCCAGGCTGTGAAATCAGAACTAGGTCAGAAAGCAAATAAAACTGAAATGAGAATCTTTTGGACCTCTTTATGCCTCGAATCTCGCACGAGCGTGCCACTTGAGGAAATTTATTTGACAAATCGTTTTCGAGCGTCACCGAACCGAGCCGTGTTCTCTCGTCGACTTTTGCGCTCGTCTTAGGGCCGGTTGTTCCAACTTTTTGTTAACTTTAAGTTAACTGATAGTTAAATCATATGTTTGTCTTTGTTTTTCCTTCAACTTACGGCCGGTTTTTCAATCATGGTTTAAGCTAAAGACTATCTGATCCTTCCTTGATCCGTAAACCTAGTTTTACATCTTGTGTGCTTTTCAAGCATGTACGCTGAAGGCAGTTTCGATAAACCTTTGTTATTCTTAAGTTGGCAATGAAAAGTCATCGCTGTGCGGGTCACTTTTAGACACGTGGAGATTTAATTCTAATATGAGTGCAGTCTGGAGCACTTATACAACGCGGAAATCTTGCAATATTGCAATAAAATTTTTTCACGAAGTCTTTGAATATCTTCTTCTGCATTCGGAAATTTTACATATGCAGGTCTAAGTTGAGCAATTGCCCTTGAAATTTTATTAATTACTTTACTCGCTGTATTTTTATGAACACCAACAAAATCATCTACGCTTATCAAAAAAGATACACTAGTATAAAATCTTAATGTTAGTAATATAATTTCACACGTACAATTAATTAGTTGAAACTAATATAATTGAAAAATATTCTACATACATCATTTAATTTATATAACATATATTAATATCTTTCAGTCGGTGATTGAACAACGTCTTGAATTTCTTCCATTAATATGTGAACTGCAGCTTTGGATAAGCGAAATCTTTGAAGAAATTCTTTTTCATCTCAAGTTTCAAAACGATTTGGTCTTCGCTTTACAACACGATTTTTTCTCATGTTAACATGTTTTATATATCCTAAAACGTTCTCATCTTCACTGCTCTCTTCATAATATTCTTCGTCAAACATCGTAACAAATATTTTATACTTTTACAGATACTTAACAATATGATTTTAAATATAACAATAGAGACACTGTGTTGTGTAACGAAGTTTATTAATTCATCAAACGACGTTTAAAAACGGTCATCATTCACAGTTTGGTTAAACTATACTTTAAACCACGTTTTTATTCTGACCTATCCATTGAAAAAAAAAACCGTCTGAACAGTCGGCTCTTGAACGGAGTTTGAACTTCGATCTAAGTTTAACACCATTATTGAAGAACCGGCCCTTGGACAAAGACAGACATATGATTGAACTATCAGTTAACTTACCGAGGACTCGGAACAAGCTTAGTCCTCAGTTCGCCGTAAATCGCGACAAAATCGTATTTGAGCAATAAAACGCTGGCATATAGAGCTCTGCATATAGAGCAGGTGGCACGAGCAACGCCGGCAGCAGCGGCGGCGGCGGCGGCGGCGGCGGCAGCGGCAGCGCAGGCCGGTACCACCGGTACAAAATTTAAGCAAGGGATCGCGGGCGCTTGCCATCTGTGGGCCCTCTACCGCGCGCAAGGTCCATACGGTATACCGGGGCCCCGCAGGCCCCGGTCGCGCGCGTCTTCGACATTTCCGAATGTACAAAGCGATGAAGAGTCGTGGGGATCGAGAGGAGGGAAGGGAGAGACGGTGGAAGAAGAAATTGCAGGCTCGTGACGCGCGTAATTGTGACGCGGCTGCGATCTCTACCGACGTAATATTTTGAATGATGTAATTGACAGTCATCGCTCCCGTACTCTCCCGTGTGCGCACGCGGGGAGATCGCGATCTCTTTACGCCGCGTGATCTTGAGGATGGCCATCACTCCCTCTCCCTCTCTCTCTCTCTCTCTCTCTCCCTCTCTCCCCCCTCTCTCTCTCTCCCTCTCTCCCCCCCTCTCTCTCTCTCTCTCTCTCTCTCTCTCTCTCCCTCGACGCTGCATTATGCGCGTGCTTTATGATTACCTCGAACAATTTCATAAGGTTCGTCATAGAGTGCGACGATTTTAT